TGCCCAAACTCATCCGCCGCCACTGAAGCAATCACCGGGATGTGTCCGATGTCCCCAAGCTGTTGCAGGACTGTTTGGGCCGGGCAGGGCAGTCAAAAGACGGCCGTCCGTTCCGGAAAGGCGCACAGCGGTGGCTCCGGCGAAGTTGATACGAGAGACGAGGTCCTTGTTAACCTTGCCAACGAGGACAATGGAAACTTCCATGGTCCTGGCGTCGGTTACACGAAGGCCGTCACGGAACTGACGGGATGTCAAGCTGATTGAGAAGGACCGCCGCTGTGGACGAGGACGGGGCGGAGGCCGATGGCGGCGCCGCCGTATTTGACGGCGATGGTCTTGCCCCTGAATATCTGGATGTAGGGGAGAGATTCAGAGAGGATCTGGACCCGAAGTTGATGATCGAGATTGTTTAGTGTTGGAAGAGGAGGGCCATTGAGGGTTGCAGAAGAAGAACCTCTTATGGCAACTCGAAGACGATGAGAATGGGGGCTGAATGAGGTTTGGTGAATTTCAAGCTGTGGGTTTTCGTTATGGAACTGAATGAGAGGGATTCTTGCGAAGGGTAACAATGGAGGGATTTCCTTGTGGCTGTTGCGGCCATTTTCTTTCTCCTCTACCTTGCTTTAGCTCTCAGGTGTTAATCTACGTTATTTCTTATAATAAGAAAACCAATTTTTTAATAAAACAACTAATATACATAATATTTTAAAAAAATTAAATTATTATAAAATTTATTTTTAGTATATTTAATATATTTTTATATTTTTATTTTTAATTAAATAAATTTTTATATATTTATATTAAATCAAATAAACTCTTATAATTAATGATTGATTTAATTAAAATATACTTTTGATTATAATAGATGATAACGTCATATATTAATGTGACATTATAATATAGATCTATTAAATAGTGATAATTAATTAATTATTAATTGTAAAAACTTATTTGATTCAAAAATAAAATTATAAAGTTTGATTAAATACAAAAACAAAAATTTATTTAAATTTTTTTGAATAATTTATAAACTTTTTTAAACATTATGCTTAAATCATATTAATAATATTACCACATTCACAAAATTTCAATCAATTCAAGTCAATTACATGTTATACCATAAAATTCAAGTGATTTGATAAATGTGATTGAGTATTTAGTGAAGTTGAAAGAGAAATAGTATATCTTTTAATTAGGACTATTAACAAGTCTAACTATTTCTGAGCTATTCAAAATTGGCTTGTTAATTATTTGAATTCAATTTGTTTATTAGTTTGAGTTAAATATTTATTTCTATTATTACTTGATTTGAGTCATTTATGAATTTAATTTATTGTAAAATATATTTATAATACTAACTATATATTACGAGTTTAATTTATTGAAAAATATATTTATAATACTACTATATATGTTTAAATTTCCCTTAAAAACAAATTAATAACTTAATCCAAAAAAGAAATCCACATTGGGAAAACTGTAAACGAAAGGGCTTGTTAATTGGCCCAAAACGAGAAATCCGGCCTGACCTATTCCTGAAGGTCCTGGACCCAAAACTGAAGGTTATAGGTTGAATTTATCTGATCTTGCTCTAATGCAGCCCGCCCAAACACAGCGGTCTGCGGAATTGATTAGCAACCTCAGCCCAGGGTGTGGGGTGTAATGCTTTTACTTAACCATGACAAGCTCCCGCAATCCTGGAAATAGTAGGATTCAGATTTCAGACACCAAACGTTGAAGATTCAACTTTCAACCGGAGTTATTATGCTTCCTACAGAGCATGAATCCAGCGGATGCGCTGGCTACATTACAAGTCTACTACTTTATATTTTCAAAGTAGATATTTTTGCAATGCAACATTGAACCCAAAGAAGACATTAATCTGCGTTCTTTCAACTGATAATGATGCCTTTTAGAGTAATAATTTATGGTTTGTTCTTTGCATGGTTGGCACCAGGGAGTAAAACTGAGTGACCCAATAAGACAATCTATGGCAAGATCATGTTAGCCAGACTGTAAAGAGGAAACGCTTATCTGTACATGCATACCATTCCACTATCAGAGTTGGGTACAAAGAAAAAACAAAAATAGGTAGCACTAAAGTTAAAAAAAAAAAAAAAGGAAACTTGTTGGATGAGTAACCATGATAAACCCAAGAACAATGAGCGTGGACATGCCCTTACAGCACATTGACACATAAGAACGAAAGCCAAATGAGATTTTTGACTTGCAGTTCTGAAATCACTGTGCTTTGCACAATGTCGAAACCCATTTGAAGTTGAGCCAACATCTTCCTTTTGGGTTTAAATAGACAAAATCACTGGTCCAGTGTCCCTAATAATCCACCGAAAAACAATGCTTAAACGGCTAATTGTTGCTGATGGGTGGATTCATCTTCGTTGAAACAGCAGTGGATCTTTAGGGGTCTCCCGATGTTTAGAGAAGGTTCTGCCAAATGTTGTAGAGGGGATTGCATCCACATTTCTCTTTGGAGAAAAGAACAGTAGGTATGGAAGGTGGAAGTTGTCACATTTAATTGGAAGCCCAAACCAAATAAGAAGTCCAATTCAAGAAGGTTCATCTCTACTGTGCTGATTCCTCCCACTTTGGCATAGTAGGCATTGTTGTAATAACTGAAAAACCCAATCAAAGATGAAAAATAGTTAATGATTAATCGGAATGGTGAAAATATAAAGGCGTTTCATCAAGTCAAAGTATTTTGGTACAATAGTTGGCCAGTCTTAAAAATGACTAGTATTGGTTTTATTTTCTTTGGAGAAAAAGAAAGGAAAGAACACAATAGATGAGAACTTATGTCAATTTTCGATTTTGTTGCTCATACAAAAGGGAAATTTCCAGTATTAGCTTATTGCTTATGAGTAAAGTTAAAAAGACAGTTACTGCAATTGTAAAAAATGACAGTCAAACAACTGCTATGATTGCTTGTTAAATCAGGAGGGGGCTTGAGCCAATAATTAAACACTGAACACCACCCAAGTGGATAGTTTGCTTTTTTAACAGAATACATGATCCTGATTGAGCTGTCATTAGCTCTAATAATGACATCCTCTGCCATTCTTACAATTATATTGCATTTTTATGGGAATTTACAGGCGTGCCTTGATAGACAGGGACAACACCAGCACATCTAAGGTAGGGCTGTCTGGCCAGAGAAGATGGTTTTTCACATGGCTGTACTTGGTTTTAAAAACTGTGTCGCTTTAATGAGCTTGATCGATTTCGGTTGTAAGGAGATTATTTTGTAAAATCTTCCAGGAAGGAAAGTGTGGAAAATATCAGTCCAGACGAATCAAAGTTAGACATTTTCAGCAAACATTGAGATTCGGATGAATTTTGCAGTCGAAAATTGAAGATCATAGACATATAGAAAAGATTCTATTCCAGAAAGTATTGGACTCTCAATCAAGAACCTAAGAGAACTCAATTGGTTGAAGAGATTATATATATATATATATAAATTTAAAAAAAATGACAAAGCCTAATTATGAAAGAGAAAGACACTAAATTCAACTAATGAACAAACCAGGAGTAAAAAAGAAAGACCATTTGTTCATGAAGATGGCAGCTTTGAAACCCATGTAAAATTCAATGGAGCTGAGAAATCCCCAGGTACAAATATGCAAGAATCATAAATTTTAAGCAAAGCAGAACTTACATGTCATCCATGAACTTGGCAGAAACCAAAACACTGGTTATAAGCAGCCTATGCACATTGAAAGGATTGATAGGCAAAGACGGCTGCATCTGCACAAACCGATCAAGATAAACATAGGCCACCACGAAACAGGACGGGCTACAGTTTGCGTACTTAAAGATCCTCTCAAGATAGCTTCTAATGGATATGGTAGGCCTGGTAAGGCCATGGAAAACCGAGATCTTCTGGGACTGAAACCGGCGGCTATGATCATTAGACTCAGCTACTCTTTGCAGCAGAGAGGATAGGAAAGTTATGACCTTAGGAACAGTTTCTCGCTCGAGGTTGTTGGTGGTCTCTGCTTCTGCCATTTGTTTGTTGGGTTGGTTTGTTTGTTGAATTTGTTGTTCTTCGTGTTAGCTAGCTGTGTCTTATTGTAGTTTGCTTTTGCTTGTGTGGAGAGGAGTTACATAATTTCAAAGGTTTTGTGTTTTTTCCTTGCTGTTTCATTCCTTCGTGGGCTTAAATAGGGGAGAACATACGTGTTAGTAGGAAAACTTTGGTCGTTAATGAGTTGGAACCAAATTGACATGTATGTCTTTTGCCTTTCCAAATAATGTCTGCCATGTCCTTCTAGTTGGGATTTTTTCAGCTTTTTTGTTTTCCTAATATCATTTGTCCGAACCCGAAATGAAGCCATATGACTTGTGCCATCCATTGATCTGTCTAACCACTTTTGAATCAAAATGCTAAAAGCTGTAATAGCATCATTAAGAAAATGGGAATAGTTTTCTTCTGCAATATAAAACGTGTGTATATAAATAAACTGTTCCCAAAAGTTAGCATTCTCCATCTGGATTGGATTGAAATTGTGTAATTTTTGTCTTTTTAATTGGATTTCTTCATTCCCCATGGAGTGTGTTTTGGGGCTTGCTATAACCCATGATGAGAGGTTTCTTTTCTTATGAATGAATTTAGCACTCTTAATCCTCATGAGTAGTCACGACCAAAGTACAGGTGGGCAATTAGAGAGGCAATAACTTGACTTCTAAAAGAAGAAAAGATGTGATAGTCTGTACTCCATGGGCAATGAGGTGTTGAGTTTTCTCATCAAGCAACTTTTCGGGGAGGTAAATTTTTATGTCGATGATAGTCGCATGATTTTAAGTGCCTTCTGCTGCAATGTTTCTTTCCAACAACTAAAGAAAAGGTAAAAGAAAAAGAGATGGTGCCTTTTGGTAGGGCATGCATTGACCATCTTTTTGTGATCCCTTTCTTAGTACTTCACTGTTTCCATAGAACTAAAGAACATTACACATGATTCTGAATTTAGGCTCATAACTGGTTAAAGCAGGAGCCAAAAGCAAAGAACAAACTCACATGAATTTTGGCATGAATCTGGTTTATGCTCCGGAGATCTTAGCTGGAATTATCTAAGCTTTGGTCTAACATTTAAAAAATGGACATGGGTCCCTAGTTGCACCACTTCCAGATCTGATCTAAGATCGACTCCAGTTTATGGTGTAATTATTTGACTTCCTTTTAAAGAAGAGGAAAATGGAAGACATGCTGAAATTCTCTTTAAAATTTTTGATCTGGTTCTCTTAATGAAATGGAGACTTCTCATCACAATAAAAGTATCCAGACTGCCAGCTTTCTTCCTTTTGTGTGACCCCATTACTACACACACTCGTGTGGCAGACTTTTTGGCTATATTTGCTAATTAAATACCTTAAGGAAAGACAGCTTTTCCTTGCAAGAATTGCAATCTCATTGAATTTTCAAACAATCCGGCCAATTTTTTTTTTTAATTTCTCCAAAAGTATCTGTCCAATACAGTCCCTTTGTTTCATTAATGGTTGTTTTCCCTCTTTCTTTTTCAATTTTTCTTAATATTTTCTTCTCACTTTGGCAAAGCATTTTAATTATATAATTCTACCTTATTAATTCCCCCTCTATTGGGTACCTTAATATAGAAATTAATTGTCTCAATACATAGAAATACATGACGATTTCCAATATTTACACAGATCTTTCAGGCTTTAGAAAATTAGGAATGTGATCATCATATAAATGGCACGTTCCCTTAAACACTTACATGATTTAATATTTACAAACAAATGTCATTGCCCACATGAAAAAATTTAAGCAAGTTGGTTGGTATACTGTAAAGGTAATAGAAAATCCCAGAATCAAAGGGAATGCTCAACCTCTTTCATTGAGAAATTCAAGTTCGATTATGATGGATCATGAAATATATTTTAGGTGACATATAATGTTTGGTTTTGCTAGGATCAAATTGGTTAACCACCAAACTAATTATTGCACCACATTTTTCTCTCTTCCTTGTAGACTACCCCAATGTACGTATAACAAAAGTTTGATCATCGATTGGGGGAGAGATACTTAAAGGGAAAAAGTACAATGCAAGCAACTCTAATAAGACAAGCTTTATTAACATAATGAACACGCAACTCTACTGCGATAAGTCAAATTATTCATGCTCCTCAACTTCGTTGGCAATGCTCCGTTTTGCAGCGGGCGTACTCTCCCTGCCTACCGCCACCATCAAATTAATTATAATTAAAAACAAATTAATTATAATTAAATGGTAATTAATTGATGTTGAATTTGTAATCTTATAACATGTGATAGTAAGTTGATTCCGCATCTAAAGTTTTTATGTAATTTTTTTTTCTCTCCAAAATTAAGTCAATGGAGATATGGGATCTTCAACGTTCCATCTTATGGCATTGTAATGAATGAAATTTTGTCCTCATTCAATGGTGGAGATCGATCGACTTGCCATTATTTAATTCGAACGATTACTTTGGTTTTTAAGAGAATTACGAAATTCTGTTTCATTAGTTTGAATTTGGATCGTTATAACTCATCTAATTATATTCAAATTGTGATTCTATTTCGAAAGTATAATATTTCTGCAAATACTAATTAAATTATGATATATGATGGGACCATTTATAATTTAATACTATTCATTGCACAAATCTTGAAATAATACTATGCCACTGAATATATATTTGACTAACTGTCTATTTGGTTTAACTTTTTGCATGTTTAGCTCAAATGTTATTATAAAATTTTTATGAAAAATAATAATTTTTAAAATTAAATTAAAACTATTGATAAGCTATTTGGTAAAATAAATTATATAAGATATAATCCTGATTAAAATTATTATAAAAGATATTTATGACATCTTTAATCACCTAAAAAACAAAGCGAAATAAATCTACTTTGAACTTATATACGATTTCAGATGTTAAAATAAAAAAATTTATATAGAAATAGAACAGCTCACAAACCTTGTATAGTAGGAATAGTATTAGCCTTTTATTAATCTAACAAGTAATTAGTTCATAATGCTTTAATAGCAATCGAAACATGATGCTTCAATTCTCTAAAAGAAAAGAAAAAATGATGTATTTGACATTAAAATCCTTTTTAATGAAAAAAAGAGAAAACCTTTAAGTAATATTTGAATGTAGAGGTATTTCTTAGCTTTTTTTTTAAGAGGCAAGTAGAGCCACTAAATCCTATATTGAAGAGAAACTCCTAACGGGAGTAAAGGAGGATGTCATAGTTCTAAAGAGGGAACCATGAATCTCACATCAACTATGTACTTGAATGATACTCAGAATATAAAGATTTACATAACCTTCAACTTATGTGGCACTTTTTGTTGGATAACCGTGAAGTCAATGAGTCAAAGCAAATAATACCTCACAGGGTTGGTGTAGATCATGATAATTGATATCAGAGTAGACTCCGAGTACTAACGATGTGTCACTAAGGACAATAGGCCATTGGGAAGGATGTCACGGTCCTTGTGTGGATGTAAATCTCATACTCCCAACGAGTAGAGCCACTCTCATATTAAAGAGAAACTCTTAATGAGAAGTAAGGGAAGATGTCATGATCCTTAAAAAAAGAGTCATTAATCTCATATTGACTATGTATTAAAGTGATACTGAAAATATAAAAGTTCATACTAGCTTTAACTTGACTTCTACTTTTTATAAATAGATAAATTGAAAAAAAAACCAAACCAAACATTAAAACTCAATCGAACAACTTATAAATTTATAAGAATACATCTTCATTAATACATCTGTTAGAAACACAATAACAAGTGTTCATCTAGATATCACCATTTACATCACAAACTCCACCTATCCTATAATTATAATCATAGGTTAACTCCTTCAAGGGAGGTATGTCTTCCATAGCAAATACCATAATGTGGGGGCAAACTGCTACTATTGTGATCAAAGAGTACACTTTGAGCACAAATATTAGGAGAGCAACTATGATGGATAAATCGTCCCACATTCCCAAACCGAGCAGCATCAGTCGTGAAACATTCATTTACCTCAAATGAGTGTCATAAGGCACGATAGTTATTTCCTATATCAAACAAATACTCATCCTTACCTATTCTTCGTTCAACTTCCTTATCTGGAAGGATTTCGCCTATATACTCACAAATAAAACTTCCACATGGGATAAAAGATCGTGATCTAACACCCCATCCTTTTGTTTTATTCTTAAAAACTTCTAGAGGAAAACGAATTCCTCATTGACTTACTCTATTAATGCAAGAAGTGAAGTACTTGCAAGAAGGTCCACACTCGATGATAAAAGGCTTCTCCATCATAATGCAATCTTCATAGTTGTATGGAAGTACTCCACCATTTTTAACAACGCAAGGGCAATCCTCAGAATCAGAGCATCCATCACTACAATCACAACCACCACTCGACAAGGAAGGATGGTAGGATTTGGGATATGTTACATTGGTGACGTAGTTAAAAAGTGGGGGCTTCTCATTATCCAACGCATTCATTGCACGAATGGGTATCCTCTCTTTACCTTAAGAAATATCATTCATACAAACATGTTCCTTTCGTACCAATTTGCCCAAAGTTTTGGTTGCCCTGGAAATCTCTTCAGTACAAACTTAAAAACAAGCTTACCCGATGATGCTCTTTCTTCTCGATAACCATCCACAAAGTACAACCCATCATAAACATACCTACGGTCAACAGTCTTACTACTAGCACATTTAGAGCAAAACTTACGAATAACCCTTATCGGGGTTTTTGTTTCCGCGCTATTCTTCAGTGCAAGGTTTCCTCCAAGTTTTTGGTCATTTACAAGTTTCCTACTTCGAAACTTCAGATTTTCACCTTGCCCTGAATAAATTAGGACATTTGGAAATTCTTGTTCATCATTTGACTCCACAACATTGTCATATCGACCAGAGTCCACAATGCTTGTAGCTAGTATTCTCCCATCCAACTCCATATAATCTATGCCACACATATGTTGACGGTGGAGGCCAATTATATTCAATTCAGCCCTCCAAGAAAAATAGTCACCTACTTTAACTCCTGGTATAGGACCTAATCGCTTATCCATGTTGATCCACTTTTGCTGATTTAGAAGATGCGAAGCTGCTAGTAGAGGAAGAATTTGTTTTTGTTTCCCATCGCTTTCTTGCGAGAGATTAAGGTAAACCTCTCTAAAAAGGTGTATAACCTCCTTAACCTTGTCCGAAGCAACTCTCAACTCCTCGTTGTCAGTGACCGCCAAGTCCTGGCCAACAATTACTTGGGAATTATACACCTCCATTAAGTCTTCCTTGCCCTCCTCATCACTAAAGTCAACATTCAGACATTGCTCATTCCAAACAACCTTTGATAAACTCGTTTGTTTGGCAATAGATGGGACTTCATCTCCCTCATCATCCTTTAGAACTCCTTGATAGTTATCCACCCCGTATTGCTCATCCCCAAGCACCATTGATGGGCTGGATTCTTTAACATCACTGCATGCAAAAACATTAGTTGCAATGGAAACATCCATTGGTTTGCAATCCTTACCAACCATTGACTCATGGTCTTGTTTAGGTTCTATGTACGCATGAATATCACGAACATTAGTTGAATTAGGAACATACAATGGCTTGGAGTTCCCAACAACTGAGAAGTCGTACTGTTTAGCATCCCTGCATGCATGAACGTTAGTTGCATTAGAAGCATCCAATTGCTCGCAATCTGCCATAGGGATCCCATAAGCTGAATGACGGTCCTCGGAATCAAAAGGCAGTTGGTTTCTCAACACAGCAGGAGCATTCGGCTTGACAGGAAAATTCCGTATGACAAGACGCCCTTTCTGAATTTTTGGAGGATACTTTCTTAAAACAGGGCAGCCAGCAGTAGCAAATTCCAAAGGATATTTACGAACGGGAGAGACTCCTGGTCGCTTAAATTTGGATGGAAATCCATAATGCCTTCGACTTAAAATTACAGCTACCCTGATAAATTCTGAAATTAATTGCGTATGTATTAGTTATCAAAGTCTTAGGAAACTCAATTCTGAAAACAAAACCACAAATTTTAAGAAAACAAATTGCAAGAACCTAACTAGTACCATTGTTAATTTGAGTTCAATAAACTTCCACAATGTTATTCTGTTTTATCATTAGAAGTGACAATTATCAAAGCCATAAACAAGCAAACTCCATGATTAACTCAAAGCAACGCAACGAGGATTGTCACATAAAAGGGAAAAAAATAATAGTAAATACAAACAGGAGCATACAATAGAAGAGTGATCGACCTGGAGAATAACATCAAAAATTATACAATTACTGTACAAACAAAACCCAACATCAAAAATTTCAGCACAAAGGAGTTTGTCAACGACCTGCAGACAACCACGAAACCATCAGCACATCAACTTATCACAACCAACCGCAACATAACCGGCAGCAATAAAGAATATAAAAACACTCAACAGGCAAAAGGCACCAGAATCACAAAATAAACGATTCCAGAACATCACAAACCAAGCATACAGCAGAACATGAGAGCAACCAATCGAATCACAAAAGCCTCAGAAAATTATGTGTGTTTTTAGACCAAAAGAGAAGAACATTCAAAAACATTAATTAAAATGTAAACAACAAAAGATGAATAAAGCAAAACGTACCATGCAAGATACTTCTGCTACTGGTCTAGAAGACAAAAATATATTCTAAGGAAAAACAGATGGAGAACCGTTGAGCTAGACTTTCCCCGACATTTTATAGGCAATAATTAAAAGATTTCCTAATTGGAGGGTGAAATTGAAACGGAAGGAGAGTTCTGAACAAATTCAATTTATTTGGAAGTAGGCAATAATTAAAAGATTTCCTAGTAGGAGAGTCAAGCTGAAACGAAAGGAGAGTTCTGAACAAATTTAATTTCTTTATTTGTTTCGGACAGAAAAAACAATTTTCCACTTGCCCTAACATTGACAACTTGGATGGCTTCGTTGACTTTTGTCTTTGTAATCTTCTTGAGTTAATGGTAATGACATGTAATAATAATAAGGTGATTCTACATTCAACGTTTTTACATAATTTTTTTCTCTCCAAAATCAGTCTCAATGGAGATATGGAATCTTCAACATTCCATCTTATGACACTGCAATGGATGAAACTCTGTCCTCATTCAATGGTAAAATTAAGAAATTTTATTTAATTGGCTGGAATTTGAATCCTCATAACGCATCTAAATATATTCAAATTTTGACTCTATTTCAAAAATATAATATTTTTGTAAATACTAATTAAGTCAGACGTGATTTATGATATATAAAGAGTAAGGATGGACACATATATACTGAGGCATGGAGGTACTTGCCTCCAATTGTTTAAAGTTTTTTAATTTTTTATATCTATTTTTTTTTAAAAAAAACAAGTGGCTGCCATATTTTTCTCCCAGCCTCCCTCCAAAATGAAATAGATATGCTAATGCTTATTCAAAGACAGACCCATCAATAACTAATAAGCATTAATTAAACAGTTCATAGAAAGTGTGACTTATAACCTAAGAGGTCAAGACTATGAAAGCATGACATAAGATAAGATAAAATATATAATAAAAAATATAAAAAACAAATTACATTTAAGTGATAAAAGTTTTTAGAAAATATATAAAGTTTTAACTGTGCAACAAGTGAGAGGTCATTTTTAATTATAAATATTGTAAAAAACAAACTTAGGAAGAATAAGATGAAAGATGATTTTTTTGCAGGCTATATAATTATTTATATTAAAAGAAATATTGTTAAAAAGTTTGATACAGATTTAATTATTGATAAATTTTATGACATAAAAGAACATCGTACTCAGTTTTTATAAATTACAAAAAGTATGTTACATATATACTTTTTAATCTAAACTTTTTATATACATGAACATGTTAACTTTTTTTAATTTTTACCTCAAGTAATTTAATCTCAGATCCGTCCTTGATGAAGGGGCCAAAATATCCCATACACAGCGATTATTGCCAGCAGCCAAAAGGAAAAATCTTATATTAAACAAGTCTTGCTTCATTGGCAAGGAGGAGGCCTGTATATTTCAAGTTCAAGTCTCATTGTACTGGATTTTAGTTATTTTTTAAATTTATTTAGTTAGTTGATTTATTTATTACTTTCTTCCTTTAATGTACAAACATTATTTGTTTATAATTAAAATTGCTACTTGTAATTATAATATCATAAAAATATAAATAATTTTAGATTTACCCTAAAAATTTATTTATTAATATATTCTCTAAATTCTGCTCAACTAAATGAAATGAAATTGTCTGAAGGAAAGACAAAGTTATTAACATGATTCTTTTTCTAGAAAACCTTTATTAACACTGTGTACACATATACACAGCTTTCCTCATCATATTGCACATGATAATTAATTCGTGTTATCCTTCCAAAAGAAAAAAGGGAAAAGCAAAAAAAAAACAAAAAAGAAAGGAAAACCCATGTATCATGTTTTATATAGCAGGATTTAAAGAGAATAAAGAGAGAAAATGAATAAGCATGACTGAAGCATAATCTCCGAACAAACTACTGTTGAGTAGGAAGAAGCAAGGGGTCAAGCGGTAGTGGTCCTGCTGCAATTTATGTATCGTGATTCATAATAAACTAAGACTTTAATCAATTAATGTAATAACATGTAGAACAATATTTAATTAATTCATTTGTCCAGCAAAATGAAAAAGAAAAAAGAGAATTTGTTTGAAGACAAGGTTGATCCACTAGAAGTAGGACAGGACAGTGGCTCTGGTGGTCGTGGAGTCGGTCACACAGCAACAGCATCTTGGTTCATGGCCTCATGCCACACACGTTAGTGTTTTGTGGTGCATGTTCTCTTCAATCTTCTCTCTTTCTTACCTTTAGTTTTTTAATTTTTATTTTAATAGTTTCCTCTTCTTCCCCCACCTCTATTAAATATTAATGTAAGATTGTTGTGTATTTTGTTCTTTCTTAATACTGAGTTGCTGATGAACAATGAGTTGTATTATCATAACTAAAACCTGAAAGAATTTGTCAACCATTGATTTTCTACTTATTTTCATATTAAAAGAAAAGTAAGTTCCATGAATCCATCTGTATCTATCAAGCTTAAAACTATATAGTCTCTTCTCCTCATGCATTCATTTGGCCTCCACAAATCAATCTGGAAGTTGAATGGAGAATTTCTTCATAGTCATGTGGAAAACTATCAACTTAGCAATTGAACAACAATTTGAACCACTGATAACGAACTACTAACAAGTCATGGTAAATTTGCTAGGAGTCTCGATGCGACTTCAAAAAGCAGCTCAAACATGAAACTTGGAACTCCCTTGCCCTCTGCGGAAAGCAATGGCTGCACATGCAACAAGAATGGACACTTCTCGACCTCGATTCTGCAACCCGACGGAAAGTTGGGTGAAATTTGCATACGTATTGGAATAATTAAGAAGACAATCGCAAGGATATCTAAAGTAGTACTGCAATAATTGTGGACAAGGAAGGGACACAAAGTGGTAGCTAGAGCTATCAACACAAGTATTGAAGTACCCAGAAGACCCAAAGCCCAATGATAAGTGTACTCCACACTTTGGACAATTGATGGGCCTCATCGGGGTTCAACAACAACAATATCAAAGCCCGTAAATCATCTCCTACAGAATATACTTCCAAAAGGTTGTAACCGAGTGAGAAACAATCTGTCAAGCTAGTGTACTTTTTTCTGCTGCAAAATCAAGCCAAGCAGTCTTGGGCTCTCCGTCACTGAAAAATGGAGCAGACTTTCATTATGATCAAACCTGATGGTGTTCAGAGAGGCCTGGTTTGTTCCTCTCTCTTTCTTTTGTGTTTAGATTCGTTTCTTATGGCTTTTCAGAGACATCTTAATAAGAAAGTACTATAAAAAAAGTAGAAAAGAAAAGGAAATTGAAGCATAGAAGTTAACTCCCTTTCCTAGATGCTTTTAAATCCAATATTCTTATCTAAACTGTCGATGGGGTTGCATTTAGTGTTAGTCTCTGATACTGTAGTTGATACTTAGTACTTAAAAGACGGATGAATAAGATAAGGCATAAACTTTTTTTTTGTATGTTTTCCTTTTCTAGTTTATGATATTGGGATGCATAAGATGATAATAAGTTGAAAATTTGTTTCTTGGACCTTATCTATAATTGTGGAAAATTTTGGAATCTTGTTACAGAGTGGGGGTTCAATCTGTTGTTCTAAGATTCCAGGTTTTCATCTTGTTGATATGATAACCAAAGAGGTTAATTATGGAAACTGAAATTTTACAGAGTCCCAGTGTTAATCTTCATTGGTCATTGCATACGACCTTCTTAGGAAAAAACCGATGGTGGAACTAGGAACCATTAAGGTGTTCTTAAGTGTCAAACATGAAAACCTTGTGAGCTTGTTTATTAAATGAAATGCTATTTAGGATTCCTTGGATTTAATGTTTATTCTTCCTTTTTTAATCACTTTCACTATTTGCAATGAATGTTTAAAAATCAATATCAAGGTCATGAGTATTATTAGAAATCAATATGTGCGAAGCACAAATTAATTAAGAACCTGTTTCTTCTGTGGGAAAAAAAGGCTTCAACTAAACTGGAAACTAATGCTTTTGTATGCATGTTTAGAATAAATGAAGACCATCTACATTTAGGAAAAGAAAACTAGGTTGGTGTTAGGAATTATTGTATATGTTGCTTTGCCAAATTTCATTCTTCGATGAAGTCAGTTTTATTTGCATATTTCCTTTCAGTGAAGCTGAATGGTATTACTGTCAGCAGCAACTGCAAAGTTGGCTTTGTGTCCAACTTGTTATATCTAATTATTTTATTTCTTCATTAAGGTTGGTGAGATCATTAGCAGGTTTGAGAAAAAAGGCTTTTACTTGAAGGGTAATGATTGAAATCTAATTATTGGTTTAGGTTTTCATTTCTTTCTTTCTGTATCCATGGGCAAAATTTCATTTTTAATGCAATTTGCATATTTTTGTTTGAGTTAGGGATGAAACTTGTGAATGTTGATCGTACTTTTGCTGAGAGGCATTATGCAGATTTGTCTGCAAAGTCTTTCTTCGATGGCCTAGTTGAGTATATAATCTCTGGTCCAGTAGTTGCAATGATATGGGAAGGGAAGAACGTTGTGCTAACTGGACGCAAGATTATTGGAGCCACTAATCCATCAGAGTCGGCCCCGGGAACCATTCGTGGGGATTTTGCAGTTGAAATTGGGAGGTACATTGTTTTCACATGGTGCATTCCTAATTTATTCATTTTTCATTTTTGCACCTGAGTGCTCATTTGTGTGAAAACCCTTCATAATCTTTCTATTTTGCAGGAACGTTATTCATGGAAGTGATTCAGTTGAGAGTGCTAGGAAAGAGATAGCATTGTGGTTCCCCGATGGTGCTGAAAACTGGGGGAGTAGCCTTCAGCCATGGATATACGAGTGAAATAGTCCCATAGTTGGATAGCATAGCCCGACAGCTATATCAAATAAACAATAACTGCTTGCTTTGTTGGAATTCCTCCTGGTGTAGATCTCACTAATCTCGCCTATTGGTTATAATGCCAATGTGAAGGAACATGACGCATACTCTTATGAATCTTAGTTTTATGCTACCAATGTTTTGGCTATGCCTTTTGTAGTGGCATTTGCTTCAATTCATTATCCTTTATTGAGTGCTTGGTTGTCTTGCTTGTAGTAAGTCATCCTTATGAAGTTGGCATTGATTCCAATCTGTATGCATTCACGCTTGGAGTTCAATCCAAACTGCCTTATTCAGAATATCCGAGGACTGCTCGGATAAATTTCTGGATGCATCAAATTTGCTAGTGTTACTGTTAGTGTTGACATTTATCTTGCCGAGTTTGACAACTAAAAATTTGTTATAATATATGATGCCCGGCATCCAAATATCTGGCTACCTTCTCTCTGTGATGGTTTCTTCTCTAGCGATCAGCATGGTTTTCACTTATCAAGATTAGCACCAACACTGAACGACTTTTGATATCTACACAGGTGAGGGCTGCATATGGCGATCAAGTTCCATTTTATTACATCTTTCTTCAGGGAAAGAAAAGAACTGTAGGCCTTAGTGAGACTGGAGAGTTACATCTCACCAGCATCCCTCTCATTCAGTTGAAACATGTCGCAATGTAGAGTAGCCTGGTCTGCTGGAAGATGCTGACTCGTGGCTTCCAGTCTTGGCAACAAGAGGTGCTCAAATGTTGATAACCATTCTCAGAAAGTGACATAGTCACCCGTATATAACTGCTTAATAGACTTTTGGGATGATGAAAAGAATCGACCCATAATTGTGATGGCAACAAGACAAGCGTGACAGAATCTTCAGCGTCCCTGACTAATGACTACACATTTTCCTAAGAATATTCCTGCTTCAGCATCAGTTTTTTTGTTTTTGAATTGAACAAAAAAAAAAATTAAAAACACAAGAAAGTCACACAATGGGCCGAAAAAGAAACTCAGAATAATAACTTACCATACCATCTAAATTTGCTCAATTCCAAATCTGCTTTCGACTGATTCAAGTGGCATTCTTCTTAAGGGCTGAACTGTTGACCATCAAAGCAAAGACCTGTTTTCATTGAAATGCTAAAGCAAATCAAGTAAATCATCCTATTGTCTCAAGGCTTTAGGTGACTACATTGGGTTTAAAGTAGATGAAAGATAACTTCGTCCATTACAGAGGCTTTATTTCAGTATTAAAACATAATTACCACATTGACGTTTAGCATGATCTCCTATCAGTAGATATACAAAATGTAGATGCTGGCCTGCTGACAGTATATAATTACAAATCCGTGATTCATTCCATCAAAAAAGAAAAAAGGTTTTTAAACCAATAATATGCCAGTGACCGACAAAAGCAGACAATTATAAACAATCATAAGCTCAGAACCGCACAGAGAATAGTGGCAACTTAGCCGTAGCATCGGATTGGATCATTGCACCCTTTCTCAGCAGATTGTTTAAAACCAAAACGACCTCCTTTTGCAAGGTACTGCTGGTGATATTCCTCTGCTCCATAGAACTTCGTAGCAGGCACAATTTCTGTAACAATCTTTCTGTTCAAGAGTTTCATCTGTTTTTCCATGGACTCCCGTGCCGCCTTCTCCTGCTCAGGGGTGTAATAGTATATACCAGAACTATACTGCGTTCCCACATCATTCCCCTGCAAAAGCATTCATAACCTATTAGAGTGGCAAGACTATGGTGCACACGCAATTCTACCAAAATGTATAAAGATTATCCTGCATCAGATCTATTGCTCTGGGAATACTGACATGCTTTAGTCATGATATATTAGCAATATCTTTAGCATTATGTATGTGGTAAATAAGAAATTTAGAGACCAATTTTCCTCCAGAGGAGAGGAGTTGAAATTACAGGAAAATATATGAGACAATCAGACCAGTAATCATATTTGAGAGTCGCAATGAAACAAGCCCCGTTTTGACCAGCGGGGCAAGCAAAACAAACAATATATCATCAAATAAAGTGCAGCACGGGAGCAATTCCATAACATCTGCTATTTCTAGTTATGCCTGACAAATTTCAAGAACTCTGAAAAACACAAACTTTAGGAGAAAGAAAAAACTTTTAACTTCCGGGTAATGACCACAAATCACCTAGCAAGCAACATCTCAAATTCCAACCATCAATTATGGAAATGAATTGATTTATATGAAAAACATGAACTTTTTGCAGGGTGACTTATTCTATTATTTTTATTCCCCTTTGAAGTGAAGAATGAGCAAAACAAAGACACATACTCGACAGGAAAGATTGAAGCACCCAGGACAACTCCTCAAAATCGCATAACACTGAATCACAAACAAGTAAAAGTGCCAACTCCCTAAACGGATGACTAAAATAAGGAAATCAGTCAAAGTGTAAGACACAAACTTTAATCCAAGGAAAGGTCTGAACTGCTGACATTTCCTTAGGTTCACAAGGTTGATATGCAAACTCCGGAGAAGATACCGCAAACATATCAGCCTTAATTAACAAAACAAAAGGCTCTTATATCATCTACAAATAAATTCAATCAAACAAATGAAAAATACCTAAAAAAATGACCAAGTAGACATAGAACCCCCAAAAGTTTCCTCAAAATTATCACTACAATAAGATAATTCAAAAATTGCAATAGTCAAGCACAAAATCCACCTCAAAACAACCACCAAAACCCCAAGATTACACATCGATCCATCCACATAAACACCCCAAAATGGAAAAAGACAAATTCACAAAATTTAAAGTGTGTGTATAATATATATTAAAAGGATGTTTTATCTCTAAAACCCAATATTTCCCACATCATAAAATCCACCTGGCGATTAAGGTAGTAGGATCATGGCGAGCCCAGAAGACATCAAGCAAAGCATCATAGCTACACTCCTTAGGGTCGTACTGAACCCTCACAACTTCATTATGGTTTGTGGTTCCGAACACACGTCTTCATAACTCGGATTATGCATGAACCTTGGCTATACCCAACGTCCGTTTTGGGAACCCCCGGAACTCTCTGGAACGCCAATTCAACGCCCAAAAGCACCCCGCCACCAAACTGAGCAAACTGCTGACCGGGAGCCGGGGCGTCGTCGTCTGGACCCTGAGCGATGGCCGAGTTTTCCATTGAAGGGGCGGGCTTGGCTCCGAAGCCGAGGTTTTTGAGGATGTTCATGGGGCCCTGTGGTGAGCAACGGATCGTTTGTGGTTGAGGGAAAGGGATAGAAAGGGGAGAGAAAGAGAGAGGGAGCTTTGGAGAGAGAGAAAAGAAAGGCTTAGAAATGAGGAGAGACCAAGAAGAAGAAGAAGAAGAAGAGGTTGCAAGCGTAAGACTTCGAAGCATTGTTATTACGAGTTGGAGTTGCGTTTGGGGGTATGGGAGAACAACAACGGTGACGATAATTTTACTATTTTTGGGATTTTCCTTCTTTTTCATGTTTCTTTTTCTTAAAAAAAGGATAAATCATTTTATTACGACTTTTATTTTGTTTTTCAAGATATTCTTTTAGCTTTTTGGTACAATTTCAATAACTAAATTAATTTATCTCAAGGAAAATGCGTGTAATGATATTCTGGAGTTATGCAATTTTGAGAAAAAAAAAAAAGTCCAGAACAGATATGTATAGTATAATTCTTTTGACTAAGAAAAAATAAAGTAATATTTTTGCATGATCACGGTGATTTTGGTATTCTTCCAAAGATTCTTTTTACAATTAACTAGAATTTGATTTGATAAATTTTATTAATTACGATCCATCAATTACATAAATCATTATAGATGTGATTTGTTCAAATTTGAATCTCATAACTGTTTTTTTTTAATGATTTCATGCATTCTCCTAATGAGCTCACATAAAATTATCGGTGAGTCTTTTTATATTAAATTATAGATATGTTTTTTATCTAAATTAAAAAAAATTAGCATGTAAATAATTTCAATGAAAGTGGCTACAATTTTATGTGAGAAGACCGGTTCCAAGTAAAATTAAAGAGGTAAGAACCTTAATTTACAGCGAATGGTTTGCATTCGCTAACCAAATCTTATCATCTCATACAAGAAATGTGCTTTCAAAGTCTACATTTGTACGTAGAAGCATATAATCACAAAAAGAAGGTTTGAATATTTGTCTAATTTCCACCCTTTTTCTTTTAAAAAAATTCTTTTTTGGCATTGAATATGGGGAAGTTGCTTCCTTTGGAAGAATCCGGAACAGGAGTTCCGGTCTGAACGCAGACGTGATCAACGTGTGGACTGTCGCCACCACACCTTCCAATCTAAGTGGGGTTTTGGGCCTTTTCATCTCATCCAAATCCAAATGGACCCAAGCCCAACTATTCATTCATGACACTTTGGACCTTTCTTAGCTCCCCTGTTGTAATATTTGCTTCAGATATATAATTTTAAAATTAATTAAAATTTTTAAATATGAAGTAATATAATTATAATGATATTTTAAAATAAAAGTATTAATAATTTTATGAATAATGAAGTAATTCCATTTAAAAAATATACAAAGAAGGATATAATTAGCAATATTTATTTATAGCTAGCAACAAGAGCAAGAAGCAAGTAGAATATCAAAATCCCCATTATATGAACCTAGTTACCAAAATTTCACTCAAAGGAGCGATTAAAAATTATGAGTCAAAAGCATATTTTCTTTGTTTCTACTGGCTTTTTTGGCTTCTTTTAATCTTTCTTGTTCCATGTATAAGCCTCATGCAGACATTTTCTTCCTCATTAAACAAATGCATTGTACTTTGCCTGCAAGAGAGCATTTACCTGTGTTAAATCTTTCAACATCTGACTAGGAGGAGCGGTCTGATTGCTTGATTAACTATAAGATAGAGACCTTTCTGCTTAGCATCAACACAGACTAAAATAAAAACTAAAAATAAGGATTCAAAAGTAATTGAAACAGTGCTAGTTTGAAAATACTGAAGGAGAGTATCTGTTCCTCAACAAATGAAGCCATGAGTAGTTTATGTTTAAGGTATCGCAAATTTGCCAGAATCCCTGCTGAAAAGGCAAATTATTAAACAAATAAGATGGAGGAAACATGCTGCACTTTGTAAAAATCTTCACCTCGAATCCTATCCACGAATGATTTTGGCATCTCTTCAATGTCCAACTCCCGGAGAGCAGTAAGGTATCTCATTCCTTCAGGGAGCATCTTCAAGTTCCCGCAATTGATTATCCGGAAACTCCCAAGCCTTAGCGCTGCACCTCCTTGAAGATTTAACTCTTCCAAGGATTCCAAGGAGTGAAACTCCAGGAACTCAAGTTGAGGAAAGCCACGGACTGATATTGCCATTTTTGCTCCATCGTAGGAGTGTGCTTTCAGTCTCAGAATCAATAATCTTGGCAAGTTCTCAAGTATCCCCACCGAATCTTGCTTGAGATGAGTATGTTCTAATGTCAACTGGGAGAGATTGGGTGGGAATTCCTGCGAGCTAGGTAACTGCCTTATAGTTCCTCTCATATGCAACTTGACGAGATTTTGAAGAGCAGAAAGTTGAGTGAGCGATGGAAATTCAGCATCTTCAGTACGCAGGTACAGGGACTGAAGTTGTACAAGCGCCACAAGGGAGTTAAATATTTCAGTTGCTTTCAAGCTGAAGTTTCCTCTGATTCCTAATTTTTGCAGGCTTGTTAAATTTGCAGGGTTGTTTTGCATCCATTTTTGGACATTTATCTCTGATAGAGCCTGGAGATGCTGTAATGTGTCGATTCGCAGAGGCCCCCCATATTTATGTCCGCACATATAAAGATACCGTAATTTTGTTATCTTCCATATTACGTTGGGAATTGTTTGGAGATGAAGATTTGCCGCTACATCAAGAGTCTGTAGGTTCCGCAAAGAACCTATGGCTGGTGAAAGCCCCTGTAGGTTGGTCTCCTTCAACCCCAAGTACTTCAGATGAATTAATGCCCCAATTATGCTTGGAATGGTAGTACATGGTATACCCTCCAACTCAAGGACTCTGAGTAATTTGAAGTTTCTGCTAACATAATCTAGATCGCTGCCTTCCATTTTATAAGGATCATTTATATAATAATTAACCTGGCTTTGGTTATGATCAACTCTAAAGAAGAGGAGCGACCGGAGGTGGGGATTGATATACTTGCACTGGGGCCAATGAAATGCAGAGTAGATGGAATGACGACGTGATCTAGCTGAAGGGTGGAGACTTTGACTCCCTTGAATCTCGTGAAAGCTTTCTGCTTTGGCCTTTGAGATGGAGAGGTCTCGTAGTAGATCATGAAGACGACATTGTTTAACTCTCTGGTTGACACTCCATTTGGCTGCTTGAACCATGTTTCTCTCAATTAGCTCATTCAAGTAATCCTCTGCTATGTGCTCCATCCTTTCCTCTTGCAGTGGAATCAAACCCTCCGCAATCCATAGCCTAAACATTTTATGTGTGGGAATCAGACGGTCTTCTGGGAATTGTCCTAGATAGAGGAAGCAAGATTTGAGGTAATAAGGCAAATCGTTATAACTCAAAGCTAGTATAGATGACACTCCATCTGGGTCTCGAGCAAAGAGCGAGTTCATGTTGGAAAGAACCCTTTTCCATTCGCCCAAATTTCTTTTACTTGAAAGCAATCCTCCCACCACAATGATGGCCAGTGGTAAACCAGCACATTTTGCCACGATCTCTTTCCCTATTTCCTCCAACTGTGGGGAACGATATGAATCAACGCCATGAATGAAAGCTTTCTTGCAGAACAACATCCATCCATCTTCTTCGCTCAGAAAATGCAAATGATAGGGAACACTTTGAGCATCTGCTTTCAAAGCAATACCCTTGTTGCGAGTTGTAATCATCACTCTGCTTCCATTACTTCTGTCTGGAAAGGCCTTTGCAAGAGAGATCCATGCTCCGATATTCCATACATCATCCAAGACTACCAAATACCGTTTCTTTCTTAGGTGTTCGTAGAGAATTGCTTCCAATTCTTCTTCCTCCAACATTTCCAATTTTCTTCGCGGTGATGCCACTTGCTTTATAATTGCCTGAAGTATGTCTTTAGTACTGAAATCCTGGGATACGTAAACCCATGCTCGAGAAGGAAAACGAGCCTGGATATCACCATGATTATAAACTTTTTTTGCTAGAGTTGTCTTACCAATGCCTCCCATTCCGACTATTGAAATCGCATGCCATTGGCCCTCGGTTCGGACAAGTTGCGTCAGCAGCTTAGCTATATCATCGTCCAGGCCAACGATATCCTTTTCTTCCCCGCGAGGAGATGATCTTCTCAGCTTCCGAAGCCTCTCCCTTGCAGTGCTAATCCCCTCTCCAATGTTTCTGATACCATAGGTTTCACGACTGGCAGATATATTAAGGATTCTTCTCTGGATGGATAGAAGCTCGTTTGCAACCTTAGAGCGATATTTCCATTCTTTGAAAATGGAAGCATACCTTTCGATGGAGTTCTTTTTCTTGAGGGAATCAATTCTGAGGAGGAAAGTGTCGATAAGATCTTCAGCATCATAAGCAACATTTCTGATTTCAGACACCCAGTTGCTCACTCTCTCATCATCATCTTGCTTTGCATCTGCATCCTTTAAGAAACATCTCATCCGAAGTAATTCCTCTTGTAGACGCTCTACTTCCTTTCGAATACCTGTTTGAAAATCAATTTCTTCCAGTATTCCAGCTAGCCTTTCTACAACAAAGGAAACGGCAGCTTCAGCCATGCTTAGCGCTCTCTGGAATGGCGGTATCAAATGTATTTGTCAGCTAAAAGGATTCATCTTCTGTTTTTTGGAAGAAAGATCCAAGTCAATTATGTAATTTCCTTGAAACTGAGAAGGTCCAATGATGTTTCTTGAAGATTTGAAGTTAAAGAGGAATCATCATCATCACCGTCATCTCCTTCTATTTGGGTCCACACGCACAAGGGCCCAGTAAATTGTATTGGCTTTTCCATTGATTCCTTTCTGTGTTGCCGCTTTGCCAACCTTCCAGTCAGATACAATGGAAGTGGTCGCTTTGCCAAACCTTCCAGTCAGTTACGGTGGAACTGGGACGAATTGACCGAAAAATTAAGGTAAGTCAATAAATTAATATCTTACATAATTATAAATATGAATTATTGATTTAAATTTAAACTTGTAACTTGACTAGACATCAGGTAATTGCTTTACACGGAAAACATTATTTCCACATTTGTTCACACAAGAGGAACATCATTTCCACAAAACAGCAAGACTTATGTTATAAAAACAAGTAAATTGAGAATAAAATATTAAAATGTGATAAAAAAAAATATAAACATTATAAAAGCTTGAACAGTTGCATTAAACCTAAAGTTACAAAGAGTCAAAGACTAATGATAGTGAGAGCAATCAAAGCTTTAACATGCCTACCGCACTCTACAGATGTTCCATCCCAACGAATGAAGGAAGCTTCAGCAAATTCAAGTGTGCCCAGCGGTAGGAAAAAAAAAAAGAAATTATTAAATAAAGAGGAGAATAAGTTCATAATATTTAGATTAAAGTGGGTTAAAGTGTAAAATAGGCTCTAACTAAACTTTTCAAGCTTTGGTTGATTTTGAAATTTATTAAAATATATATCCAATTAATATACTATAAAAGCATTTGAAACTAAATGTTGATGTGAGGCTTGATAAACCCCAAATGTTTGTTTATGAATTTTGCATAGAAAAGCAGTAAATTACAATTAGATTTAGGTTATTTTATTATTTTAATTTAAATATATGAATTAATAATATGAAAACATGTGATTGATAAAAAAAATTAAGTAAACTGTTAAAAAAAATCCACTCTTGGTTCTTTTTCAAAGCTGTGCTTGTGTCACGTCCAGACCCAAAGTTTTGAGATATAAGAGATGCTACATACTTATGTGATGAATTCCATGAGTATGTAAGGCAACAATATCATACTTAATCAAATATAACACCTCTACAATCTCTTCAAAATTTACACTTTATAAAACCTTAAGTTTCAAATATAATATTAACATATAAATTTTCAAAAGATACAAATTTCTCGTCTAGCAAACATTTACTTAACAAACTAAAAACTGAATACTCACATCAAAGTTTATAATTATTCAAGGCATACATTAATCTTGCTAACCAAAACTCTAGCCAAGCAAGTCTAACTCCCAAACATGCAAAGATGTTGAAATCTGTAAAATGATGAGAATTAATGGAATGAGTACAACTGGTCAATAAGTAACAAACCTCTCTTTAGTTGGATTAAACATGCTCAAAATATTTAAGTCGAAATTATTAATACATATATAAGTATCAAAACAAAATTTTGAGTAATCTTGTTCATAATTATATATTTCAAAATTTCATTTTTAAATTACAAAAGTAAACATAATTTCGTTTCAAATAACATAGTTAACACAATTTCGAAACTTTCAAATAACAGACCAGAGCATAATTTCACATTGATTTGAGACTTTATTAGTCTCCTATAACATACTACGACCACATTTAACCCTTGTGGCATATGTAAGAAATAAAACTACAATAACCCCAACGGCACGGGTTAGAATCAGAATTATAATTAACCCTAGTGAAATGGATCAAAAGTATATCAAAAGTAATCATTGATTACATTGAATAGATATCATAAATACCACTATTCGGAATTAAAAACCAATACTACTACTTATCAAAACGAATCACGACTCTTTGCTGGTCATTCTAAAGCATTTAAGGTATGGTATCTTTTTCACTAACTAAAGTTAATTTTGATTAAAAATAAAAATTAATTTTTTTAATAATTTATAAATACGTAAAACGTTCAAAACTTAGAAGCTTAGAGTTTAAAATACAAAATCAGTAACAAATATAAAGTTTGATGGATATACATCAAATGCTAATTAAACCTTGACTCTTGAATATTGTTAACAAATTTTTTGAAATCTATTAATTCAAAAATAATTTTTCAAATAAATATTTACTCATAAAAAATTAACTAAAATTCAAATAGCTCAAATTTCTGAAGTTTCTATCAAAATAGGTTGAATATAGGTCAAAAATAATTTTAAAATAATTAAAAATGAATTTTTATAAATTCTTAAATTTTATATTTTCATGACCATCTGGCTTTGAGCACTTATAACTCTTAACCCAAATTGTTTCCAATGATTAAATCAAAACCAAACTGAAGTGTTCATGTCACACTATAACATTAAAATTAGTTTTGATGAAAAAGATTGTAAAATTCTCAAGTTACAGAAGCTAAAAGTTTAAAAATTATTACAAACTTACCTAGATTTTTGAGTTTCCAGATTAAAGTAGCCAAATTTGAACATTCGGTTCTCTTAATACAAAAAGCTTCTAATTGAGCCATTGACACCAAATTAAACTGCACATTTCATACAAGCCTCAAAGAAACAACTCAAAACATTATAGGAATGTGGAGTTCTAACTAAAGTTGTGTTATAAAAACCGTTGAAAACGGGTTTTCAGTTAATTTTAAAATTCACATCTCTCTAACCATAAAACAAAACGAGATATTATAAAAACTATTAGAAAGATCTTTTCAAGACCTTTCCATTGGTATCCATCATGCTGTTGGAAAGTTACCGGAATAGTATCGGATTTGAATGGAAGTTAAACAAACATAAACAAATTTTAAGATCTTTTATTTTGAACTATGCAAAAATACAATTTTCATAAATTAAAGCCTATCATACCTTAACTACTGCTTTCTTGAATAGATTTTTCCTTTTTCTGTCTTTCTCCTTCTTCACCAAAATTAGTTTCTCCCAAATGGTTTTCTTCTTCTAATTGCCTTTCTCTTAAGATGATATCAAAGAGAGTTAACTTCCCTGACTTTTTTTCCTCTTCTAAATGTGATATTGCAAAACTATATTTCTTTTAACTTCCTTAAATAGTTTTCCTTTAAACGTGATAATGTAGCTATTTTTCCTTAAATGTGTGATAAAAACTGACATTAACAAAACTACTTTATTTGCTTAAAAACCATTAATCTATTCTCTTTTTATTAATAAGCCCAAAATCATAACTGCAATTATAAAAAGTTGGACTTATGTTATATTTATTTAATATAAACTATAACTTAGTAATTACTAATTTTTTATAACATAATTTAATTAAGTAGAATATTTTTTTTAGGTATTACATCTTGTTACGTCAATAAATTTGGCTTTCAAAGAAAAAAAAAACCAAATGAATAACATCTTTAGCCTCATCATTTCTAGCAGTGCTCTTCTTCAAAATGATAAGTCAATATATTAGATAATCAATACATGTCATTAAATTGACAATTGTAACTCTAACTAACAATTATTAATCAATGATTAGTGATATATTTGATTCAAAATAAAAATATAAAAATTTAATTAAGTAAACATAAAGAGCTATATTTGATTTTTTTCTTATATAATTTAATGATTTTTTATTATATTTAGATTTTGTTAGAATATATCATATAATTTTTTAAATTTGTACATTATCTTTTATATATATATATATATATATATGTGTTAGAACACCAAACTGAAAACTTAGAAATTGGCTTCAAGGCGTGTATCAATGCCACTATCCTTAAGGTTTTATTCGCCCCCACTTGTAGTATGCAAAAGAGTTACCGGCGTATAAACCTCGAAGATACAATGAAGCCCAGTGATTGATGGCGTTTTGCACTGACGAAATCAATCCACTGAGCACTCACCGGAGTATAACAAGATTATCAAACTTCTATAATATTTTTTCTGCAGGAAAATAGTATAGAAGAAAACTTGGAAGATGTTTGAGAAAGAATAAGGAGAGATATTACTGTTTTTCTTATTTTCATTGGATAAGGAGGGTCATCTTTTATAGGCATAGATGCCTGTTCTCAACAGACACTATTTGTGTCTGTTTCAAAGAGTTGCTTTTGTTGGTCTTTTCCAACAGACGTGACTCTTTTCTTATTTTATAGTGTCTATTGATTTAATTTTCAACAGATACAACCCTTCTTTTAATTTCCAACAGTCACAACTTTCCTTCTATTTCGATATGAAATCATATTTTTATTTGAAAATGTCCAACAATATATATATATATATATGCGATGAAGACAGAGGCGGAGGGAAGGGGGCTAGTGGGGGCCTCGCCTTGCTAACAATTTCAAAAATTTTATAATTTATCTTTATTTTTTAAAAATTTAATAATTTCACTCTTATAAAAATTTTAAAATTTTTCTAACATATTTGATTTTTTTAGAATTTTATAATTTTATCCCTATAATAATTTTTTATTTGGTAAGATGTCCCACAATAATTAGTTAACAACTAATTTTAATAAGATTAAAATAAAACCTATTGTAATAAAATTATTCCCAACCCTTACTTCTCCAAAACCTCACAACCTCCCCTTTTTGGTTTTTTTTTAATCTTTTTACCAAGTACTAAAGAAACGAAAAAAATTTTTCTTTTACAGTTTTTTGCTTGCTAACATTCTCTGTGCAGAAAACTTCTAGTTGGTAAGTCAATTTTTATGTTATGGTAATTGGTAAGTTTGATTTATTTAGTTATTTTATTTTTAATATTTTTAATATTTAGTTTTTATTAAATAATTTCAATTTGATGATTTTGATTTAAGATTTATTGTCTTAGTCATTTTTGTTGAAAGCAATAAAATAAGAATTTGATTAATCACCTATTGCTAGTTATTACTTATTTATTTAGGGATTGTTTGTTTACTTTCTTACAAATTATTTGTGTTTTTTTTATTTACTTCGATTATTTTGAACCTTTAAATTTTTTATTCAAATTACTTCTTTATTGAATTATTTATTGATATTGTATTTAATTTATATGATTAATTTTAAAAAATTACTTCTCATTGAATTATTTATTGATAACTTTTAATATTTTTTAATAGATTGCTTTTCATCGAGATTTTTGTTATTATATTTATTAACTTTTGTTTGTTGTTAAGTTTATTTAGAAATTGAGATTATTGTTATTATTATAATATTTATCATTATACTAGTTAATTTTTTAAATAAATTATTAAGATTGATCCTTTGAGTGATTTTTAAAATTTATTTATATAATTTATTAATAAATTCTTTTAAATTACTTTATATTGTTTTTATTTTTCACCTCACCGGAAATCTTGACCCTGCCACTGAGTCAGCGTTTCCACAAGGAAACACGGTCGCCTTTTGTGATTTGTTTGTATTTCTCTTTGGATTTTGTTACTGCATAACTAACAAGTCTCCGTTTAGCAATCCGTCCGCGCCACAGTCATGAAGATTTCTTCCTCCCCCTGTCTGGTGTTTTTGGTCCACATCTTCATGTTGTTCGCAGCGCATGTTTATTCACTGACTGATGATGAGTCTGCGCTTCTCGCCTTGAAAGCCTACATCGATCCTGGAACTGCAAATATCTTGGCAAGCTGGACAACGAAATCTTCAGTTTGCAACTGGATTGGTGTCACTTGCGGTGGCCAACCCCAGAGGGTCATAGCCTTGAACCTTTCATCCATGGGTCTAGATGGCACCCTCCCTCCGCAAATTGGTAACCTATCTTCTTTTGCTCCGCTAACAACACAAACAACAGCTTTTATGGTTCTGGTCGTAAACTTGAGTACTTGATACTAAAACATAACAATTTAATTTGTAGGTAAAGTTCCATCAGCTTTAGGCAACATAACTTCACTGAAGAAGATCTATCTGAGTAAAAATCAGCTCTCAGGTTTCATTACCTCTAGCATTTTTAATGTTTCTTCACTGCAAATAATTGATCTCAGCTTCAATAGGCTAGTTGGAGGACTTCCAGTAGATATGTTTAATCTTCTTCCAGACTTAAAGGAGCTATATCTCTCTGGGAATCAACTTCATGGACAGATCCCAAGCAGTTTATTCAACTGCTGGCAGCTAGAAGTACTATATTTGCCTTCTAATAATTTCACAGGAGCCATACCAACAACGCTTGGGAATTTAACCATGCTCAAGGAATTGTATCTCAGCAATAACATCTTGGAAGGTATGACACTATCACCCAGACCATTTTAGTAAAGCTCCCAACCTTTTAAAGATGTTTTCTCATATATTGAACAGAATGTATCAAGAATATGCCACTTGGAATATAGAATTTGGTTTGTCTTAATTAGTTATACTTGTCCGCCTGGTGATTTATCTTGATAATAACATTTTTTTTTGAAAAATTATATGAATAGTTCATTGAGTCAGAAAGGGGAAAGCCTTTGCACATCCAAACCCTTAGGAAATAGGTTATCACAACAATATGAAAAATCTGAGCATATTCCATTTTAGTTTCCATTTTTAATATTTACTTCGATATTTTTCATACTTTTTCAGTGTTTTAACTTATTCGACATATGCAGGTCGTATACCAAGCAGTATTGGGAACTGTACATCACTCACTCTCTTGGACCTGGCTGATAACTCATTTGATGGTCTCATTCCTAACACAATTGTCAATTTGAAAAATCTCCAAAAACTCAATTTAGCCCATAATGCCTTAACCATTGAATCCTCCACTCTAGAATCTAGCTTTATCAATTCTGTGACAAATAACATGCATTTGAGAAGGATAGTGTTATCAGGCAATCCTCTAGATACCATGCTCCCTATGTCCATTGGAAATCTCTCCACTTCTCTTGAATACCTTTGGTTAACTGATTGCAAACTTCAGGGCAGAATTCCATCTGAAGTTGGCAACTTAAGCAGCTTGGTTGCCTTAAGACTGGGAAACAATGAACTGACGGGTGTTATTCCAAGCACAATTGGAAGACTACAAAAGTTGCAAGGATTGCACCTTCAAGGGAATAAATTGCAAGGAACCATCCTCTATGATTTTTGTAAGTTGAGCAGCTTGTTTGAATTGTTTTTAAGTGGTAATGAGCTTTCTGGATTAATACCAGAATGCTTAAGTAATCTCACAACTCTAAGAAATCTCAGCTTAAGCTCTAATAGATTAACTTCCACAATACCTTCCAGCTTGTGGAGCCTTACGGATATCCTGGCCATAAACATGTCATCAAATTCTTTGCAAGGGTCTCTTCCGTTTGAGATTGAAAATTTGAGGGTTGTGATAGAAATTGATTTGTCAAAGAATCAGTTTTCAGGCTACATTCCAAACAGCATTGCGTACCTCAAGAGTCTAGAATATCTCTCTTTGGCAGTAAATAGATTGGAAGGTCTCATTCCAGAATTCCTTGGTAGTTCTGTGAGCTTGGAATTCTTGGATCTCTCTCATAACAAACTGTCTGGAGTAATTCCTATGTCCTTGGTACGGCTCCGTCTTATATATTTTAATGTATCTTTTAATGAACTTGAAGGAGAAATACCTAGCGGAGGAAACTTTGTTAACTTCACAGCCCACTCATATGTGATGAACAAAGCACTTTGTGGTGCACCACGATTGCAAGTTCCAACATGCAGGACTGGTACTTCCAAAAGATCAAGGAGACCTATTTTGACTCTTGCAAAGATTCTGTTGCCAATAATTGCATCAATGTGTATCCTGCCACTGATGTACCGGGCAATAAGACTTGCATCAATGCGTTTCCTGCGACAGATATACAGAGCAATAAAACACTGCCTGAAAAAGAGAGAGGATCCGCTTTTAACAACAAATAGAACAATTCTATACCAAGAAATTGTGCTAGCAACAGATGGATTTAGCGAAAGTAACATAATTGGCACTGGGAGTTTTGGTTTTGTTTACAAGGGAGCAATGAAGGAGGAGAAGAATGTTGCAATAAAGGTTTTCAATTTGCATCCAGAAAAAGGATTGAGGAGTTTCCAGGTTGAATCTGAATTGCTGTCCAATACTCGTCATCCTAATCTTGTCAAACTCATGAACAGTTGCTGTGATGATGATTTCAGAGCCTTGGTGCTAGAATATATGCCCAACGGGACCCTGGACAAGTGGCTTTAGACTCACAATTATTTTTTGAATCTCTTGCAAAGACTCGACATTATGATAGAAGTTGCATCAGCCATGAGCTACCTTCACTCAATACACGTAATTCACTGTGATTTAAAACCTAGCAATGTCCTGCTAGATGAAGACATGATTGCTCGTGTAAGTGATTTCAGTATTGCCAAACGCTTAGGTGAAAATGCTACAATGCAAACAAGGACCATGGCCACTTTGGGGTACATGGCACCAGGTAATGTTTGTGTTTTGCTTCGTATTTGCATTTTGATTTATGTAGATGTAATTCCTCGGTGGTTTCTATTTTGAAAGCCTATTCTCATTAATGCATTGTACTTAACTGTAGAGTATGGATTGAGTGGAATTATATCTGAAAAAACAGATGTGTACAGCTTCGGTATTCTACTCATGGAAACATTCACCGGAAAGAAGCCCACAGATGATATGTTTGATGGAGAAATGAACTTGAGGCTCTGGATATTTGAGTCATTACCTCATACAGTAGACAGATTTATTGATGTCAGTTTGCTGCAGATTGATCAGGGAGACATAGCAGCTAAAACAAGATGTGTGAGATCAATCATGAAAGTTGCTTGGTTTTGTACTGCAGAGTCAAGTCTTGAGAGGAAGACTATGGCTGAAGTTGAGTTTGAGCTCCATAGGATCAAATCACGTTTTTTAATTGAGACTGAATTGATAGAATGCCAAGAAATGCCAAGGGAAATAGTATATCCTAGGATTTCGTACCAAGAGCTTGAGCTAGCAACAGATGGATTTAGTGAAAGGAACCTGCTTGACTTGGGGGAATCTTGTGTCGTGTACAAAGGAATACTGAAAGACAAGAGGATTGCTGCAATAAAGATTTTTAATACACAAAAAAGAGGGTTTCGGAGTTTTGAAGTTCAATCTCAAGTGCTGCCCTTTATTCGTCATCGGAATGTTGTCAAAATTTTGAAATGCTGCTGCGACGTTGGTTTCAAAGCCTTGGTGCTAGAGTACGTCCCCAACTTGTCTCTTCAAAAGTGGCTTTGTCGAATATCCCCTGGCTTGAATATTTTGAACTTTTCGAAAAGGCTTGATATAATGATAAACGTGGCATCAGCTTTGTGTTATCTTCATACTATGGGTGTCATTCACTGCAATTTAAACCCAAGCAATGTCCTGCTAGATAATGATATGGTAGCTCGTGTGAGTGGCTTCAGCATTGCCAAATGCTTAGACAAAGGGATTGGTGCAACAATTACCACAACCATGGCCACTGCTGGCTATATGGCACCAGGTGATTGTAGTTCCAGGGTGTAGTTCATAATTATCATATTCCCTGTATGCATGTATGCATGTCATTTTTCTTTGAAAGCCTATTCCTCAATATCACGCATCCTGTTAGATGTCTTATATTCAATGCATAATGCATTATTACTATCTCCTATGCAGAGTATGAATCAATGGGAACTGTTTCTGAGAAAACTGACGTGTACAGCTTTGGTATTCTTTTAACGGAAACATTTACCACAATAAGACCAACGGAAGAAACGAACAGGAGCTGGATATGCCATTCATTACAAGTAGTTGACACAGTTGTAGATCTCAATTTCGTGCACGCTGGTCAAGAACACTTAGCAGCTGCTACAAGAAGATGTTTACGTTTGATCCTGCAATTGGCTTATTGTTGCACTGCAGAGTTATCTGATGAGAGAAAGACTATGAAAGAAATTGAATCGGAGCTTGTCAGGATCAAAAAACGGTTCTTAAGTGATAACTGACAAGAAATGGTTCTAATATCCCACCACTGTCCCCTCAAAAAACAAAAAGGATACCACCACCGAGATTTTTCATTTTGCCTTTTCATTTCTTGATCCTGCTTTTCTAAATGACAGGGTAGCAGGTGTTTCATGTGTGAAACAGGGTGTGGAAAGGGTGTTTTAGCGGCATGGTTAAAAATGTTTTGCCAGTATGATTTTCCTTCAATAATTCAGAACGAATGTACGTCTCGAATTAAATTAAGCATTGCAAATATCATCATATTTTAATTATGAATAGAATTCTAAGTTTAGGCACGCCAGCTAGCAATAGTTACCATTCAAGGGCAATGGACAATAATCATCAGATTACCTTGAAGTCAGTAAAATCACTCTTAGCAGTGGACAACGATCACCTTGCTACGTCGCATCCTCCAGGGCCACGAAATCTGATTTTCAGGTCAGATCACAATATAGCAAATCAGCACAAAAGGAATTCGTCTATGGAGGCAGGAGGTACCCAAGTCATCTGCCACCATTTAAAAACCGTAGTCCATACTATCCAGCTGAATCTACTGCTCAGAGGGATATGGGAGTATGTTTCTGTCTCTACTTGCACTATCCACATAATTATTGTTTACCACTGAAGGTGACACAATTGTTTACCAATGAAGGGGACCCACGCAATGTGTCACGGTCCACACCTACTTGACACTATCCACATAATTACTGTTTATCATTAAAGGGGATTCAGTATTGTCTACTTTGGCATGCTAGCCTCGTAATTTTATCTCAAAAAATATTTTACAGATTAAAAGTGTTGTGAACTTTTATATTCATAGTATCACTTTAGTATATAACTAATGTGAGATTCATGACTTCTCTTTCTAAGATGATGACATCTACCTTTATTTTCCGTTGGGAATTTTTTTTCGATGTGAAACTTTGTGGCTCTATCATGATGTGGGATTTACGTCCAAGTAAAGATCGTGACATAGTGACAGAAATGCTCATGTTGGTATAGAATCGAGGATTGCAAGTCATAGGAAACACAATGGCATTTGGTTCAACCAAAGTTTCTTACTTTCCTTGCAATTTAATTTATTGTAACGTCTCTATAATGTTTGGATGTTTGATTTGCAATGAGTTAAAGAATGTCATTACAATTGTAAAGTCATAAAGGGAATGTTAATCGCTAGCTCATGAAGGGAAAATAAACTTTTTCTCTATTAGTGTAAAAGGTTTTAAATGGAATTCAAGAAACTGGTAAAATTAACTTTAAGATAAGTTTTTAATAGATACTACTTTTAAGATTTATTTTATCTCACCACTCGATATATAAAAGAGAAATTATACAAATAATCTCAAGATACAATGAAGTCAATGTTTAATTTCGTTTTTACACTTTATAAGAGTAGACTGTTAAATATACAAAAAAGTTTACAAAGTTATTCGACCTTAGTACTTATTTTCTGCAGTAAGTAAATTATAAAGAATTTGGATACCTTTGATAGATGATGGGAACTCAAGTGTTTATGTTTATTTTTATAACACAACATTTTTATTGCTCTTGATTTTTAACTCTTGTTTTATTTATTTTTAGTGTTTTAAAATTGTTGGTAGTAAGTCTTTTATATAAACTTACAAGTGTCTCTTTTTAAAAACTCAACCCTTTCATCAAAGTATTCGACAACTTTGCATTTTGCAAGACACAATCTATGGATAAATGTATTGTTTTAATAATTATCTTATGAAAAAATAGCTATTTATTTCATAAGACATAATCTTTGAAGTACAATATAAAAAGATAATTTTTCATATCTAAACTTTTGAGTTGTAGTATTTATTTTTTGTCTTATAACCTTTGAATTGAAGGTTTTTTTTAACATGTCGCTTTATTAGGAAACATAACTATTCACATAAAAAATACATCTACAATCCAATAGTCATAGTATTTGACATAACTTTTCAGTTAAAATAACTTTTCATATGAAGAGACAATCCTTTATTTTAAAAATGCACTAACAATCTTTCATTATTTTCAAATACCAATAGTTTTGGAAATTTTATCCATAAATGAAGGTATTGCGTAAAATTGAACTTTCTCCTAATGAGTGTAGTTGGTTTTAATCTAAATTGAGTAATTTACCAAATATTGAAATATCGATTCTTCATTTGACTAATCAAGTCACTAAACACACAAACTTTTTCACTCATTTTGTATCTAGTTTTGCTAACACATTTTTATGATCTTGTGTTTTACATCCATTTATGTGTACTATCAAAGTCAAGTCTTTAATTCCTATAAATGATAATACTTTTATTAAAAAAGTAATCCTTATGGAAAGTATCATGTAATTATAATACACTTCCAACATATACGTGATGCTAGAATATATGCCTAACGGAACCTTGGACAAGTGGCTTCACGCTCACAATTATTTTCTCAATCTCTTGCAAAGACTTGACATAATGATCGAAGTTGCATCGGCTTTGAGTTACCCACATGGAAAACATGTCGTTCACTGTGATTTGAAACCTAGCAATGTCCTGCTAGATGAACGTATGGTTGCTCATGTGAGTGATTTCAGCATTGCCCAACCCTTGGGTAGAGTGAATGATGTAGTACAAACCGAAACCCTGGCCACTCTTGGGTATATAGTACCAGGTAATGTTTCTACGTTGATTTCTATTTGCGTTATTTATTTCATGTATGCATGTAATTTCTCTGTCGAATCTAATTTGAAAGGCTATCCTTTAATCATGCTTTGCTATCTTACATGTACAGTATGGATCAAGTGGAATTATATCTGAAAAAACAGATGTGTTTAGCTTTGGTATTCTACTGATGGAAACATTTACCAGAAAGAAGCCTGCAGATGAAATGTTTGATGGAGAAATGAACTTGAGGCGCTGGATATACGAGTCATTACCTCATGCAGTAGATAGAATAACAGATCTAACTTTGCTTGAGACTGATCAGGAAGTCTTACCTGCTAAAACAAGATGTATACTATCAATCATGAAAGTGGCTAGGCTGTGCACTGCCTGTTGCGAGGAAGACTATGACAGAAGTTGAATTAGAGCTCGAGAGGATCAAACAAAAATTTTTAAGAGACACTGAATGGTTAGACCAAAGGGAAATATATAAAAGAATTTCACGCCAAGAACTTCGATTAGCAACAAATGGGTTTGATGAAAGTAAAATAGTTCAGTTTATGGACTCTAGTGTCATGTACAGAGGACAACTGCCAAACGGAGCGATTGTAGCAATTAAGGCTTTCAGTCGAATAAAAAGAGGGCGGGAGAGTTTTGCAGTTGAACCTGAAGTGCTCTCCTTTGTTCGCCATCGGAATGTTGTCCGAATCTGGATGATGTGCAATGACGCTGATTTTAAAGCCTTGGTGCTACAATACATACCCAATAGATCTCTGGAAAGGTGGCTTCATCGCAGGGATGACATCTATTCTAAGAATGTATTGACAATGCTTGATACGATGATAGATGTGGCATCAGCATTCTGCTATCTCCATTTAATTTAATGCGTGTCATTCAGTACAATTTAAAACCTAGCACTGTCCTGCTGAATGATGATATGGTTGCACATGTTAGTGATTGTAGCATTGCCAAACGCTTAGGCGAAAGGATATCTGCAACAAAAACCAGGACCATGGCGACTGTTGGATATATGGCTCCAGGTAATGTTTCTCATCATGTTCAAGTACAATATAATCTTAAAATCATGTATTAGGCTGAATATATTAATGCCTAATGCATTATTTCTGTTTTATTTGTAGAGTATGAATCAGCTGGAACTGTTTCCTAAAAACCTGATGTTTATAGCTTCGGTATTCTACTGATGGAAACATTTACCAGGAAGAAGCCAACAGATGAAATGTTTAATGGAGAAATCAACCTTAGGAGTTGGATATGCTCTTCATTACCTCATGCACTAGACAGAATTGTAGATGCCACTTTGCTGCGGTCTGATAATGAACACTTAGCTTCTGATAAGACGAGATGCATATTATCAATCATGGAAGTGGCTTCTTGTTGTACTGCAGAGTCGTCTGATGAGAGAATGACTATGACAAATGTTAAAACCAAGCTCATTAGGATCAAAAAACAGTTTCTAGGAAGCGAGGTATTAGTTGCATTATGGAACCTGATTTTCTTGAATGATTTTGCTTCACTATATTTAAAATTTTGAATAGAATTCTGAGTTCAGGCATGCCAGCTAATAGTTACCATTCAAGCATAGTAACATTTAAGTCATTGGATCTTAGCCGTGGGTAATGATCACCATGTTATGTTGCATCCTCTTGTGGACTATAGCCAGTTTATTCATCAGTGCAGGTGGAAATACGATGTTAATATAAAATCACAATATTGAAAATCCACATAAAATGAATTTGCCTGAAATTAAAGGAACAAAAAAATATTAAACCCTCCTAAGTATACAACAACGCAAAACAACGTTGATATCATAGGGAGTAATCATGCTTAGCTATGAAGATTATTCTCAAATCTGTGCCAGAATTAGCATCGTAGCCATCAAATGTTGGAAGGCTATTACAAGCGACCCAATTCCACGAACGACAAAACCACTTGAAGTGGGAATAACTGTTGAAGGATTGTTGCTCTTGGAAGAAGGCTGCCGAAGGGTAGCTCCAGGCTGTGCTTCAGGAGCACCAGCAGTTGTAGATGCTTGATCACCCTCTACATTTACTTGAAGCTTCATCCCTCCTAGACAATGCAACTGGTTACCACAAACAAAATATCTAGCACCAGCTTTTGACAACGTTACTGTTGTGTTCCCATTTGAAAATGTTTTCAGAGTATCTGTTGTGTTGCAACTTTCAAAAGTTTCTTTCCTTACCTCGCATACACTGTGATATGATGAGTATTGGAACACTACGAGAAACAAAAACGAAAGGCGATTTGTCACTAAACTCAACCGGCAAATATCAAATCTTTATTTTGAGGCAGAGAAGGAAAACAAAAATGTAAATCTCAATTTGGCAAGAGGACACTTACATAGAACATCACCAACTTTGAAACTCTTGTCACTAGCCCATGAATCAATATCAGTGCTTATGTCCCAGCCCGAAGTGTCCCCAACCACGTATGTCGCAGCATCACTTGTTAATGCAAAGCAGAAAATAGCAAGAAAATATAGCAGAATCAGCTTGGCCATGAATGAGAGATTAACTGATATATTTGAGGGGATGAAGTTGGCAATTGTGTGTGTATATATATACACACACCTGAGGTTTGCTTATAATTAGATGACCTACCTTCAGAAATGCAAATGACATTTGTTTGTTGAATTGTAGTATCTGTTATTATTATTATTTATGGCATTGAGTGAAGGAGTAAGATATCTAAAATAGCCCGACCCTTTTGGTTCTTTCCATTGGTTTTTGTTGTGATTGGAAACAAAGTGGTTAATTTGTTGGGTTACATTAAAATGGAGGTCATAAAGGGTGAATTTCCATCAACTAAACAATTTCTCCTGAATTCTATTAAATCGGGTGCCTGGAATGGCTGCTCTGCTGTTAGTCTAATTAGACCACGAGCTCTTCAAGCAATTGAATTGCTTAAGCTTAAGAGTAGTGTTCTGTAAATGAGAAAAACTGTTCCATGATTAAGCACGTTCAAATTGTTCCCTGCACTTCAAAACGGCTTGTAGCTCAGGATTTTCTGACCTAGGCTGATTCCTTTCTCTTCATTGGTTGACAACAACTTTTCTCTGTTGCCATTTGTTTGTGTTGTTTGGAATCTTACTCCTGATTTGGTTGCTCAAAGGAATTTAAGGTCGTACAAGCAATTGCCTCATCTTTCTTGCAAGACTGGACATGGCCGACCTGCCCAAGTCAATGGGAAGGGCTTTGGAGCTGGGAGAGGTTTATCTGCCTCACCAGTAAACTTCACCCTCACCCACTCCTCACCAACTTTGTGGGCTAAAGCCCATCATCGAAGTCTTTTTCTATGTAATATGTTTCTGTTTTTGGCCTTTTGCCCCCTCCATAACCATGAGGATTGGACAGAGGAGGGCATTTTTTTGACTTGCCTTTTGTCAGCTGTAGCCTTTTGACAAATCAAAAACTAATTAACCTTGATATAGATGCCGTTTTCTGCAATTGCTTTAAAAGGAGATATCTTTACGTAAATTAAACGAGATCGAAAGCGCCTTTAAATATTATGCCCTTCTCTTCCTGGCCCGCGCCTAGACAGCACCTTTCGCCCTAGAGCTGGAATAGTTTGGAAACGTGGGGGAATCTTGGACTTCCAGCCTTGGTGAAGTAGGTGGCCTGATTGGAGAAATCATGAGACTGTGAGATGGTGTAGCGGCTTTGATAAGGGAAGTCGGGTTGGAATCCAACATGCAAAGTTTGGGTCCTAAATGGGCTCAGCTTGGTGACTCAATTAAAAATTATATAAAGAAACTCTTGGCAATAATTAAATGAAACATTATAGAAAAAAAAAACTTTATAAAAACTAATACAATGATTTATCCTATCAATTTTGATAATGACTTCTGCTGGACATAAAAAAAAAACAAACAAAAAGTTCAAACTTTAGGTACAAAAGCTATTTTTTTTCTTATGTGAAACATTAAAAATGAAGACGTGTCATTTCTTCTCAATTCTCATTCATGAGATAAAATTGCATTTGGATTAATGGAATAACCCTTCTTTGAAATACCTATTCCAAGAGAGTCTTGAATAACCATTACCAAAACCTCTCTTGGTAATAGCCATTTTAAATTATTGAGAATAAGAGTATGTTTGGTTTGATTTTTTTTTTAACTTAAAAAAAGTTATTATAAAGCTTTTATGAAAAATAATAACTGTTAAAATTAAGTTAAAATTATTTGATAAATTTACTTTTATAAGCTCTTTTTCATAGATAAGCTGTTTGGTAAAATAACTTATATAAATTTTAATTTTAGTTAAAATTACTATAAAAAATATTTAATAAATAATTTTTTATTAATTACAAATTTCTTTGTTCAAAATAAAAATATTTTATTTTATTTTTTATCTATTTAAAATAAATTTTTAAAAATATAAAAAAGATTTTTATATAACATAAAGTTTATAATTAATAATAAATCATAAAAAATAGTTTCACAAGTAATTTATATGTAACACATAATTTATAAATAATTTTTTATTGAATATTAATAGATAAATAATATCAAGAGAAAAAAATTGAATCAAATAAGAAAAGTGAGAGATGAAAAAAAACAGTGAGTCAACTATTAGAACCTTTAATCCTAACAAAGGATAAGAATTTAAAAAAGAAGAAGAGAAGTCTACGGTGGTAATAATATTTCAAAAAAATCACGTCTAACTATTAATGTTTTTATCAATAAAGTTCATCCCGTGAATAATATTATCTCAACAATCATAATTAACAAATATTATCTCAATTTTCATCTAATTTATCTAAACAACTATTGACTTATTTAATTAATTATTTCAATCATAATCATCAAATATTATATATAATATAAATAAATTAAGAATAAATAAATATAACATAATTATTATGTCAAACAATAAATTGAAAAATATAATCTAATAAAAAGAGTTTTTAAAATAAAAAAATAAAATAAAAAATAGAAAAATTTCACCGCTACCGTCCTGCACCGTGCACACGACCCAATGTTGCCTTCAAGCCGTCAAAATTATCTTTGCTTTTTCTTTTTCCTTTTTGTTTTTTTTTTAAAAAAAGTCAATTTCAAAAGTTTTCACTATAAACATCTGAATCAATCTTGACGGAAAGGATGCCTCCAAAGAAGAGATTTTAATATAATATAACATTAAATGGGTTTTCATATTTAAAAAATTACGTGTTAAATTTTCACGTATCTAGTAATTTCATGAAATTCATTCAAATTCTATTAATTTTGATGAAAATTGAAATACTAATAATAAAAATAAAATTGAAAAACCTTTTTTGAAATATCCAAATGTAATACAAATGAATTTCATAAAGTGTTTTGTAGAAAATCATTAATTATCATTCCCAATGAATTCTCGAAAATAAAGTAAATAAGAAAAAATGTATTAAAAAATTATTTTAAATTAAGCAAACCCATAAGTGTGTTTTAATATGACGTAAGGAAAATAAGCCAACCATGCCAATTTCAATTGTTTTTAATCTTTATTTTGATGATATGACCTAAGTGGCTCCAAATTTTCCGGTATGAAAAAGACGTTACACTGCAATTAAAACTGTTGGCTTCTCTCCGTAGCGCACAGTTTTCCTAGCAAGTTATTTTTGCTACTAGGCGATCGTATACCGTAAGGAATAAGGCACAAGGAATAGCGCACAGTTCATCTTCAGCATGGTCATAATAATCTTGATTCTGAGACCGCCACTGTGCCTGTTATTGATTACTCTAGGTTGAGACAAGCTGCTACTGATGAACATAACAGTTGATGCCGTCACCACACAAATCGGTGATGACCAAAATTAGTGCAATACAGGCCAAAACATATGCGTATGTTTCATTACTTGTGCAATCTTTTACTACAAGGTTCTTCTCAGTCAATAATGGATGGAGCACTGACTTAGCAGCTGAAGAGAAACTGAAATTTGAGATAGGGAATTAGAAATTTCAATTTTTTTTTTTGAGAGAAGGAAGATTTAAATTCATGTTTTTTAAATAGAGAGATTATTTATTAATTAATCAGTAAAATTGTTCAGGTGCAGATTAAGTTCAATATTTTCATAAATAAATTCAATTTTGAACTATACTATATGATTGAGAGGATTATTTAGTAAATATTTGACATTGATTTTAGTTGATCTTCATTCAATTAAACAAATGCAATATATTAGAGTTGAGAAATAAGCATCAAATATAAAATTTATATGTATATTGCAAAATATTAAGAGAAATTAAAGTGAAAAGTAATGAATCTGACAAAGTCTAAACGAGGCAGAAGCCAAAATACTCGGTCTTAAATCCGATCATAATGACAAAGTTCACATTCAGGGCAGAGAGGGAGATCCTCTCTAGAATTAATAACACTTGCCAATTTCACCCAATCTAAGAATTAATCTGATTTTCTATAGGAAAAAAAAGGGCCAACTTTTTTCGGAAAATTAAATAGACACTCATAAAGTTACATAGACATTCTTGTTTCTTTTCTTTTTCCTTTTATTTTTTTTTCTCTAACCCATTCTTAAATTTCATGCTTTTTGGTACGAAGCAGAAAAAGATGTATAGATCAGCAAGCTGGAGCCGAGTTTCGGATGACTATTACTCGTCGCCCAAGGCGGGGACGGGGCTGAGAATGTCATCATCGGTGGAAGGCAATAATGAGGTGCCCATGTATGATCCCATCATAGAGATGGCCAAGAAAGAGAAGTCACGGGCTAAGTTTGCAGAGAATGCTGTCCATATAATTCCTTTGGTGCTCCTTGTTTGTGCCTTCATTCTCTGGTTCTTTTCCAATGCAGGTAAAGTTGGTAATTCGCACCAACATCCTTTGATTCTTTGCATACATATGTATATATTCTTGACCTTTCCAGGGGTGTTGGATCACTGGATGAATCTTTCCTGCTTGCTTTATTCCGTTTGCCCATTCCATTGCTCCCTGTTGAATTATGTGATTAAGACAAATAGTACAGAATGATTGACTAATAAATGCCATAATTTGGTTGTTTTCACTATCCTTTTATCCAAAACAAATCATCAAAACAGCCGATTTCCTTAGTGGAGCCTTCATCTTTTACGAAAAGTTTGCCAGAAGTGTTATCTTGGTGTAACAGGGGATAGCATTTCTGTTTTGCATATCTACAAAGTTCCGAAAATTCTTAACATCTCAGAATTGACAAGAGATAGGAATATATACACAACAGTTTAGACATTGAAGAGATTTGTTAAATGATTGTTAAACCCTTTTCTTTTTTCTCTTTTTGGGGAGTCCTGAAATGCAGATGTGGAAGTGGTAACGAAAGCGGATTCAGTGGCAGCAAGAATCGAAGGATTGACAATCGATGGGGACATTGATAATGATAGTGATGGTACTCAGACAGGGTTTTTGCCAATTGCGGATTCGGTGGACGCCGACACACCAAAACAACCTAAAGATATAAAAGCTTCAAGGAAGCTGCAGAATTACAATCTCAAACGATGATTTCCCTTCCTTATTTTCCTAGAAAGATCAATGATATGAAGACAAAGGCAGCATCAACTCCCCAACGCCAACTTTCCTTGAGGAACATGGGAGAAAAAGGAAAATTATCCAACTCGCCTTCATCCCTAGAGAAAATTCATGTTCATGGTAATTGAAATACATGGTTTCAGAATTACCCATTCCAGAATTTTATATTTTCAGTTCCCATTTTTATCATTTTCCCTACAAAAGTGCAAGTTCTACTTTCTTATAGTTTAGTGAGATAGGAAATTCATAGTTGTTGTATGTATTATGTCCACATAAGCTTAATTTTAGCTTTCACTATTCCATATTGTGAGAGTCGAATTTGAAATTTAAAAATTTCAAGCTCTATTCTTTATCACTGAAATTTTCGTCGGTATTAATCACCTTGCACTCACATTCATGTTTGAAAAAAGAAAAAATTAAGAAAGGATAAAAGGTATACTTTTAAAATTTTAATTTAAATATAAAAGATGGATAATTTTCTAATAGTTTAAATTGTTTAATATAATTGGTTAGCCAACCATCCTATTAAAAATACAAAAGCAAAATAAAAATATAAATTACAGAAAGAAAAACTTTAATTATTTTTGTTGCCAAGGCTAGTATTTGAGAACAAGTTAAACTAATTTTAGATTTAAATCATCAATTATATCAAACTTATTACCTATTAACTAATCGTTTTGGTTTACTTTAAGCTTAAAAATACTAGAAGAAAATGTCATATTTTAATTATTTCTATTTATTGCATTTTTTATTTATAAATTAAAAAACTCTTCAAAATAACTTAATAACAATAACAACAAAATTGCTACTTAAAAACTAACATATGATTAACTATGTGAATGGGTAGGATATCCATTATTTGTAAGATACCTAACCTCAAACCCCATTATTTGATAAGATACTTAAATCTTGTAAATATTCAATTAAAATTTTTAATTATTATTCAAAATCATACTCAGATATTTTAGACAATACTAGTTAAATATCTATACTAGTTAATTTATAAATATTTTAAATTTAAAATGATAATTAGAGCAAATAATGAATTTTAATAAATATTAAATAAATAATAAAAAATTTAAAAATAAAAATATATATAATTAAAATTTAATAATAAAAATCATTACTTGTAATAGTGATAGGATAAGGAGTATTTTAAGATCATTATCTGAACTTGATTATAAAATATTTTAATATTACAAATTGGATAATGCATGATACTTGATCACTAGTACTCTTTGACACCTCTACATATAATGGTAGAAATCAAGCCTAGTATTAACAAATAAATAAATAGATTAAGGTATTGCAAAAAGAAAAAAAATAATTCTTTTTGATAAAAGGAAAAAAAGAATATTGAAAGTAGTTAGAGGAGAAATTGTATGAAACGAAAAACAAAAAGGAGTTAGGGTCGGGATTTGACTTGGGAATTTTAGGACGCCACTATAAAATGCAAACTTTTCGGTGGTGTCGTTAACATTCTTTTTCTCTGTCTTGTCTTTAGTTCCGAACTAAATAAAAACTCAATCTTTCCTTTTTCTCGTCTTCTTGCTTTTCTCTGTTTCACTCTCCTTCACACTACAGCAACAACAGAAACAGAGCTCTAAACTTTTTTGGCCTTTCTGTCAGAACCCGGTCCCATCTCTCCACCAACGGACCGGCCCGCTACTCGGTCGAACCAACAGTCATGACTCCTGAATAGTAAGCTTCCCGATCACCCCCTTCCCCCACTTTTTTTTTTCCTTTCTTTGGTTTGTATTTGTGTTCAATTATGGTTGTTGCCCTCCAATTACTTTTTGTTATTTCCTTAAGATCCGTGATGCTTTTGTTCTTTGCCATGATGGGTTCTTTTACAAAAGCTTCTTTCTATATGGATCAGTTCTCTTTTTTTTAGCTGTTTAATTATGGGTTTTGTTGGTTAATTTCAGTTTAATTTCTATTTCTGATGTCCTTTTGGGTAGCCAACCTGAATTATGGTTTAGTTATTTGTTTAGATCTGTAACATTGATGCTATTAAAGGAATTGGGTGTCTGTTACTTTCGGCAAATTCTACAGCTTTGTCTTTGTGATAAAAATACTATTGCTTCATCATAAAGTAATCTATTTTACTTAAAAAAATATTAAGCTGAATTGTGGGTGTTGAATTCTGATCAAGAATTTGGAGCGAAGAAATGTTGAGTTCAGGTTTCGGATTTTCTATATTTGCTTTTTATACTTTTCTGTCATGTTACTATGAAATGATAACCTTATTTCAGACGGATAATCTAAACTAGATTTCATTGTGTTATAATCCTATGCGTCATGGTAACATGCTTATGCATTTTGTCATACAATGTAGAAATGAGGTTAAGGCTTAGTTTGTGCCTAATGTGATCTTTGAATGTTGGAGGGAAAGTTGGTGTAAATATGCTCAGATTTTTATTGTAGAACAGATTGATTAATATTGTTAGACAAATAAAGATTTTTTAGGTTTTCTTATACATATTATTTTGAGATGTTGTTACTTGACATGTTAAAGGTTTTAATTTTTGAGCAGTGACTATTTGTTCAAGCTATTGCTAATCGGAGACTCTGGAGTTGGCAAATCATGTCTTCTCCTGAGATTTGCTGTAAGCCTCCTCTGTAACAATTACTTTTGTTGCTCTGTTTTCCCTCTAATTTATTATGCTTAACCATTGTTTGAAAATTGGCAATGGTATTCCCTAATCAAATTGCCCATATGAATTAAGCATAAATTCTACTGTCTCCACTGCATCTATTTTACAAGTTTTGAAGTATGCAGAAGAATTTAGTGTTAATTGCGGAAACTTAAATGCTGGAGTAGAGTTTTTGAAGCATGATTCTGAAATTATCTCTGCAATCTGACTACATCTTTTTTCACTCAAATGCAGGATGATTCGTATCTGGACAGTTACATAAGCACAATTGGCGTGGACTTTGTGAGAATTTCTGACCTGTAGGTTAAAGCAGGTGTTTATTCTTATTTGAGTTTTATGTCTTGTATTTTTGTTTCTGTTCTACAGAAAATACGCACTGTGGAGCAAGATGGGAAGACTATAAAACTTCAAATTGTGAGAATCTTTCCCTTATTTATTTGCTTTTCTTTCAGTTCATTGAATTAAACTTGTAGATGGCATTTCTTTGCTTTTGAGTCTCAGGCCTCGTTCTAGTTTGATTCCTTTCCTGGATTTATTATTTTTTTATTGGTTGTGGTGTATACTTTTTATTTATCTTATTTGTTGAATATTTTTATGTGGTTGTTATTTTTTTTTTGACATGTGTTTGTTTTTGCCTGTAAGCTCTGATGCAGAATTTGTCATTGTGATTATGGCTTTATTCTTTTATTATCATGGATAGATTTTGGCTTGGTCTTAATGTGTATTCATTTTGTTCTTTACCATAAGATCTTTCATTCATTTTGGTTTTTTGGGGTGGTATCTTTTGTTTTCCTGTGCTAATTTAAGCTACTGAAGTACATCAACCTCTGCTTTCTTTCCTCTGAAACATGCAGTGGGATACTGCAGGACAAGAACGGTTCAGGACAATCACTAGCAGCTACTACCGTGGAGCACATGGCATTATAGTAAGCTCTCTCTCTCTCTCTCTCTCTATCCATGTGTGTGCATTCCCTTATTTCTTCATCATTGTCCTCTTTTTGGGATGCTTTTTGCATGCTATGGACAAGTTTTGTAACATTTGTTCCACATCTGGCAGATAGTTTATGATGTAACTGACCAAGAGAGCTTCAACAACGTTAAACAATGGTTGAGCGAAATTGACCGTTATGCAAGTGAGAATGTGAACAAGCTTCTGGTTGGAAACAAGTGTGACCTTACTGCTAACAAAGTTGTTTCTTACGAAACAGCCAAGGTAAAAGTGGTTCTCCTATCTGCTGATTATATTTATGAAATTGAATAGTAAAAAGTCACATTGATAATGTTCTATTAATAGGCATTTGCAGATGAACTTGGCATTCCATTTATGGAGACTAGCGCAAAAAATGCTACTAATGTTGAGCAGGCTTTTATGGCAATGGCAGCTGATATTAAGAACCGGTACTTCCTTCGCCCGTAACATTGTGTTTCATCATAAAAAAATTTTATATTAAATGCTATAGATATCCTAATATTCTTGCAAAGTGTGATTAGCATTCAGGAATATGGCATTAAGTAGTATTTCATTATTGGACTTGTTAAAAGGGACTGCTAAAGAAACAGATTCAATTAGCACTACTTTCATCTCATCTGCAGAAACATATACTGCTTCTGATTGCCATCCCCATTTATCTTTTTCTCCTTTTACTACAGGATGGCAAGCCAGCCAGCATCCAATAATGCAAGGCCTGAAATGGTGCAGATACGAGGACAACCTGTTAACCAGAAGAGTGGTTGCTGCTCTTCTTAGTTGATTTTACCTATTGCCCAGCAGCATGGATGAATGTGAGAATAACTTTCTAAATTCTGCTCTCAAGAGAGGAAAACTATGCTACAATGTAGAATGATATGTTTATTTGCCTTTTCAGTTGTTTGTAAGCTGTTCTGAAATTATATTCTTTTGCAGTTTATTGTTAATGGCCTGTACAAATTGGGTTGCTTGAGAGTAGTAATGTTAATTTTATTATTTGTTTACCATATTTCCCCAACTTTTTATTTTTGACATGGAAGCCATAGAAAAGCTTTCTTCAATTGCAATCACATATTCCTGTATGGATTTGAACCATTGCTCGGATGGATGCTTGCTAAGGCTTTTATGTTTCTGCATTCAAGTTAATGGTTTTTCAGCATGAAAGAAAATACATAAAACTTAAATCACAGTAACTTCTGATGGATGCCAATTGCCGAAGGCCATTCACCTGTTCTTTGGGTGATTATTTTGCTGGCTTACCTTACCTTCCTAGAGTTTATGGAACATAAGAGGAGAGTGTGGGATGGGTTGCTGAACTGTTGGCGATGAAAAAGGACACCCTAATGACAACATGAAATATTGAATTGACATGGATCGTGCAATCAAGTGTTCCAAATGCAACTTATCTACTTAATAGTTAATAGTTAGCATTTGTCAATCAACATTTTCTGCTTGTGAAATTTAAGGAAGCTGGGTAGCTTCTTGCCAACTAGAGCTCCAAGATTCTCTACAAATACATGCATGTAAGATATTTAGACGTAAGCTCCTGTTATTTTCTGAATTTCCCGTTCTAGAACAAGCTAAGATGACAGTCTTTTCAATTTTATTTTATAGTTAAGATGATAGTCTGCTCGAATCTCAGTCTTGCTGTGCTTTGCATATGGCCTGTTTAGGCATAGGCTTTTTCAATAAAGAAGAAATCTTAGTTGTTGAATGCTTGGACTTTTTAATCACCGATGGTCCAACTTCTGGTTTCATAAGTGGCACTGGAACTTTAGCGTTAAAAAGATCATTGATTAAATAATTGACTCCCTTTCGTTCTAATTCTACTCAGTTTGGCACCAAAAATGAAAAAATCAACATCACTAGACAAGTTTTTTGTTTCAAATCACACTAATGGATGATGCCTGAGAAGGCATACTTGTATTTTTTGATGATTGAGGAGGCCCAATCTTAAGCTCCAAAAGATCTTTTTCTGCTGGTGAAGCACCAGGGCCTGCTCGAAGCATTCTGTGCTGAACTGACCATGGCGAAGGTATACCAGAGGGGTGAGCAGCAGGTGCGCAACCTAGAGCTTTAGCCATGTAACCATAATGCAGCCCTGCATAATTCATTGCATGGAGAAATGGCAGTGAAGGCATCATTTTAGCTTTTGGAAAGCCTTGTCCATTGGGAGCTCCTCCTGCCTGTTAAATTGATGAAGTTTTCTATATGAGGTTATGGCATATCCAAGGGGAAATTATGAATTGCTAATAGCTCCTTACCACGGGTTGAATCCTGTGATAATAAGTTGGAAAACCATGAGATGCAGTCAGGGACGTCACTGCACCATCATCCAAGCAAAGATGTGGAAATCGGTTCACTATCTGAGATGGTGCTTTAACCTGGTCACAAGAATCTCTAGTAGTTTCTTTTGCGGGGGAGTCCGGAGGACTTGCATTCTGTTAAAACCACGAACTCTATAGTCATGTACATGAAAACATTAACTATAAATTGTTGCTGATAAGTGAGAGAGGGATTAAGAGATATTACGGATTCGAGTTGTTGAAAAGCCATATCAAATAAGCTTGGTCTGCGTTTCTTCTTATCATTCCCAGCCTGCCTCAAGAAATACTTCTGCGCGTGGCTAGCAACTTGCGTTGGGGTCCTTGTGGTTACAAATTTCTTTGAAATCCCTCTCCAATCACCTTTCCCCAACTTCCTCAAACCTGCCAAGAAGATTCTATGCTCCTCTTCCGTCCAAGGCTTCCCTGAGCAAGAGCACAACAGATGTTACAATAATTTACAATATATCAGAAACATGGTAAAAATAACTCAATAATGCTATCCCAGATTAGCCTGTTCATGTCAATACTTTGTTTATTTATGCTTCATTCAATCTGTTCCGATCTAAAAATAATAACGAGGATCCACATAAATTCAATGGTTAACCAATGCCAGCCGCTTCTTGATAACCAATTAATGCTAACAAGTTCAAATACGTGATGATCAAGAAACTCGTATTACATCACCAGAAACGCCGATGAATCTCCCCCAAAAAAGAAAAGGCTGAATACAATAAGAGCAAAATGAAAAACAAATAGGGATACCTCTTTTTCTTCCACGGGCAGCGTTGCTTTTCCTAGAATGAATCTGCCCATCAGACAAGTACCCGTCGTCCACGGAAGGAGCATTGTTATCATATTCTGCATGATGAGACCGCAGACTCTCCATGCTAAAACTCTTTTTCATGAAACTTCCTTGCTTTTCCACGGCAGATATATTCACACCGAAAAGCTTGACACAACCCTTCCCGTGACAAGTTCTGGAATTATGGCCATTATGTCCACAATGAGAACACTTTCTCCCTGTTTCTTTCACCATTCGCTCTACGCCTTCAATTCCTCTCTTAGGGGCAGGCACTTTATTCGGTTTATAACATACACACTCATATATATATATATATATATATATATTGAATTCAAACCCTTGTTTTTCTCTCTGATAAACCAAGCTCTCCTACAGGCATTTATAGCCGCTTTATTTTTGCCAATTCCTCAACATGGCAAGATTTTCTTAATTTTATTTCTATGTAAAAACAGTCAAAGATACGGTTGAGTTTAATTAGCTAATACTGGGGCAACCTCGATTTTCAGGCCCTTTGGATTAAAATTAGCTTATCGTGAATATTGTTTTATGTTATCAAATCAACGCTTTGCCAAAACTCCGGTACGCGTCCCTTCATTCTATAATTAACAGTAATCATGTATTGATTTTCCCTAGTAAAAAAAAATCCGAATTTTTCTGTTTATTTAGAGTAAAATTAATTAACAGATAATCTTCCATTACAGTATGTTGACAGCTCAACCTAGCTTTCTTTAACAATCTGGATTTACTTATATCACTTCGATACTGCTAATTCTCCAATACAACTGCAGCAGTATACTACAATAATTGTATCACTTTGGGGGCATCTGATAAATTTATTATAATACAAAAAAAGGATATTCTAATATTTAATTAACCCCATAATTTACGATACAGATCTTATTGTTTAATGTAAATAAATTTTTTACCTAAAACTTACTTCTTTAAATAAGCTGTGCCAAAAATAAGATTAAATCCATGTAATAAAATAAAATCTTTTACTAAAATTCCGTTGTTTTATTACTGTATCAATCCGATTCTGTTTTAGGTGTGTAGGTGAGGAATAGATTGAGTTAGATTTCTTGCTATATATTGCTTTATTAGCATTTGTTATTTGGTTTTAAGTCAAAGTTTGAATTCTGATTTATTTTACTATATATCTTAATTTTATTGTGTTACTTCTTTTACCTTAATTTAATAAATTTTAATTTTTTATTAAATATCTATTTAAAAATAATTAATAACGATGTTAAATTCTTATAATTAAACTTTGATAGTATAACTTTTTAGTTAATGGTATAATATGTCAATTAGAATTTTTTTAAAATCACATACATAATAATATAAAAAAATTATTTTTTATAGAAGATATCAAAAATTTATTTTCTTAAATTTTAAAAATATTAATTATTATTTAATTAAAATGAAATAAAATATTTTTTTAGAGAGGTAAAAATATCTAAAAAGTAAAGACGATTATTATGCATCCGGTCTTGGCAAGCCGCAGGTGAAATTTGAGTAGCAACAACGTAAAGCGCTATACCTAACCACAGAGAACCAAAACCGTTATTTAGATAAAATAAAAAGTTAAAAAAAATAAAAAAAGAGCTTCGAGAGTGGTGAGCGAGTAAGCCAAGTAAGCCATTATCAAAACGCACAAAAACTCACACACTCGACGCTTCTGTCCCTTTTTCTCGATTTCTCCTTTGAAAAAGGGTTCAATGTTCAATTCCGATTCGAAAATAAAAAGTTTCTCTTCCTATTTTCAAGCTCCCAATTAGGGTTCTGACTTTCTCAAAGGTTAGTTCATCTTCTTCTCTTAATTCCCTTTCATTTTCGATTTTTTTTATTTGCTCTGTTGTATGCCTTTTTTTTTATTATTATCTTTTTCAAGTCTTAACTCTCTTGTTATGTACTCTTCACCACTTCTCTCATATTTTCTATTTCTTAATTGTTGTTTTGGAGAGATTGAGGAATGTCTTCAGGAAAAAAAATCATTCGAGCTTTAATCTGTAACAGAAATAATTTAAACTGGTTTATATTCTATGATATTTTGAGTGGCTTTGTTTTTGTTAATATATGCATTTCTTGATATAAAATTCATTTTAAAATTAATTAGAGTTTTACGAGGTTGGTTTCTGCTTTGCAGGTTTGAGGTGGTTAATTTTAAGATACTTTGTGGTGGAAAAAAGTTGAGAGAAAGCTATGATACTATACTTAAGCGTTAGCTAATAAGAATGCCGGGCATTCCTTTAGTGGCTCGTGAAACCTCCTCGTATGTTCTCTCCGATTAAACATATCTTTAATGTTTTCCTATTTATCATGCCAACATGTTGTGGTAGTGTTTATGTTTGGTATTCAAGTTTCACATAATTATCAGCTTACACATTTTGGCCCTGGTTCTAATTATGTCGTGGTAAATTTTTCGTGGATATATGATAATGCAAACAATGTTCATTTAAAGGGCATTGTTATAATTTCTTGTTCCGAGTCTAATGCTTGATGATTGTTGGTCTGTTATCAAATTTTAGTTTGTTTTCATATTGTAATGAAGTATGGTTTGGACTATGCCTATCTGGTTAAGTTCACGAGTAGGGGTTCTAATTTGCATTTCTATTTTCTAGCTATTTAAGAAGCACAGATCAGATGTGCCGAGAAGATTCCCGCCTGCATTTATCTGCAGAAGAGGAAATTGCTGCTGAAGAGAGTCTATCTATTTATTGCAAGCCTGTAGAACTCTATAACATTCTTCAAAGACGTGCTGTGAGAAATGTAATACTTCTGCTTCTTGTTGCATCAGCCATTTTATGTTTTTATGTAGATTGACTGTGGCATTGCAGGCAGTTCAAATTTGGCCTGCTGCTTTGAACCACCCTTCTTTTCATTGGAAGAGATTTTCCTTTATTTTTAACATTTATATTTGCAGAATTTACTCTGCCTATTTATATGTGACCATTTTTCAGTGGATTCTTGTTTTTTTCCTTTTATGCAGCCATCATTTCTTCAAAGATGTCTGCGTTACAAAATTCAGGCAAAACACAAAATGAGGTAATAGTTTGATTTGCTAATTGTAAATGATATATTTCTGAAGGATATGGTTGCAAGTGCTTACTGTAGCATGTCCGTTTGTTTCCTATTATAGTGTATCAATGGGAAAACTTCAAGGGCATATGGACCTTCATTGGTGCCTTTTGGTGGTTTTGGAGAGAATATTTGATGGCATTTAAGATAGGCAAATCTGTTATATGTTTTTTTATGTTTGACAATACATATTCATAAAACAGAAATTGTTAGAATTAGTATCAGTTTGGGAGTGACAAGAAGTTTTTTTTTTTATTACTATAGAATTATATTCTATTTTTTGTGTGATTTTGAATGAATTTATTAAGTAAAATTTTGATGATCATTTGTTAGTTAATGTTGCTTGTTGGTGGTGTATTGGCTTATTTGCTTTGGTTAAATTTGATATATATGTATATATATATACATACATACATATATATATATACATACATATACATACATATATATAGGTAACTTCGAGGTATTAACTACATTTTTTTTGTGTTTTTGTTGATGACCTTTTTAATTGAATTTTGCATGATGGTTATCTCTTAGTATTTGCTTGTTGGTGTGCTGTCTTGTTTTCTTTGATCAAATATTTTTGTATGCGGTTAAATTTGAGTTATTAACTGCATTTGCTTTGATTGATATGTAGAATACAAATGACAGTGTCCGTGTCAGGGATTGTGAATGAAGGTGTTCTGACTCAAAGTCTTTTTCCTCTATACATCCTGTTGGCAAGACTAGTTTCTGATGTTGCGGTTGCAGAGGTATGGTGTGTCATTGTGTACATTCAAGCTAAATTCTTTAGTCTGTGTATCTTTTTTTTGTGTGTTGTTGTACTCTTTTTGTAATTCATTTATGATATATTTACTTTTTGAATCCCACAATGAAGTATTCTGCAGTTTATCGTTTCCGTCGGGCATGTATCTTGACTAGCTTCACTGGCATTGAGGGCAGCAATCAAGCTCAAGCTAATTTTATTCTCCCTGAGATTAACAAGCTAGCTATAGAGGCCAAATCTGGCTCACTTGCCATTTTGCTTGTCAGCTTTGGTATGTATTTCCATAGGTCCTTTATATGCAGGTGCATTCATTAGATCCTTTATAACCATTTAATTTTAGAGTGAATTGTAAAAAATTTCTTGAATGTCACTTTGTCCTTCTTTTTCTTTATTTCACATCAGCAAATGGTGGAGGATGCTGCCTATGGGGTAGGATTCCGTTGGAGTCACTATATATGTCATTGGAGAAATCCCCAAACTTGAGTTTGGGACAAAGAGCTGAGATAACATTGCCCGTCGAGATGCATTCTTGCTTATTGAAGGTGTGGCATGAAAGCTTATTGGTTATAATTGTTTTATTCTGGAGTGCTGTTCTACTTATTGCTTAGCTACTATTTCAGTCAATTTTTTTGCCAAAGTGTTGTCTAAGATGCAGTAAAAGGCTTTGCTTGGTTGTTTTTGTGTTTATGGCTGAGTCATTAATGTACCAGTCCTAGGGCATTGCTTAAATTCTGCTTCTGGGACGATTTTATTTGATTATCTTTTCAAACATAAAAAACATTTTTAAGGAATGATTCTGGAGTTGAATCTTGGGCCTCTGTTTTTTGTTCTTTGGTGCTTTCATTGTGAATATGTCTGTGATATTGTTCAACTATGCTATCTCTCATTCCGAGCTTGAGAATACATCCTAAGCTCAACTTGAGTTGAAGGGATATTGTGAACTTCTACCATGTACATGTACAAGTGCTTCAAAGAAAATTTTGACTGCAGTTTGAGAAGCTAGTAGCAACAGAGAAATATTTGTACAATGGTATCAAAGGATTATAGTGTAGTATAGTGGTTGACACAATTGGTATATATAAGTAGCACAGGCTCTATGTTTTTGGGTTGTTGATTGTGTTGCTAAAGCATTTGCTAATTCAATCAGGTTCCCCTGTGCTTATGTGTTTCTTTCATATTTGATTAAATAAAGATCTAAACTGGCCAGGGCACTTTGTCATGAGCAGTCTTGCTGCTTCTATTGTTGCTGGCTGCTAGTGAAATGACACTCTAGCCTTGTGTTCAACTTGCATTAGATTCCTCAATATAATCAGTATAGAAAATGGCAATGAATGTTCAAGCAGTGATGATTCAAACTTGTATAAATGTCTGAATTACTGTTATTCTTTTTGTTCCTGCTGCAGTTGAATTGTTTGAATGAGGACAAATGCATCTTAATCCAAAATTCCAGCAATTCTTTATCAATGGTATGTCCCTGCTTTCATATTTTCTCGTTTCATTTAGATTAGGCATTTCCGATTTTCTCGATATAGTTTACTTATTGTATTTATTTCTGTTTGTGCTCCAAAAGAACCAATCACTGCAGCTGCAGGTCATCATTTCTGCTGAGGAGGCTGGGGCAAAGGAAAAATCTCCCTATAACTCATACACATGCAGTGGCGTTTCTTCTTCATCGCTGTCTCATATTATTCGGTAATCCTCAATAGTAAATAATTATTATTAAATGTAGTTTTGTTGTTCTAATCATACTTATGACCCTTTCTATGTCCTGAAAAATTAATCATGTTGCCCAATTTTGCCTATTGTCCTCTATGTATGCAAATAATCTTGTCCTTTCTTTAACTAGCTTGTCAGAACTCTCTATCTTTCAGTCTCGTGTACTCTCTTAATTCAGCTAAATTATAATATTGAGATTTATTTATTCTTGTACTAACTTTTGGTATTCCAATGAAAGTTATTTTACAAGAATGTGGTGACCTGAAGGAACTAGATAGTCTGCACCTAAGTCTAACATGAGGGATTTTTTGTTTGTGATGATGGTATGGCAATTATTCTGCTGAGACTGCCTAAATTTATTATTAAAATTCTAATAGCTATAGATTGTATAGCAGAGTCATTTGCTTTATTTCAAGCAGCATGAATTCTTTTGTTAAACATTAGGTTTATGATTCTGGGATTCAGATGTAGGGCAATGCCATTTACAGATATACTAGTTATGTACAAGTTGCATCATCTGTGTTGCCTGCCAATGTGTCATGGTCCACACCAAGTCTTGTGAAGTATTGTCCGCTTTAACCCCCTAACTTCATGGTTGTCTTATAAAAGGTGCTTCACAGGTTGAAGGTGGTGTGAACCCTTAAATGCCTAGTATTACCTTAGTGCATAGCCGATGTGGGATTCATGGTCCCTTCTAAGACCAGACATCCTCCCTTGGTTCCCCTTTAGGTGCTTCTTTTCGATGTGGGATTTATGGCTTTACTCGTTGGAAGCATATCTCTTAAAATGTGGGATTCACATGGTTCCATGTTAGGACCGTAACATCCTCCCCCACTTCAACAAGGGCACACTGTCCTTAGTGACAGATCACTAGTACCCTAGAGTTTGTTCTGATACCAACTATTACAGTGCACACCAACTCTGGTGATTTATTGTTTGCTTTGGCCTGCTGGCCTTATGATTTTGTCCCACCAAAGATGTTTCACAGGTTGAAGGTGGTGTGAACTTTTAAATGCCTAGTATCACTCTAGTACATTGCTGATGTGAGGTTCATGACTCCCCTCTTGGACCATGACATTCTCCTTTAGGTTCCCTTTATGAGCTTCTCTTCGTTTTGGGACAAGGACCATGTATTCTCTTTGATGTGGGATTCATGACAGCTTGTATTGGAATAGTGTGATTTGCTTAATCTTTATTGTAGAATCTGTCATGTCGCTTTATGTATTTCTTCTCTTTGAAACTTCTGAGATTCAAGCTCTGAGAATAAGAAACGCCTTGGGATTCTAATATAGGGACAAGAGCAAGAATATAGCATAAGGGAAAATGTCCTGCTCTGAAATACCTTGAATGAGCTGACTTTGATGTTTAATTTTATTTATTGACCATTTAAACATATTCATGTTGAAGGGCTTAATAGACTATATAACTTTGTCTTTCAAACCTAGTCCCTGCCTCCAAAAGAAAATTACAGTTGGAAGACAAAAGGATTGTGTATTGCGATGGTGATTTCCTCTTAATTCTCTTTGTAAGAAAATTTTTTTTGCTATTTGGTTCGGTTGAGAGAGGGAGTCATCTTAATTACAGATATACAAGCAACAAGTTACAGAGGACTGAAGGTATATTTCTTAGTTAAACATCTCTTATGTTTATTTTCGTTTTTTTTTTTCTTTTTTTGGGTGGGGGTGTGTGGGGAGGTGTTTGGTTGGGTTTGAATCATATACATGTTTTTGTGCTTTACTTGTAACTGTTTCAAGAGTGGGAGAGGTTGTGACTCAGAATTGCAGTCTGAAATTAAAGATACTATTTTTGGCTGTAACCTATTGGTATTATTAGACTGCTTGGACCTCAAGCAAAGGATTAATTTTCTTCAATCTTTGTGTCTGGTGTGGTAGACACTTTGTCAACTATTAATCGTTACATTTGGTTTTGGAATATTATATAATCTCATCTTATTGATAATAGTCATAAATTCCATTGATTTGCAGTAACTGAAGACTTCTCATGCCCTTCTGCTTGGTAAAATGTGCAAGCTTTAAGGTTGTTCCTTCTTCCATTTTATTATTCTATTATCATTTGAGTCAAATGAATTTGAATTTATAGTACTTAGACTTAATGGTTGATGCTTAACTTTTATATAGGGTCTGGAGTATCACTTGCCAGCATCCCATGATCTCTTCAACTTGAATTTTGGGTTGGTAAACTCAGGAATCTGTGGTGGTATTTGATAATTGATGCTGGCATACCAAAATTAAGTGCATGTTTATGTTGTAGGTAACTGAAGAGTATCAAGCTGTCAATGATGTGTCGGTCAAAACTGACATTGGAGATCTGAGGTGAGACATTTCTTACAAGCCTTGCAGTACTCTATTTGTTAACATAGTTTTATTTTCTTTTCGTAACTGAATTAAAACCAGCTGTTAAGTGAACTGATTTGAACCAATGTTAATGGGTCAGACCCTTTTTTATATTGATACAGTTTCTTTCAAATTTATAGGATAAAGGATACTAATACAATTTGAATTTTATTTACTTACATTTCTCTTGATGTATGCTTCTTATGAATGCTATTTACATGTTCCCTTGCATCAATGTCCCTCTGGTTCATTAGGAGTTGTGTTTCTTTATCTTGCAAAGGTTGAGCATATATATTAGATTTAGTCCCACAAACCCACCCCCCACCCCCCCCCCCCCCTCCCCCTCTTTTTTTTCAGATCGCTATATGGTGAATAAAGACCCTAGCTTCCGTCTACAGATAGACAAGAAAATGGAACCATGCAATATCACTAGTTTCCATATGAATTGCCCTTTGATTGCTCTTCTAATTCCACGTGTATGTATTTTATCAGATTGTTGCAGATGGTGTTGATCCTAAACAACAAACTTCTTCTTTTGGTAAGTTGTTTAATTTGCCATTTTATGTACTAGTGTGTTTCTTTGCCCTCAGGTTATTCCCATGAAATGAAGTTGGTAGCTCATGTGTATGTACAGCTCAAAGCAATTAAGGCGTAGACGACCAAAGAGCCTAGTTGCAAGGCATGTGAACCTGTTTTCTTAGAACCAAATCGCCAGCAGGAGACTGTGAGCTTCCTTGACAAGTTCATGGTATGCCATCTATATTATGATTGCATACTAATTAATTTTTTATAAGAAATATTTGTTTAACTAAAATATATCTAGAAAGGAAAGCTGCAGTACTACAGATGAGGGAAACTGAAACAAAATTATGGACTTAAAAGAAACAGAACAGCCCCGCAGCTTGGCTGAAAATAAGTCTCTTCTAGTAATCCTCTAAATAGGTTGATTGGTGTTTGAAGTGAGATACTGATTTCTGGTAACTCCAATTAGTTTCCAAATTCCGAGCTAAAGCAAGATTTTAGTACATGCTTGGGCCAAGAATCAAATCATGTAGGATGGAATGCAATGGTGCTAACTCAAGTTGTGGAAATGCAATAGAGCCACAACTACAATGAATCTATGGCCAAAAACTTGTTATGATAATTGTTTGACTGACCTGTCATAACTATGCGCAAGCTAATAGACCCTAAAAAAAAAAACTGGGGCTCGCACAGTTAAAGGTAAATCTTTGTGGGGGAACAACAAACAACCCCTAAAAAAAAAAGGGGGGTCATGATATGTCATATTGTGCGCAAAAAGAACAGGCGGGGATGGGGGGGGGGGGGGTTTTTGCTGGGGGGGGGGGGGCGGGGGGGGGGGGGGGGGGGGGGGGGGGGGGGTGGGGGGGGGGGAAACAGTCCCTTTTCATTCCGTTCAGGAGATATATGATCTGACGGGGGGAGGGGGGGGGGGGGGGGGGGGGGGGGGGGGGGGGACACAATGTTTGTGTTATTGGGGATTGTTTTGTTATATGTGTTTCCGGTGGGTGTGTGTTGTGTATAGTTAGGATTTGGCCTTTTTTTCGCTGTGGGCGGTCATGCTAGGCGAAGTTGGGTGTCCGCTCTGACCGGAAAGGTGGAGTAGTAATTCTTCATGTTTGCGGCAGTATGTAGTGCATGGGGGGTTGATGCGCGGGATGTGTGATTGTCGTGCGTGCTAGGGCTTGTCGTCTGGGGTGTATTAGTGAATGTGGTGAAAGGTCGTTCTATGTAGCCCGTTCGGGTTGTGGTGGTAGGTTGTGGCACTTAGGCTGTGTGCACTTCGGGCACGGATCGCGACTCTGTCGGGTCAACAGCGCCCCCCGCGCCTGTGGCCAGGGGGTACAATGCCCGCCGGCGTACATCTAGGTCGTGGCCGCTCCACCTCGCCCCGCGCATAGTGGCTTTTTGTTTGATAAAGGGGGTCGGTGAGCGGTTTGGGGATGTTCGCTAATTGTAATGGTGCGGTTGAGACGGATGCTCTAAGACAAGGAAGGGTCCGATGCGGGACTAGCTGTTATGGAATTAGGTCTAGGAAACCGGAGGAGGTAGGTTAGAGAGAGGTCTGAGCGAATGGGGGAAAATGAGTTGATCACTCCACACGGAGCACCCCTGCACGCGATCGATCTGCGCCCGCCGGTTTTTATTATAACCCGTGGCACTACCACGCCGCCCTCGCCCACCGCTAGAAAAAAGGTGGATTGGTTATGTAGGAGATCGTAATTATTTCGTGAGTTCAGGTTTGGCTTGGTTAGGTAAGTGTGAGTGCGTAGGGTAGGTAGATAAGTATGGGTGTCGTCGGTGAAGTTTAATGTCGTGTATTTGTATTGGGTGTGTGAGGGTTAATGCGGAGCGAGCAGGATGTTGGCTGGACACGTATAGCCCGATGCGATTGTCATTGGAGATGAGGAGGGCGTGTAACATGAATAGGAAGAGTGAGGTACTGGAATCGGGATTGTTGTGGATTTCTAAGAGTGGGGGTGTGATTGTGTGCCAGTTTGCTGCCATTAACGTGAAATCATTGAGCGAGATCATGAGTGGAGTCGGTTTGGGCTTCGGCGCGTATGGGCCCCCCAAGCCCGCGGGGCAGGTCATTTTGCAATATCTCGTTTTAAATAACTGGAATGGAAGGGTCTGCTCAGGTGGACAACATTTTTAGAAATGCTAGAATTGGTGAGGGAGTGTGTGCAACAGTCCATCCATTTCAATGTTGGGGGTTTATCAGGTGCTGCAGACAATCTATTCCGATTCGAAGTGTTCAATCAGGCGAAACAATCTGGCCCCCTGCTGTGCTGCAATTTGCAAAACGAAAATTACATGGAAACGGTCCTATCCAAGAAAGATGTCTTGGTGTTTCTCTATTCATTAGCGTGTTTCTAATCATTCCAAAGCTGTACCGATGTAAAAATGCATAGCTATTCAAATAGACATTGCCTGTGAGCTTGTCTGAACTTTGAAAGATGCTTAGCTTTTATATTAATTTTTTATACAACTTGCTGCATAGGGTATGAACTGGGCAAATGTAAAAGCACTGTTGGATAATTATTTTGCCTAGAGAGTGTGGTGCCACGTAGAGTGGGAGGTACCTCTCCACTCCCTATGTGTCAAGCAGCACTCCATCCGATTCAGGATAAGTCAAAACCCGATACACCGCACATTCTCCCCCTCCATAAAAGAACTGACAAAAAGCTGAATTAATAGTCGAAGATGGAACTTTGTTCTTATAAATTGATGTGATCACTTGGGCTTGTCACTTGTTTAGGTCATTTGCTTCTCAACCATAACTTTGTCACCCTAGAATAAAGGGTTTATTTTTTAACAATGAAAATGGGTTTGATTTTGTCCTTTCTTTGTCTTTTCAGCCGTACACTCCTTCAGAAGCGACAGTTTTTTCACTCACATAGAGCACAGGTGACTGACTACTTTGTAATTTGTGTTTGTTATTTGGTTGTGGGAAAATGCAGTGATATCTATAATTTGTAGTGTGTAAAAGAAAGAGGAGAGAGACAAGAAGAGACGAAAAAGAAAAAGATTGGCTGCTGTTGCTTACACTTATCTCACACACACATTAGCACTATTAAGAGTGTGGATCTAATTTTTGATTTGTGGCCTAGCTAGCTGTCTGTGGAGGGCATATGAAATGGAGTGGGGACTGTGGTTCTGGTTTTCCCTTTGAGATATGTTTCGTGGTATACTTAATATGCCTTTACATTAGTTTTTGTCAAGAGATCTTAAGAAACTGAGTCAATCATGAAATTCGTGACTAATGTCACTTGCATTTTATGCATAAAAATTTCTGAAACTGTATACATCTCTGCTTGAAGCCAATGGCAATAGATCAAGTAATGTCTGACAGAGACAGCGAGGATGAGGTTGATGATGACGTTGCAGATTTTGAAGATCGAAGGGTATGTTTAAGTTTCTTTATTTATTTGTTTATTCTTTCATAATGCTTGTTTGGAAGGACATAACCATTTTGGATTTTGGTCAGTGGCTAGCTAAGAATTGAAGGGTGATGTAGGTATCACAAACACCAGTTGAGAGGCGTAGTCTTTAGACTAATATAGCGCAATCAGAAGCATAGTAAGCACTTTGATATTAGTGGATGGTCCCCAAAGAAATTGTTAAGTGTAATTTATGAAAAGATTTGTTTAGAATTTATTCTCATGAAGATGATTTAGGACATAGGAGGATTACCGGCAATGTGCACAAGCTGGGAACTGAAATCAGTGAATATATAAATAATGATGACATGCAAATCAATAATTACTATTGTTTATAAATGATTACAAAAATGAATGGTGCTCTGAATGTCTGCAATGCCTGGTTTGGGTAGTTAGGGCCCTTGAATCATTTGCATCTCAACTTAATGCATTTACAAGTTTGCATTAATATACTCTAGCATGTCGCAGATGCTTGATGATTTTGTAGATGTAACCAAAGATGAGAAGCAAATAATGCATTTGTGGAACTCTTTTGTGAGGAAGCAAAGGTAATCTTGTCTTTCATTTTTCTTATGGTTTTTGCTTTGTTTCTCTCTTTCTTTTACCTTTCTCACTTGAAACTGGTTGCCAAAATCATGTAATCCATCCCATTATAAGTTCTGTAGCGAAAGGGGAGGGGATCATGGATGTAGGGACATAGGATTGGCCATTCTAATATAAGCCATATCGTCCTTGCATTTGAACTGAATCTGTGAGATACATGGTTTTCTTTCTTCCCCTCTCTCTCTAACTATTGTACGAAAAAGTGTGTTTTAACACATTTCAACCCAGCCTATATGATACCCAGAATTTGTTTTGTTGTTTTGTTTCTTTGGCAGTTACTTATCTCACACATAGTCGCACTGAGTGATTTATTAGTTCTTTATTTGTTTCTCGTATTTGGTTGATTAGTTTTGAATTAGTTTTGTGGTGCCTTCCAAAAGAAAATTAGTGTTGTGGTTATCAATTTGCTGTTTCATTTTTAATAATTTGATATCATCATGGCAGGGTGTTGGCAGACGGTCACATTTCATGGGCATGTGAAGCATTTTCAAAATTACATGGGCGTGACCTTGTCAAAGCCCCAGCTCTCATCTGGTAGATTGCCCCTTTTCTGTTTATGATTAAAATTATTGCTATGTACATGTGCACGCCTTGCGCTTCTACTTTTCTGTACTCCTCTACTGGTCGCTTCATCCTCTTTCGTTTTGTATGCAGATGCTTACTTCTCTTCTGAGTGTTTCTGATTGGTTGATGTATTATATCATGATGTTCATAATAATCATGTCTTCTGCATGTGATTGCAGTTTTGCTTGCCCTTTTCATTGTGTGCGTTGCATGTATATGATTTCATGTTAGTCATAATTTACCATCTGCTGTATTGGCAGGTGTTGGAGATTATTCATGATCAAGCTGTGGAACCACGGCCTCCTCGATGCGCGAACCATGAATAATTGTAATATTATTCTGGAACAATACCAAAAGCAGGGTTCGGATCCTGTAAAAGGCTAAAGAGATGTAATTTATGCTTATTTTTTTGGTAAACAATGATGATGCAAAAATGTCGCTCACCAGTTACATCCTAAGTCTTACATGCCCATTTCAGCCAACTGTTTCGCTGTAGTTGTGTACAATCGACTGGTATAATTCCATATATTTCTTTGTTTTTTTCAACTCCTCCATAGAAATTTCTTTTTCCTTTGTAGGTTTTCAAGAATATTTTTATAAATAGTATCTTAAATATTGTTAGTGTTATTGAGCCACTCTAGAGCAATAGCAATTGTCATAATTCTTAACATTGATCCAAACCCTCATTACCAGTACTTTTCTATTCAAAGTGGCACACATACTATTAGGAAATAAACTATTAAAAATGTTAGCCTGCCGGTTATCATCACAGTAATTCGTATGGGCTTCAATGGAAACATGAATGATCACTTGCCTCTATAAAAAATATTCTTCTGTAGGCAAAAAAAATTAATTTATTTTATTTTATTCTTTGTCAAAGTATGTTTGAAATAAAGAGAAAAACAAGATGAAAAAGAAAAATAGGGGGAGCTACATTGATGGCCAGCCAAAGCTAAAATGAAGATGAGGTCAGCACTCAGCATTGAGGAGACATTAGTTTCGATTCCTTTGTCATTTTGTTACCGAAGACACCATGTAACGCTCGCGGAAAATAAGGTAAGTGTGTCTTTACTTTTTCACCGACAAAGCCTACAGAAAATCAGTTTCATTGGCCTACGAAAGGCTTTTGTCATGTTATAAGCTGCGTCCCTTATCAACCGCACCACGTGTTTGCCTGCATGTTGTTCGCTACTACATTAACTTTTTCTTTCTTTGTTTTTGGGTTTATTGCTTTTAGAGTTTAATTTGTCTATTTGATTTGTTTAGCAAAAAGCAAGAAAATTTTATGCTCTCACAAGTGGGAAGATATTTTACCTGCGATTAATTAAACCTTAATCAATAACTAGTTTGGATTTACTACATGTAATCCCTTTTCTTCCTTGAATTCGTTACTATAGTTACTTTTGACATGTATGATTTGTACCTAAATATTATATACATCAATTTATTGGATAAGAGATTATTACGTGTAAATTCCTAAGAATATTAATTAGAACAAGGTCAGACAGCTACATTTACACAAATTTAACTTTCTTTTAAAGGGAATTGACTAAGTGGTTCAATGAAGGACGGGAAAAGGGTCTGAAAATGTAATGATGAAAAAGAGTCAACAAAGAAAGGTAGAAAAACTATTAATTCAGGTAGAGGGGATAATTTAGGGTAGCAAATTGAAATGGTAAGAGATAGACTTGAAGGTTAATTTTTTGACAAGCATTTGAAGAAATTAAAAATAACATATCAGTGTCAAGGACATTCAAATAGAAAATGTTACATTTTTTACAAGAGGCAACAAAGAATAAAAAATGAAAATAAATATATCTATATATAACTTTTTTACGTCGATTTACGTATATCAATTACCACGTAGTAAAAAAAATCTTATTTAAAAATATTTTAAACTATTTCACCGATTATTGATTTTGTATTATCAAGATTTCCTTTTGAATAGCTTTTAATCGACAATCATATTCATTTTAGAGTCAAATGAATTCTGATTCAATGGAATCGAGTCTTACTCCAAAAGCCCTTTGAATACTTTATTATTGTCGCACAAAATTTTTGTTGGAAACTAAGCTATTTGAGGTGCACTTCGACTAGTTAGATTATTCCGATGAGCGAGTAATTGATGACAAAAGTAATAATTGTCAATGCCGATGTTTACAGTTTCGCAATATCAAGTACAATGAGATGCTTGTTGGCAAGAACATTCATGGAAGCAGAGTGATAACTTTGCATATCAATATCAAAGGTACGGTGGATTCATTTACCTAAAAAAAATATTTTCAAATTTAGGCAAGAGTGGATTGAAGGTGGCGACAGAGGTGATGGCTGTCATCTCTTAGTTTTACTTTATAATTTAATTTTATTCAAAAGTGATTAGTTTTTATTTTCAATCGAATCATTGATCCCTATTTATGATTTTGTATATTTACTTTTTAACCATTCTTCATACAAAATCTTAAGTCTGTCACTGAATTTAGGTATGTTTAGGCTTTGCCCAAATGCAGCTTCTTTTTCCTCGTTTTACTTCTTGAAATGTTTTTTTAGTACAATTAGTTGAAATGTGGAATGGTTGCAATTAGGAGAGGAAAACGTTTAATACTCATGGAGTTGCAAAGATAATGTTAATTAACATAAATGGTATGTATATAATTTTCATGATTTGGTTCTTACATTGCTTTAAAATGAAGTTGATTTGTATATAAATGTTTTACTATTAAAACTTATTATATAGTCATAAGAAATAATAAATAATAAATGCTTGTTTGAAATTTTAACATTTCAAAAGTTGCTATGCATAAAGATATGCTTCACATAAGCGTATAGTAATTTTTCCTTCTCTTATTATTGATCCACCTTCATATAATTAGCTAATCATTGATATTCCCAGTCCCTTCTTTACAAAATCAATTAATCTCAGAGTAAATAGTTTTAATTATAACCAAGCAACAATGTTCACATTGGAGTAGTTGAACAATCAATGCACATTGTTTTTCCTTCCCCCCCTTTTTTTCTGTTTGGTAGCAAGTAAATAGAAACAATAACAATCTATTTAGAAATGGAAAAAGGGCATTACTAATTCATCCAATAAACTGACATTTTCTCTAGACACACCATTCTGCTCTTATTTTCCTCATCTTTTCAGGCCTCTTCTTCTCCTTAAGTAGCATAATGTAATGTCCATTTTTCGGAAAACTTACTTATACCTTGTGATTAATCTTCCAAAGAAAACTCACTGTTCTTCAATGGCTGCATCAGCTTGAACATTAGTGATGCAAAAAGCTTTTGTTTTTCTTTTCCTTCCCATTTGTTCTGTTTTACAAGTATCAATATATTTCCCCCTGGGAGATAAATGTTAGTTTCTTTATTTTGTCACGTAGTTACCAAACCAAGAAAGAAGCGATTGCCAACATAATATAATCCCTGAGCAGCCATGGGTATGTCCTCCTCAACACCTGTACTACAGAATCTCACTTTGCTTTTGTCCTTATATAAGTGCAACAACTTATCACCAACACGTGTGCCTTGTCCATGTATGGTTTACTGTTTTTAACCACGTTTAAATTGGGTCAATTTTTTTACGCTGCCATTTCATATCCTACTTGACGGACTCTGGATTCTTAACGTCCTTCTGGCTTCTGAGTGCTTAGCCAATTAAAAATTTTGGAAGAAATACTTGCTATTGCAATGCAATCTTCTTCTTCTTTCAATGGTTTTATATATATGTTTGTGAAGATTAATCCGTTTCATTTTTTTTCTTTTATTATTACATACATACTCATGAATTTAGTAACCCAAACGTATATAGTATAAGCTAATTAACTTGAACCATTTAAGGGAAAACAAATTCTTATCATTTTGGACCATAAATCAAGCTCTTAAATATAGGTCTTAACTATAGGTAGTAGGGATCTAAAACCAATTTGACACTAGCCTATCTTAACTCAGCAGCCTATAGGCAAAGAAGATAACACAGTCAGCACCTTCTCTCTAATTTTTCCTTTCATTTTGTTTGGCCTCTGCTCTTTCTTTTTACATCTTGATTTCTGTTTCTCTTTCTTATGATAAAAGAAATATATATGTATATATATATAAAGAAGGCAGAGAAATGGTAAAAGAAAAGATGAAAAACTGAATAAACCTCTATTAATATATATAACAAAACTCAAAAGAGGAAATTGTGAGGAATAATCTTTCTCATAAGCCTAATTTAAAAATATCTTTTTTTATAATTTTAATTATTTTAATCAATTTTTGACATGGCTTGACAACAGTACCCTTTAAACAATTCCAAACAATTAAAATGGTTTCAATTTTCTTTATCTCGGCATTCAGATAAAAATTTTAAAATTAAATCTCGATTTTTTCTCTGGTCAAATATTGTCTATCTCACTATCTAAAGAGCAGAAATGACATAAAGCTCTTTCTTATTTTGTTTTATTTTTTTTTTGGATGGTAGATCTGGAGGTTTTCAAGGATGAAAAACAACGATTTTGCTCTTCTATGATGATTGCAAGTAGCATGATGAATGTGGTAACTGGATACTTTTTGGTGATGTTTTCAAGGGCTCAGGAAGAAGGGACAGTTAAAGCATGTTTGATGGGTTTTATGATGATTCACGATTTTGTTGTATCTATGATTGGGATGATTGTTAATCATGTTTATTAGAGATTTTGAATTAAAATTATTCAAGGAATATTTTGTAAAGGGAGTATATTTTGTTTTTGCATAAGAGAAGTGAGCAAAATCCTCTCGATAGAGATGTATTTTGTCTTTATTTAGAGGATTATGGAGTTTTGCAACCTATCTTTTATGAAATGCACAATTTCATGGCTTAGCAAAAAAAAAAAAGATATGTTTTAGGTTCTTGAATTTATTGATTTATTCATAGAGCCATAGAATCTCAAAGTTGAGGAGTTAAAATTGATTAGATAGAATTTTAAGTATTACGAGACTGATTTTTAAGCATTACGTGACTTAATTATTGTAAAACTAGTTTTTAGGCATTACGTGATTAGTTATAAGTATTGCGTGATTGGTTTTTAGGTATTACGTGATTGATTTTTAAGCAATGCCTAAGTCACACAATGCCTTACTAACTAGTCACGCAATGGCTTACTAACAAGTCACGCAATGCCTACCAACTAGTCACGCAATACTTAAAAATAAGTTACGCAATACTCAAAGTCAGTCACGTAATGTATAAAGTAAATCACGCAATACTTAAAAATTAGTCACGCCATACCTAAAAAACACCAAAATTATTAAATTTCATTTAATAAGATCAGCAACTTCAAATGATACACCATATTTCATTTTAACGAATATACTTTCTTGACAAAGAATGCTCAAAATGTTCAAAAGTTTTTGTTCATATATCAAAAATCATTCTAAAATATTTAAAAATGTTCAAAACGCTTAAAGGTTTTCTTCGTATATCAAAAATTACTCCAAAATGCTTAAAATGCTTTAACATTTTTCTTTTTGGTAAGGAATACTCCAAAGATGAATAATTTGACAAGAAAAGCTCAAAGAATATGAGTTGATTTGAAGTGCAGATCTAAACATATTTGACCTGTCAATAGGTTTCGGGTTAAGGCGCGGAGTCAAATAAATGGATCGGTTTTATTAAAAATAATTTTATTCAAATTTTAATTCTCTTGATTAAAAACAGTCAAAATAATAAAAAAATCTATTGTCAAAAATGTCTTATGCATGAAGCCTATTGAAAAAAAGAACTCTAACAAAAAAATATGGATCCTAAAGAATTCAATTAGATTAGATATGTAAAGAAATAATAGCTAGGTCCGTAATAATGGGTAAGAGGAAATTGAAAGAATAACATGGGAGCAACACTTGTTAGAATGGCCAGCCACAGATAGGCACATAATTCTTCGCTGCTGCTACAAGCAAAACATGTGGCTGACAGGAGCGACCAATGTCCTCCCCAGAGGCGAATTAAGCAGCAGATAAGAAGACGTCCGTTACCGTTAGGTGAAAGGTCAGATTGTGGAGCTCTAAAGTAACTCATGGGGATAGTTTTTAACTCTGCTTTCATACTCATTCGCCTCTATAAATGCAAGCCTTTCCCAAGTGCTTCTTCACCTACAAGTTTTGGTCTCTTAGGTTTCTTTGAAAGCAGTAATGGGTTTTCCCTACGTTTCTCTTATCTTGATATTTTCTTTCCTCAAATCATTTCTCCTGTAATTATAATTACATTACTGTTACATACTTACAAATATTATGAAAAGATTCGAGCTGAGACATTGCTCCGTCTTCTAAAATTTTTGTCTTGAAATTTCATCTCTGTATACGAATATTTCATTTGGGTTTGCATTCTTAACTGCACCTACCTTTGGTTCTACAAAATATCTTCAGGCATAATTTCATCAAAAAATCCTATTGCTTTTTTGTAGCTGCATTTGGTTTGGATTATCCGTTCATTTTCCTATTAAAAGCAATTTCACATTAATCTCAAACAATGTTGAAAGGTGTCAATCCCAATTTCTACAATTTCGCAGAGCAACAACTCATCTCAGGGCTTAATCTTACTCAGCGGGCTCAATATAAAGATGTCATCGATGAGGCAATCTACGGCTCTGATGAATTCCGCATGTACGCGTACAAGATCAAACGCTGCACAAGGATGCGTAGCCACGACTGGACTGAGTGCCCCTTCGCCCACCGTGGCGAGAAGGCTCAGCGCCGAGACCCTCGCAAGGTGCCCTACACCGCCATTGCCTGCCCTGCCTTCCGCAACGGAAGATGCCAGAAAGGCGACGCCTGCGAGTTCGCTCACGGGGTGTTCGAATACTGGCTACACCCTGCCAGGTATCGTACGCGTGCATGCAATGCCGGGAGGTTTTGCCAACGTAAGGTTTGTTTCTTTGCCCATACCCCTGACGAGCTCAGGTCCGAGAGCAAATGCAAGTGCCATTTTGGATACAAGGGAAGGATGAACGGTGAAGATGAGCTGCTGATGGGGATTGGATCAGGTGGCGGAGATTGTTCCACCTCAATGCAGGCACATGATTTTTCAGTGCCTTTTGCATCAACGGTGAACAGGGATTGCTGCTGCCTCGAAGGGTTTTCGGATTTCTTGAGGAGGTTGAGGGCATTCAAGATCATGGAAGAAGAGGAAAGGGAGATGAGGAATGGTGGTGGGTTTGAGGTGTCGGATTCGGATTTGCCACATCTTGACTGGATTTCTGAGTTGGTGAAATAAATGCGAGGGAGAAAGCTGAACAAGATCGAAGATGCTTTTGGGAGTAAATAGGGGCTTATTTAATTAACGCACTGCCGTTTTATGTACGTAGAGATTGTTCAATGTGTGTGTGTTTGTGTTGAGTTCCTTTAAATTTGAATGATTTTCCCTTTTCTGTTTTGCTTCTCCTTTTGTACTCTTGTATCAAAGAGTTAAAGTAATTAATTAATAACGTTGTTACTTTCAAAAAAAAAAAATAACGTTCTTATATATGTTCATGCATCATGGGTGCTCCTGGCCTAAATGACTCATTATCCATTGATTGAAGTTAATTATTACTACTAAAATTATATGCAACCTAATTATTTAAAATAATACCTGCCAACATTCAATTTATCTCGCAATCTAACAAATATATCTAACATTCAATTTAATATCAACACATATAAGAATTAAGCAATAATGATACAAAAATAAAACACAAAAATACATAAAGTAAAATAAAACAACAAAAAGAGATTATTCAATATGAAGATTACATTATGAACTTTGATATTTGAATAATTTAGTTATAAACAAGCAACAACATAAGTAAAATAAGCCAATGTTTAGTCCAAATCTTTTCAAATTGAGTCTTTATAATTTCCTCTTAAAAAGGAAACTAAATCCAATGAAATCTCATAATTAAAATTTTCCCTTAAGGGGACCCTCCAATAATAATAACTTGAGATTTTGCTTTTGAAAGTTTAGTGTTGAAGGTGAACCAAAAAGTTGGGTTTAATGATAACGATGACGTTTAATCATAACGCTAAAAATTGTTTTTTAAAGATAATTGTCAATTTATTTTTATGTTTGAGAACACGTGCATAAGAGAGCAGATTTGGATTTTTGGGGCTTGGTATATAAATTGTGAGAATGAAATGTACACATTATATAAAAATTAATTAAGATTTAATATATTTATGTATTTCAAAGGGGATAAAAAGATGGATTTCAAAGTCATTAATTTCTCTATGTATTTCAAATTTACCACTAAGTAGGGATTCAACAAATTTATAACTTTAAAATAATCATGAAAATCATATTTTTACATGTGTTTTATCACACAATTTTATAATAAATTTGAAATTGGAATCTTTTTCTTTCAAATTCAAGTTACCAAATGCAATGTATTTGTGGATTACATAACTTAATTAATATAAATATTCAGCAATAGAAAATTTAACTATAACAAATATTTTACAAATTATTCTTTGAATAAAGATTGTGATGATTGCATATATAGGTGGATTGATTTAGGTATTATTTAATACAGAATGACCTTAATTTCATGCCATGATCATATCAAATTTAATTTCTTATAAAATTGAAGTATCTAAATATAGTATATTCCATTATACTAGTTTGCTATGATTTTAAGTAGTCTGTATAGTATCAATGGGTTGCTCAGTAGGAGTGTATCTAGAAGAAATTTTGCTACACAACAACTGGGAGTTTGCAATACTATCCAAACGTTGTTATGTTATAGGGCCAAATATTACAGTATTGACCCAATTAATTGACAGGGTTTTAAAGATTTTATGTCCACAAAGGCAATTGCTGTAACGTATTTAAAGTGTATGGGGAACATTTGACCACACAAGGGCTTAAAGGTTCCATAGGGCTTGTACTGTAATGTTTCTAGTCAGGTTAATTGTTTACCAAATCTGGCCATTTATCTTCCTCCAACACCCAGGACTTGGGACAGATATATTGGCTCAACTTCGTGTTCTGGCGAGCCACAGAGAAATTTTATTGATTTAAGTTAAAACTAGGACAACTTCTGTCTAGGTTCCGAAATTCTCAAAGAGTTATTGCTGCTGCCATTTTTTAAGTGGGTAGCTTGCTGGATGTCACTGTTCAGTTGTCTACCAGTCAAGGCAAACCAGATGCCGCTAAGAGTCTTCAGTCAACAAAAAACTTTGGACTCGAAATGACAGGTTCAATGACTGGATTAAAAAAATACCATCTTTTTTTGAAAAAAAAAAAGACTTTGCGTACTTTTTCTTCATCAATCTTGTGAGAAACGAAAACCCTCTGCGATATTAATGTTTTCCATATTAATTCTTTTAAAATGGATTTGGGTAATTAGTTCTGAACATAGGAAATAATCAGAGGTACAATTGCAAACGCCAATGCATGCTGATTCCGCCACTGTGAAGTTTTCTGTAAGACCATTTCTTTTCCAGTTATATAATTTGTAAGTTTCTGTCTCACTCCATGTTCTGTAAAGAGAAGAAATTCGGGGAGAGATTCATGGTTACATCCCAGGAGTGAGGGCATGCACTACAATTGTCTGCCACCTACCTGTTGCTTTCCTTGGGAATAAAGTCAACTGAAAATATATATGTGATCATTAGATGTCAAGATGGAAATCATTTTACTTTTACTTCATATTGCGATTTGAGCGACCAATGTCAACCATTTAAGGAAGAAAACAAGTTCCTTTCACATTTTAATCACATGCTGCCATCCATCAAGTCCAACTTTGCGGAATCCTTCCAGCAGATTTCAACAAATAGGGCAATGGGAATTTAGGCTTCTTTCATCTAAGACTTTGATTAATATGTGGGACGGACCATTTAGTGTGAAGGTTAAATGTAGGCAAAGTTTTTAAATTTTATGCAATTTTTGATATATATATATATTAAATTTAATGAAAAATTATTTTGAATGTTTTCTCTTTTCAAGGTTTAATTAATCAAGTAATCAAATGCTGATTTCTCACCGATCAACAAATAATTAAAATCATATTAACTAATTAATCCCCAATAATCATATGTAGCACTTTGCTACTATTTGTTCTTATCATCCAAATTTAATTAGTTAGTGATATTTTTGTTAGTGAAAGCAAAAGAAGTTTGAACAAACCAAACTATATTTTCTTTATGAAAGTTGAACAAACCATATATATAGTCCACATCCCCTCCCCTCCCCTTGGCTACACCTTTATCAAAAGGGGAAAAGAAGGAACGGATGATTAACACAAACGTTGTTCAATTTTTTATTTTTTTTAAAAAGATAAACGTTGTTCTTTTTTTTTTTTTTTTTGAAAATTGAGTATATATTCAAAACGGAGAGAACCAATAGTTCACCATTCAGGGTAGGAAACAAAACAAGATGCAGGTCTGTTACTTTCACATTTCAAGTAACATCCCCGAACCAACAGTTCGTACGTGACGCATACAAAGAGGAGAAAACATTGCAACAAATAACACCATATGCAGGGACATAATGATCATTAGCTTCTCTGAGTCAAGCAATTATTGGCGAAAACACCCTGAATCTTCTTACCCATGTTATCCAGCATACGGAAGTAGGCGCATCTCCATGATCTCTTAAACAGCAGAGGACCGGTAAAACTCCAAAATGCAATAATAAATCCAAGTGCCATACTGACAGAGAACCAAAACCAATCCACTTCAAGCCCATCTCCTGTTTTCTCTTTGTTTTCAGCACCGGGTATAACAGCATTTATGCTGCAGTTATCTGTGAGTGGAGGTCCACAAAGATCGTTTCCAGCAAAGTTTGATGCATCAAAACTTTGGAGTTGAGTGCTTAATGGGATTTTTCCTGTCAAATTGTTGTAAGCCACGTTCAAGTAACTCAGGAAAGTCAAATTTGATATGCTTGAAGGAATTGCACCCGAGAGTTGGTTGAATGAAAAGTCAACGGATTCTAATGACCCCATTTTGCCTATTGTCTCAGGAATCCTTCCGGTCAAAAGATTTGTAGACAGGTTAAGAGATCTCAGACCCAAAAGACTAGTAATTTCCACAGGAATTTCACCAGATAAATTGTTGTCTGAAAGGTCCATGCTTGTGACAAGTCGAAGGGTGCTACTATATTCAAGCAATATTCCCTTGATCACCACTAAAGTCGTCTCTATGGAGTTTTTAAAATGACCAAAAGCATAAGAAATGGGGTCACTTGAGTTCCGTTTACTGGCCATGGCACTGAAATTAGTGAAACATTTTGGTATGTTTCCCGATAGATTGTTATGTGCCAGGTCTAAAATTGTAAGATAACCAAGAGCACAGAGCTTATGAGGAATGTCACCTTGAAAATTATTTGCACGAAGGCCAACAATCATGATCTTGGACAGCTTTTCACCAATCCAACTAGGTATGCTCCCCTCAATTTTATTTTCACTGAGGTCAAGAGCCAACAACGACGAACAATTTTGCAGCGACAGTGGCAAAACTCCAGAAATGTTGTTCTTGCGTAGGTGCAAAGACTGAAGAAGGCTTAAAGAACCCATGGACCTTGGAAGGCTACCACTTAGATTATTGTTTTTTAAATCAATGGAAATCAAGTTTGGCCAATTCATCCAACAATCGGGAATTGGTCCTGATAAATGATTGTCCGCCAAACGAAGATTTCCCAAGCTCTTTGGTTCCTCCATGTTGCAACACAAGAAGGGAGAAATGGGCCCTGAAAAAGAATTGTTTGAAAGATCTAGTGTGCCTACATTCGAGGGCAAACAGGGTAATGAACCCTCAAAGAAATTAGAATTCAGATCAATAGATGAAGGATAACCAAGAGGAGGAATTGTGCTGAGTATCCCCGGAACTCTCCCTTGGATTTGATTGTGAGAAAGATTCATATAAAAGAACTGAGAAGACAAATTCCAAAACCAGTCCGGAAGTGTATCAACAATCCCTGCAACAGATATGTCCAGAAACACAAAATCCTTTTGGAAGCGAAGCCAATGGGGAAAGCTCGGCCCTAAATTCCACGATGACAAAGCTATAACCCCAAGTTGGAAAGGGGGAATCCAACCAGGACTTGCTTTCAAACTCAATCGATTTCCGGAAGCCTGAAGTAACCTCAGTCTGTTGACATTAGAAAAGTGAACCTCAGAAACGACACCGTGTAGCGAATTTTCACCAATCCATAAAACTTCCAATTCTCTAAGCTGTCCAAGCCATTCAGGAAAAGTCCCGTTCAATTGATTTTCAGATAGATCCACGGCTCTCAAGGAGGTAAGTAATCTTAATGAGTCTGGAATCGGACCAGAAATAGAATTTCTCGCCATGTAAAGGTCATGTAGATTTTTGAATCGACCAAGTTGATTGGTAAGATGACCGGAAAGTTCACATTTAGCGAGAAACAATGACTCAAGTCTATCGGAGAGGCATCCTGACAGAGATTCTAAGACTTCTGATACGTCTTGACTCAAGTTGATACCAGACAGAGAGAGACTTCTCAAGCTGCAAAGGTTTCCCAAGGATCTTAACGCTGCTCCTTCAAGATTACTGTATCCAAAGTCGAGGCTTATGGCCGAAGTCAAGTTTCCAACATCCTCTGAGATTCTGCCTTGCAAGTTATTGGATCCAAGATCGAGGTCCTGAAGATGGTTGAAACTGTACAACCAATTGGGTATTGATGAATTGAATTGGTTACTTGCTAAGCTGAGATATCTGAGAGAGCTCATGTTTCTTAGACCATCTGGGAAATGACCTTGAAAACTATTATGACTGAGATCAAGTGAAACCAAGGAATTAAGGCCAAAAATCCAGCTATAAATGAAGGAGTTGCTAAATTCATTGTAGGAAAGATCAAGAGTGCCCAGAGATGAAAAATTAACATTTTTTAGTGGAGGAACAGGATCAAGTTGGCAATATGATAGGCGTAAGACAATCAAGGAAGGGAGCGCATTTGTCACCTGTAACCAGTCAGAGGCTTTGCTGAGACTTACGCCACTCAAATCAAGGTGTTGCAGCTGCGCAAGACTGGTAAGCCATTGAAGATTCTCTGCGTACAGAAATGCAGATAAAAGATCATGGAGATCAAGATACTGCAGATTTGTGAGGTTTCCAAGTTGAGGAGGAATCCGTCCCTCAAATCCAGCTGTAGAGAGGTTGAGATATCTTAGATTCTGTAAGGAACCAAGGAATCCAGGAATTTGTCCTCCAAAATTGTTGCCACTCAGGTCCAAGTACTGCAAATGCTTCAAATCGAGCAAAGAGGAATTTATCTTACCACTCAATCTTGAAAGCTCGAAAGCCTTGCCTGGAACGACAACATCATCATTAGGATCATGGATATTTCCGAGGTGAAGCTCAAGGACGTGACCAGTTAAGTTGTCGCATACCACTCCGGTCCAGTCACAACAATCCCCCCCATTGCTCCAAGAGGCAAGCCGGGATGAAGTATCCGTTAGGTCTTGTGTGAACCTCAGAAGAGCTTGTCTCTCACTTCCAAGGCAAGCAGCTTCCGAGGTTGCATCGCAAAAGCAAGAAATAACGAGAGCAACGAGACTGAGCAGCTCTGAGAAACCAATAGTTCCACCTTTCTTAGAACTGTCCATGATCATGCAACACTCATACAAAACGAAGGAAGTGGAGAGTTGGTGGATTTGGCTTCTTAAAGCTATTTATGTAGTATCACGTGCTGGATCCGCCGTGCATTAATGGTTCAGTAAGGAAGAGTGATAGGATACTCCCATCTTCTGTTTTATTTTTATTGTTATACCTATATATAAAACCTTACTTGGCCAATACTAATGTGAAGAACGGAAAATGCATTAGCTAAACTTCCATAGCTGATTTTCTTTGTGTTACTTTTAGTAGAAGTAACTATTTAGTGATTGACCGTTCTGCCTTTCATATCTTTAATGGTAAAAGCCTCCGTTAAAAAAAGTATAGTTTTGCATAAAAAAAGAAAAACAAATAATATATATTATTATTATTATTTTAAATTTTTCTGGGTCAACTCTTGTGTCGAATTTTCCACATTGATAAGATACATTTAATAGAATATAATTTTGTCTTTGATTTTTATTTTTAATAGATGCACCATCACATATTTTCTCCATTGTTATCATAATTTTTTTTGAAAGACTTCTTCTTTATCATAAATACTTTGTATAAAAATGTTCTTAATTATATAGGGGGAACAAGTCATAGTTATAGCTTCAATTTTTCTGGCGTTTCTAGCTTTCAATCAGAGTTTCCTGTGACATTGATGGGCAAAAACTTGAGATACCTTGATGGAAAGAGATATCAGGTAAATTAAGTACATTTAAATTATCCAAAAAATTAAAACATGAAATTGTAAAAATTTCCAGTTACAATGTCTTTTCCAAATATGCAAATATATATATATCAATAGGTGTTTACCTACTCCCTTAATCAGAAGTTTCCCTGGCTGTAAGGTCACAAATTAATGTTTAAATAAACATAGAATAAGCCAAACCTAAGCCTGGAAATGCTAATACATAAGACTTGGAAATATATATATAAATAATATATTTATGAAGAATATCTTCGTTTTATAATCTGGCACATATAGAAGATTTGATAATATATTCAATAAAGGTTAGGCCTAAAGTTGACTAAGTGCCGTAGACTGAGGGTATTCAATATAGTCTAAATACTATTCGAGTCTTTGTCATATATATAAAAATATATTATGGAAAGACTTCTTTTTGGTCTTTGTCATTATGGCCCAATTTGTCCGTAACTAAGAGATTTGGTGATCAGTGCTTGTTTTATTGAGATCCGGTCAACGAGACATCCCCTCATGAATTCCCATCCTATTCCCTCCATTTTTTTTTGTCTAATAATTCCATTATTTTTAGTCAAAAGTTTATAAGTATACGTGGAAATCGGTTATTAATTTCTTATATAATTCGTCCTCACTTGGGTTTATGAGAAATGCGAGTAGAAGTCCTAGGTACAAGCTTAAATAATGCTTGTACAAAAAAAAAAACTAAACATGCATTTACTACCTTCTATGTGAACATGTATTACATGCAACAATATTTAAGTTCTGTTTACTTTGAAATAAGCCAAGATGCTCTACAAATATCTAGTGAATGTATGAATCTAGAGACCATTAGTAGCAACTGCCCTGATTTGGTGCTCCGTTCTGTCCAGTAAGCGAAAATAAGCAAATCGCCATGACTTGTTGAACAGCAAAGGACCCATGACAATCCAGAAGCCCACAACAAAACCGAGAGGCATACTTATATAAAACCAAAACCATTCCACTTCAAATCCATCAGCTTTACTCCCTCTATTTTTGTCAACAGGTGTTGTGGCATCTGGGCTGCAAATATCCAACAGTGGAGGCCAGCAGAGATCATTTCCCTCATAGCTGGAGATGTTGAAGCTTTGGAGTTGAGTGCTTGATGTGATTTTTCCAGTCAGGTTGTTGTGTGACAAGTTCAAGTAACTCAAGAATGTTAAAGCTGACATGCTTGGAGGGATTTCACCGCTGATTTGGTTCCATGGTAAGTCGATAGATTCTAGTAACCTCATATTGCCTATATCCTTGGGAATCGTTCCTGTCAAATGGTTGTTGGACAAGTTCATGAACCGCAAGCCCAAAAGATTTGCTATTTCTGCCGGCATCTCACCAGATAAGTTGTTGTCTGAAAGGTCAGTGCTTGTTACTAGTTGGAGAATGCTGCCATATTCAAGCAATATCCCTTTGATCATCAATAGCAGGGTCTCCAAGGAGCTGCCAAATTGACCAAAAGCATAAGAAATAGGGTCACTTGAATTCTGTGTTGCAGCGATGGCGCTGTTCTTGAAACATTTCGGTATGGTTCCTGAGAGATTGTTGTGTGCGAGGTCCAGGATTGCCAAGTAACTCAGAGCACACAATTTATCAGGAATCTGACCTTCAAAACTATTTGAACGGAGGCTGATAATAATGATATCGGAGAGCAGCTCACCTATCCAACCAGGAATATTTCCCACAAAATTATTTTCAACAAGGTCAATAGCCAATAACTTAGTGCAATTTTGCAGGAATGAGGGCAAAACTCCGGAAAGGTTATTCTTGCCAAGGTGCAATGACTGAAGAAGGCTCAATGACCCCATGGAGCTTGGAATATTACAAGATAGATTATTGTTTTTTAAATCTATCGAAACCAAGTTTGGCCAATTCATCCAGCAATCAGGAATTTTTCCTGATAGATGGTTGTCCGCCATGTGAAGAATTTCCAACCACTTTGGTTCTTCCATTTTGCAACACAACAAGGGAGAAAAAGGTCCTGAAAATGAGTTGTTCGAAAGATCAAGTGTATTTACCTTGGAGGACAAACAGGGTAACGGACCATCAAAGTAATTAGAATTAAGATCAATATATACAGGAACACCAAGAAGAGGAGAAGAGGCAATGAATTCAGGAACTTTCCCATTGATTTGGTTGTGAGAGAGATTCAAAGAAAAAAACATGGTGGACAAATTCCAAAACCAGTTGGGAATGGTGTCTATAATTCCTGTACCAGAGATGTCCAAATAAACAAAGTCCTTTTGGTATCTAAGCCAGAAAGGAAATTTTGGACCTAAATGCCATGACGAGAAACCCATACGCCCAAGATGGAAAGGGAGAACTCATTGAGGACTTACCTTCAAGACTAAAGGGTTTCCAGATGCCTGAAATTAGCGCAATCTGGTGAGACTAGCGAAGTGAATTTCAGTAACCACACCCTCAACAGATTGCGACTCAACCATAATTTTTCCATTTTCCAAAGCTGTCCTATTGATTCAGGAAAAGTTCCATTCACTCGATTTCAAGACAGGTCCAATGTCCTTAATGATGCAAGAAATCCTAGTGATACTGGTATTGGACCAGAAATTGAATTTCTGGACAGAGACAGGTCTGCCAAATTTATGAATTCTAGTAGTTGATCAGTCAAATGGCCAGAGAGTTCACAACTATCCAAATATAGAGACTCTAGTCTATCTGAAAGGCATCCTGATGATAAAGCTTCTAAGACTACTGATAAGTCATGACTCAATTTGAGACCTGAGAATTTGATCTTCTTCAAACTGCAAAGACTTCCCACGGATCGTGGTACGACTCCTTCAAGTTCATTGTCTGACTGGTCAAGTGTAGTGACAGAGATCAAGTTTCCAAAGTCATTAGAGATGGGACCATGCAAATTATTGGAGCCAAGTTTTAGGAATTCGAGACTCCTGAAACCATACAACCAAGTGGGTATTGATGAATTGAATTTGTTCCAATATAGATTGAGATATCTAAGAGAGCTGAAGTTTCGGAGACCATCGAGCAGTGGGCCTTCAAAATTATTATAACTGAGATCAAGGGATACCAGACTTAAGCCTAAAAATCCAAAAAGGAATCAAAGAGTTGCTAAATGAATTGGAAGAAAGATCAAGTATGAAGAGAGATGAGAAATTAAAATTTGTTTGTAGAGGAAGATGATCAAGTTGACAACCAGATAAGTGAAGTTCTACCAAAGAAGGGAGTGCATTTGTCACCTGAAACCAATCTGAGGCTCTGCTGAGACCTACACGGCTCAGATCAAGGTGTTGCAGCTTCACAAGATTGGAAAGCCATTGAAGATTTTCAACATAGAGAAGAGATGACAAATCATGGAGATCAAGAAAGCAGAGATTGGTGAGATTTCCAAGTTGAGGTGGAATCAGTCCCCAAATCCAGCAGCAGAGAGATCGAGATATCTTAGTGTCTGCATGGAACTGAGGAACTTGGGAATTATTCCTCCAAAATTACTGCCACTGAGGTCCAAGTACCTCAAATGCTTTAAATCCAGCAAAGAAGGATTAACCTTGCCACCAAACCATAGCTTTGCATAGGCCTCACTTGAGATGTAAAATCTTTTATAAGGATCTAAAGGATTTCTCAGGCGAAGCTCTAGCACATGTCCAGTTGAGTTATCACATACAACTCCAGTCCAATTGCAACTGTTCAAATTATTGCCCCAAGATGCAAGTCGACCTGAAGGATCTGAAAGGTCTTGCTTGAATTCCAGAAGAGCTTGTCTCTCCATCCCGTGGCAGGTCACATTCGTGTTTGCAGCGCAAAAGTTTTGAACAAAACATGCAAGGATGTGCAGAACGAAGAAAACGGATGCGATAACTCTCAAGGAACCAGCCATGATCATGCAACAAGGACTCAGAATGTATAAACTGAGAGGATCAGTTGTTGATGAACCATGGAAGATGGCAGTGATAGGTGCTGTTATATAACAACTGATGCTGGGTCCAAATTGTATAATCCGAACTACAGTTTACGTCACGACAGGAACTCTAATTTTCCTTTCAACATTTTTCATCTCTTTAATCAAAAGTGCGTCATTGGAAGATGAGGTTTGTCAAATTTTTTTCTACTGATTCTAAATTGCTCTTCCTAGAAGCATTTTTTGGTCAATGCTTAATAAGACTATAATCAAATGTTTCCTCCAAAATTATTAATTTAGGCATATCGGCCTCAGTAAAACAAGTTAAGGTGTCCACATTTTAAACTTAAAATATCAAATGTTGCAGACCTACCAAAAATTTTTTTTAAAAGAAGTTCACAATTCAAAACCAATTGAGGTTTAAAATTTAATTTATTGATGGTTTAATTTTCATGGCATAATATTCAATATTATATATAATGGAAACAAAGAAAGATTTGTAGCTCTCGGTTCAATTTATAATTGATGCATTCATAAGACTTGTTATGTCGAAAGTCGAAACATGAGCTATAAAATGCCACGTAAAAGTTTTACTCCAAGGATAGAGTTGGCTAATTGTTGTTGGGAGCCAAAAGCAAAGAGAAATAGTATATAAAATATAAATAGTTAAATATCATTTATAAGATTAATAATTATTTTTATATAATCAGAATTGTTTAAATATTAAATACTTAAAAATAATATTTTTTCAATTAAATATAAAACGTAAAGTATATAAAAATTATATTCAAGATAATTTCTTCTTATATAATAAAGATTAATAAAATAAATGATATATTGGTGAAATTTTAAGTAACAACCAATACAACTCATTTTTGAGAACTATGTAATAATTTTTTATATTTTAAAGACTAAAATCATTAAAATTAAAATTCAGATAAAGAGAAAAAAAAAAAACAAGGCAAGTAGAAGAATATGCTTAACTGTTTGTACAAATTTAGAGAAAAAAATCTATAAAAACTTAGAAAATATGAGTCAATAGAATAAAATGAAAAAAATAAAAAATATAAATAATAATAATATGAATAGAAAAAAAGATAAAAAATTCTTATTTCTTTATAATTTCACAATAAAAGACAAAAAAGAAGCAAAAGAGAAAAAGAAAAAAGGAAAAGAGGTGTGGAGAATCTTAAAAGGGTTAGAGAAAAATTTAAAAATTAGGGTAAAATTAAAAGAAATTTGTCGAGTTATTTCATTATTTTTTATCTATATTACTTATTTAATAAAAAAATTATTTTAAATAATCATTATATATATAATATAAAAAAATTTAAAATTTTTAAAAAGACCACGACCCCGTCACTACGGGACTCTCCGCCCTTACCTGAACGAAACGGAGAATTATATATTTTTAGCAGGTTCTTCACTCTTGCAAGAATATTTGGATAATGAGAAAATTTTAGACGTCAGTGAAGTTGAGTCAATGGAAGGAATTCCAAATTCCATGAAATGATGATGCTTCCCAAGTATTTTCCGTCTCAGAAAATCACAGACCAGACTCAAATTACGTATTCAAAGTAAATAAAATGATCTATGCCTTCTTTCTTGGGCTTATTTAAGAGCTTAAAAACTAATCTCGCTTTAAGTGTGGCACAACACAAGCGATTGACAGTTTACCAAAAACTCTTGTCTGCGTTTCAAAGCAATTCAGCAACTTTTACTCCAATAATACTCTGCAAGTAATATTATTGGACTAAACTATAGAATTCCATTCCATATACGACGTGTCAAGTGAAAATGTCTACAAGACTACAACTGCTAAAGAGAAGAGGATAAAGAACGTGGGCAACAATTTAAAACTAACAAGTTGGTAACCCTGAAGCCTTGATCATTTTCAGCAGTTTCCAAGAATATCAAGAAAAGGGTACTTGTTGAGGGTGATTCATCGACATATATAAAATCATTGATAAATCACTCTTCAACGCCGTCGTTTTGATTATATTTAAGTATTAAACTTGTATTGGCATAAATAATTTGTAAATGGATTGCTATTCATGGTAATTTGTAAAAAAAAAAAAAGAAATCATAACAGTCTCCTTAATTTATGAATATCCATGAACATAATCCAATTTCTGAAAATCTAAAACCATTGATGAATCACTCCTCAACACCATCGCTTTTATCACATCCAAGTGTTAAGCTTGTATTAACATGAACAACTTGCAAAAAGATCGTTGTTCATGGCAATTCACAAAATAAAGAGATCATAACAATCTCCTTAATTTATGAATTGCCATGAACACGATCCATTTACTAGAAATTTAAAACCATTAATGAATCACTCCTCAACACCATCGCTTTGATCACATCCATGTATTAAACTTGTAATAACATGAACAACCTGCAAAGGGATCACTGTTCATGACAATTCACAAAACAAAAAGATCATAACAGTCTTCTTACTTTATAAGTCACCATGAACACAATCCATTTACTAGAAATCTAAGATATATATATATCAAAATGCTGAAACTGCAATGATCATTCGACAAAAAAATTAGAATAGAGTTTTTTTTTTGGTGGCATAAAACAACTATACAAAGAGATCGTTGTTAATGGCATATCATCAACAAATCAACAATCAGAGAAAAGGCTTATTGATGAAATGCTATGAACACGAGCCCTTTATGTTGTTTCGCACAAGCAAGAAAAAAATGAAAAATCTGTCTGCCGTCTGCTGGTATTTATAGCATTTTAAGGCTACCAAACGCTTGCAATTTGCCTTAAACGCTTGATCTTGTTTAGGAAAGCCTTGGAACATTTTTCTCACGTTACTTGAATTAGCTTTGAAAATGCGATCCACATATCAAAATTTATGGTAGTTGATATTACTTTCCTTATTCTTTCCCTTTGTTTCTAAGAAATTTTTCTTTAATTACCATTGTAGAGGACTGTTCTGATAGGAAGAGAAGGATGTGTTGTAATAAATAAAACGAAATGCACAACAAAAAAAAAATCGAAATAATTTTTGAAGCGTAAGTGCTTTTATAGCAAACTATGAGAATAAAAAATCAAGGAATAGGTAGAGAAAGTGATGGAGCACAACGAAAGAAAGTGATGGAGCACAACGAATGAAAAAGTTGAATAGAGAAAATATTTAAAAGACCTTCGAGAAAGTTTTGAGAGTAATATTTTTGTTGAATTTTTAATCTCTCTTAAATTACCAAACTCCACATTTATACTAAGTGGTAGCGCTTTCTTAGGAGCAGTTGGTAAAAGTAGAACGTGTTATAAGAAGAGTATATAATAGGATAACACACGTAATTAAATTTGGATAGTGGATTAATGGATTTAACAATGTATCACGTGACAAAAAAAAAAGTTAAAAGAAAATTCTCTTAACTAGCTTCATATATGAATCAGCAAGTCAAATACTTTAAAACATCCAACTATGAAAATAACAAATGATCTTTGCAACTTATTATGAATTACCTTCATTTCCTTGTATGACATAATTATTCCATTTGCAACTCATTCTGAATTACCTTCATTTCCTTCTATGACATAGTTATTCCATTTTTATTTTAATTATGTACATATTTATTCTATAAGACAATATTTAAAAAAATAATAATTAATCAAAATTAAGCATCTACAGCCATCAACCACGAAACTCAAATATTATCTTGCCATTGTTGAGTTCCGGTTCAATTTGGGCACTATTCCTAGCCCTAATGGCCTTGGAGCTGAGACCCCGCTTTGAAATTTACAACCATATTCCTGAGCATATAGTACTCTGGTAATAGAATTATATCCCAATTTTTTTCACTTAAAAATGATGTTTTTTACACTTTTGACATCTTCTAATTCTAGTATCACACTGCATTTAAGGCTTGACTACGTACATGTAAATCTTTTGTTTAATATTATTTAAAAGATTAACTACTATTAATTTTGTATTAAAAAATTATATTAACAAATCAAAAATAGTTATATGTATGTTAACAAATCAAAAATAATTATATGAAGAGCGAAAATAACCGATCACGACTATTAATTTTTCATTAAATAATTTTATTAACGAATCAAAAATACTTGTATGTATGTTACAAAATCAGAGATGATGTCAACTATTTTGAAGTTAATAAAACAATAGATACTAAGCCAAAAAAAAAAACTAAAAGAGTAAATGCCTTTTATAAATCTGTGTAAAATGCAAAAGGAAATTCCATTTATAACTAATCAGAATTGAGATTACCTCACATTATAAAATGTGAACATGAGCAAGTTTTTATTTATAAAAACAAATGTGTCCTTTCCAAATTCAATATTTTTATTTTTAATCAGGGCGTAGAAATTCCCGAAAAATTTTAAGGGCCAATTTCCAAAATTGAAGGTCTATTCCCTCGCATCTTCAAAGAAGTGTAAAGAAAGGTGAAAAAACAGTTAAAATTACTGGACAGGTGTCGCGGTGCACGATATACTGCGAGATGCACAAGCCCGTAGCAGCCGGTCCATTCAGTATGGACCCTGCAGCCTTTGTCACAAATAGTGGAGCCCGTTGGCATTCGGCTTTTCTAGCTATCAGCCTGCCTGTCACTACCAGAAAACCCATTTTGGGTTATGACATGCAAGTAAATTGGTGCCAGTATGCAACATTATATAGATAAGAATCTTTACCAATCTAAATTAACGCCCGAACCACGCAGAAAAATATTTTATAGACACGTAACAACTGCTTATGACAGTAAATTACTTCAGTCTTCAACAGACCCAGATCCAAGTTCAGACCCTTTTTTATGGTGCCTTCCAAATTCAGAACATTGTCAAAGAAATAACAGGAACATTCTAATGACTTAAGACTTAAGAGGAGGACTTGTGTGATAGCCATTTGATCCTAGCTAGGTAGAGATCAATTGCTAATTAAGCAGCACAAACTAAGAAGCCGTTGCACTGGTGAGCTGCTCAGGCCTGCCCTTCATCTCCCGAGCCTTTCTAGCCAGCCTTATACGCGCCTGGTCCAACTGATCCGCTCCTGGTGGGTGCCCCCCGGTAACATACCTATATAATTATACCACACAGACATATATAATTGAAAAACAAAATGTCACATTTCGTTCTGATAAATGGTTATGGGAAGAAAAATAAATAACTTGTTTTCATTTGTAAATGTACCTATAAATCCATGACAGCACAGTAATAGCTGCGACACCGAAACCGCCAGAAGCCATGAAACCTGTGGCCAATAGAGCAGCGGCAATGAGAGCAGGGACAAGAACCGGACTGAATATGACAAAGAGTGGAGTAGCAATAGTGAGTGCAATAACCGTGCCAGCAAGGATCAAACCGGAGAGGACTAGAAGGGATCCCCCAGCAGTGGCAGCAGCAGCCGCCTTCACCATCTGCTGGGACCTTGGTTGAGAGTAGTGGTGATGGTCTGGTTGCCGCAGCTGGTGGTACTCAGCCATGGTTGCAAAAAGTTCAAACGTTAAGAAATTGAAGAATTACGAATTTGTATGCTTAATTAACTGATGGATGGATTTGTGATCTGGAGAGATAGCTGGTTATATAGAGGGAAAAGACGGGGCACGTGTTCGAAGAGGGAAAGGCACGTGTTTAGGCAGCTTACATGCAGGGGCCGCATGCTAAGAAAGTGGGTTGGTTTTTGGACACGTAGATTTTTGTCGGATTTGAGGTTTGCCGAAAAGAATGTAGAGACGAAAGTTTACGATAATTCGAGGATGATCAGTGTCGTCGTGTGCCCGCGGATATTTCCTCTCCATGTGTAGTGAACTGGTTGTTGCTGTATTTTTAATTCTTCCTATTTACAAATTTTTAAAACTATTTTGTAGAAGACAGATGCTCCTGCATCAATAATACTAGCTAGTAATTTGATTCAAATCCAACTTCCACTCTTATTTCTGATACATTGACGTAATCATCTTAACCACCTCATACGCTTTAGCTAGGTAGTTGATTTAAAGTGTAAAAATTGCAGAATTGATTACTAGTTTTACATATTTTAAAAAGGTTTTTTAAAAAATAACTTTTAAAAATAAGATATTTTTAAAAATAATTTTTTTATAATTTTAACTAATTTTAATTAAATTGAATAAAATTACTTTTAATGAATTACACGTTATGTACAAAAATATATTACACGTCATAGTTACGTTATTATACACCATATACAAAAAGATGTAACACATCATGATTAGGCTATTATACGTCATATTTAAACAAATAATATTGTTACACATTATGTACAAAAACATGTTGTATACTTTAATTAGGTTGTTACATGTCATATACTTTTATATATAATACACTGTTATACATCATATTGAAAAAAAGTACTGTTGTTATACATTATGTACAAAAACATGTTACACATCATGGTTAGGTTGTTACACGCTATGTATAAAAACATGTTATAAGCCATGGTTAAAAAATATTGTTATACTCCTTGTTAAAAAAAAAATATTGTTGTTATATACTATGTTGAAAAAATATTTTTATTACACGTCATATTCAAAAACATTTTATTACACTTTAATGCTTAAAATGTTGTTATTACATACAAACCAAAACTTCAAATCCTCTCAACTCTCTTTATTTTGTTTCATTTTTTGATAATTTGACATCGATTAAAGTGTTTCTAACATGTTTTCATAAATTAAAATACAAATTTTCTTATTTAAAACATCTATTTCAACTAAAAATCGAAAAACTTTCCTTTGAAAACTTAGGTTTATAAATCTTAAAATTTTCAATTTATTGATTTCTAGATCCTGAATTGATCCAATTAAAAGTTATTTTAAACATATGTGTGATCATTTCTACCATTTTAGTTTATTCAAAATACCTAAAAATTAAATTCTCCAAATAGCCATCCACCCAAGCATATTAAGAGCACACCTGACCAATGCTGAAGAGAGATATAGATAAACTTAGAGAGAGTGAAATGATGAGAGAGAAATTGAAAGTACAAATAGAGAGAAATTGTAATTAATGATTTGATTTATTTAAAATAATTTCAAGAGTATTTTTCTCCAATTATGGATAAACAGTTAAATTTACTTTAATAGTTATTTTTAAAATATCTTTATCAAAAAAAGTTATTTTTTATAATTTTTTCTATTTTAAAACTTCAATCACAAGCAACTCCAACTGGTCGATATTCCTATAATTCTTGCATTTAACAAGTTACACACAGGACAGCTCATTCGCGGATAAATTGATTCAATATTGAATTGTTGATAAAGTACATCAAGTATGCAACATTTGATAAAAGTCGGAATTGGGCCTCGAATCCAGCATGGCTCGGGCTGACCCAATTCAGTGCAGATATGTTAAGCCGTTTAAACTTTCCCAAAGTGCAGTTGAACCCGGCTTAATCAACTGTTTATTAAATTAAGCTGTCTATTAGTTAAACTTAATATGTGTACTTATTTATATAGTTGCTGTATTGTTAGTTTCCCTTTACCTTATAAAATTTCCTATAATTCCATAGCGACTAGAGAGTAATTACTAATCCAAAGTTAATAGTTATATACATAAAAAAAAAGGCACAGCCATAGTTTTATATATATATATATATAAACTACTTTACCTTTTGTTTTATATATTAAAGTCAAATTTCTAAACTTAAATATATATATTTTGCTATATTCGAAATATTAATACTATTTTTACTTTGGAGTTTTGACCTTCGAAAGTAAAAGGAAAACAGTGGATATATACCAAAAAAAAAGGAGTATTCTTGATAAATGATTGTGATGATTAAATTTTGCTAAAATTCTTAAATAAAATTTCTTCCTTAAAGACAAACAAATAAAAATAAAATTTGAAAATCAAAATCAATAAATTGATAGAGTTTAATGAGAAAGAAAAGATTAATAATATGTAAGAAAATAATAAAAAGTATTGTCTCACACACACAAAATTTGATCACCACTTATTGAATAGCGAAAATTTTGTTATAATTTTAGATAAAAATATCTATTTAATTGAAGCATTTAAATTTATTCAAATTTGATACACTTAATCTATGAAGAAGAAGACCTTTCAATTTTCTCAGTTTGACTTTTTTTTTTTAATTTTAGGTTTACTTAATTGTTTTGAATAAGATTGTGAATTGATTGATGTTGGATTTGTGGGACTAAAATACAAATTGAACCAGCTCTCTTCAGGGTCTGAGCAGAGTCTAGGGAGAGACTGGACAGGTTTCTATGCTTAGCTAGATGGAAAGAAGCCTTCCGTGATGCTGATGTCTTCTTCCACCTACCAAGAACAAATTATGATCATCTCCGCCTGGTATGAAGCTGCCTGGATGATGCATGAGAAGCAAGAGAACTACACTTAAGGCCATTTTCCTTTGCTTTTGCGGTGTAGAATTACATCAATATTTGCTTAACCTGAAGGTAGTTTTTTTTTTTTCATCACATTTTTCTTCTTTTCAGATAGAAACCCTTTTAATGAAAGTAGGAACAATTGGTTGTCGTGTTGTGAAATTGTTGAATGCCTACGTTGTTGACTTTTGACTTGCAGTCATCTACGGACCCTCGTACCTTACAACAGAGCTTTCAGGTTCGATTGCAATCCTTAAATTAAGACTAGCTTCTTGGAACTCAGGTATATCTCTTAGCAATTTCTTAGTAAAAGATGAAAACAATAGTCCTGTACTACTAGTATTATACAACATTTGTTTTTGAAATAGAGGGAGAAAAGATTTGAATTTTATTTTTTAAATAAAAAAATTATGTACCAATAAATGAATTAAATGTTCTAATGTATTATATAACATTTGTTGATGTATAATAAACAGAAGACTTTCAATATCGGTATATGGCTGATGGATTGGGGAGCCTTCATGGAAAATGGCATTCAACTTTTCTATTTTGGCATCTTAAATCTTGACGGAAGCTTTCCAAGTCAATCACTTTTTTTTTGGTGATGGGGTGAATTTTCAAATCTGAAAGAGGACAATTACTCGAGAATTTAAAGTTGCTTGTTTGAGCTGTGTGAAACCATGATTCATGTCGTTTATTCCTTTCATATTTAGTTACTAGTTCGAGACTTTTCATCTGTAAAGATTGAAGCGTATGTTTCACTTGCCTCCATGCAAATCAAAAATTATGCTTGTGTCTGATTTTATGTTAAGGATGGAGCAACTCCTTCCCTCACAGTAGAGTTATATGCCCCTTTGAAGGGTTCTAGAAATTAGGAAAATCACTGTGAAAAAGTAGAAACAAAAATGGGTTATAAACGCATATTTCTTTGCCTCCATTTTTTCTCGAGTTAAACTACTAATTCAATTTTGTGTATGTAATTTCATTTTACCCTTTTTTTCCCATTCTATGAATTAATAAAATAGAATATAAACATGATTGATAAAACATAATCACTGATGTACTTGATGGATAGCAAACGAAAGGGATTCAAAACTTTATTTCAAGTATTTTGTGAAAACTTTAGATAAAGTGCTTTAAAAGATGGAAGAATATTGCTTAGTGTTAAATAATTTCAACTCATAAAGCATATGTCAAGCAAAATTTTACAAAATCGTTAGGTCAAGAACCATTGTGAAATAACCTTTCTGAGTAGGCGCAATTACGTTTGCGGTCTTGTCCTGGCCCCCGGGTTAGGCAAAGAGTAAAAATATTGCTGTGCTCACTAACTCTAAACCGAGCAGAGACAAATTATTGCTGGGATTATTTGATTGGACGACAATGATAGCTCAATGTGTCACCCTAACTACTAGCAGGACGAAATAATTAGGTTAGAAAGCTTTCTCAAGGGTGGGGATCTATTAGCAGGACGATCAATTAATATGCCCAGACAAAAGAAATCATAATCTCGCTAGATTAGCCTTGAAGTTAGGCGGCGGAAATAATAAATGATGGGGCCTTCCCCTTTGAGCTTTTTCTACATTTTTGTTTCTGTCAAAGAGATGATCAGAGTGTTCATTGAATCATATTCCCTAAGAGGCTGTCTGATTGTTTAGCAAATCAATATTTTTTGCAAGTCTAAGTTGTTTTAAATATGTTGTTCATGCATCCCTACAGATTCAAGACCTCTCTTTCTCGGCTGATCAATTATGTAGGGTCTAGCTAGGCCGGTTGCTCGGTCTTACCTTGTCCTTTGATCATTTGTCTTGTCGAACCAGGCAAAGAAATTATGAGAGGAAAGATTCCAAAGCTTGCTTGGCAAAACTATTCAGTTCAAAATATTTTTGGTTTTATATCTGAAAAAAGAAGGAAAATGTTTTAAATGTTTTTATGTTTGTCCGTCTTTAACGCGGTGGGTAGACTAGGAAAAGGAGAAGAGGAAAAAGTACATAATTAAAAATGCTAGGATAATTTTAATCGGAGTTATTGTCCAATTTTTAGAAAATGTGAAACTTATTTTGTTGAATATCCAGAGACAGGAACCTTTAAGTGACAAGTGACTTGCTATTTGATTTTTCGAAACTGAATTATGTTTCTCCTTGCTTTTTCAGATTTTGATTCCTTTTATATGCCTAATATCACGGCTGACCGCAATTTAATCCTGGCTTTTGCAAAGTCTTGCTCTCCCATTATAAGTTTATAACCCATTTTCCACAGGTGGGGGAGGGTGTTTTGGGTACCTTTCTACCGGTACAATGTACATAGATTCAGCGACGATGACCTCTTCCTTTGGGTAACAGTGGTATCCCTTTCAAGATGATCATCTTCTTTAAAATTATCATACTAGGTATAATTTTACTGGGTAATCCTTAATCATTGAATTTAAAAAATTAAGATGTTTGATGTCATATAACAATTAACATTAATATGTATAAGTACCAAAATAGTTTTAAAAGTTTATAAATGAATAATTTTATTATTTACTGACATAAGAATATGTCAAATATTAACACTTTATTTTTTAAATAAGTTATAGTTAATCAAACTAATAAAAAAGTATATTTATTTTTGATAAACCCACTCTTAACCTTATAAAGTAAATGAAAATTCTTTATACAGAAAAATCAATTTAATTTATCGAAATAATAATGAATTTGCTACCAAAACAATAATTATATACATAACCAAAAAAAAATCGTGGAGAGAAGTATGTAATATCCTTTAAGTTGGCTACAAAAATTTTTTGAAAGAGGAAAAACTTATTATGTATATATATTTTTTAATTTTTTGGAAGGAAGCAATTTGTTTTATTTATATGTTAAAAAGGTAAAATCGTTCATAATTGATTTTACATATTATTCCATTTGGACTAAAAAAGTCTTTTATCTTTTTTATTAGAACTTAGATAATCTTTTGCAGCAGTGATTTAATCACTCTTGATGATTTATGATCAATTAATGTAAAGTTATCAAGTGTTTATCAAACACAGTAATTTAATTATTAAGTGCAAATCACCTTAAATTTGGAAATGGTCCACACATGCCATAAGTCTCTTCAAAGACAATAACAAAACTCGAAATGACTTTTGTTAGGAAACATAACTTTTTGAAATAAAGTTTTGACATCCCAACAGCAGTACAAAATGCTTCCTTCTCATTGGAAGAAAAACATAGCATTGTCTTAAGTCACTATGAAAAAGACTTAACATCTCTTCCGTTCTAAGGAGTTAGTTAGGCACTCAGGCTTCATTGAGAACAATTAAGTCTTGTGTGTCTTTCTCTTTCACCATATCTCAAAGTAACCAGTCTAAAAGTAAACAAGGCATGCCTGCAAATCCGAGATCTTCATGTAATCTCAACAGTTGTTTTTGTCCATTTTAGAACACGTAGAAATTCTACTTCATTTTCAATAGAATTTTGATAAAGTCTAAACTACGTATGTGTTCTTGACATTTTCACCAAGGTCTTTCTCTTCGTAAATTACTTTACGAACCTTTTCAATTGTATCAATGATTCTAGTGCAAGCTCCCTTAACGATTGTCCTGATGTTGATTATAGATACGTTTTTCCCCAGACAATTTTGTCTGTCCTTGCAGAACTGGCTGAGGTAGAATATCGATGCATTATTAAGGCAAATGATTATTTCGCCCCTTGACTAATTTCTCAATATTCTAAGTTCCAAACAAAAAATAATAATTAAATTCATCGTTGAAAAAAAAAATTATCATTCTTTATGTATCCACACAAGTTAGTTTAATTGGTATGGAAGAAATTCACTTTCTTGTCAATGAAGTTTTATTCTTATCAGAGTATTTCGAAAATAAAATTTTAAATAGTATAACTATATGTTTGGTGGGAGAGATTTGAATAGTTATTCTTGTTTATTTTTAATTTTTTTTAACACTTTATTTGATTAGAAAAAATAAACATTTCCTAAAATGGTCATTTAGGAAGACGAGGGAATAGCTAATACCAGGGTCCTTGGCGTTGGCTATCCCATGAGACAAGAATAAAGTAAAAACATTAATGGGTAAAAATATTTTTTATTAATTTTAAGAATTATGTTGCTATATAAAATACAATTTATTCAATTATTACAATTTCTTCCTCTCACTACCAACTATCTCTCCCCTTATCTCATTAAATTTATATTCTATTCCGACGAAATTATTATTTTACTCTTATCCTATTTCTTCTTCTGAATTAAATCGTTTAGAAAATAATTTAAATTGTAATAAACCTTGACAATTGACCGTATTATCAAAAAATAAGTTCATCATTGCCTACAAAGAATTTTTTCCCATCCCTTTCTCTACCCCAATTTCAAAATTGACCTTAAACCCTGCTCATTAAGTGATGACAACATAGTCAGATCCAATGGCATCTTAGGAGAATTGGTTCATTAGCAGTACATTTCATTATTTCAACCACCAATTAACATGCCTATATTAGAACCTTACAGTACGTGCCTTCATTGCACCCCCCAACCACAAAGAATTATCAGTTTAATACCGGCCTATGATGTTGCGTTTGTCTAGTAACATGATGGGTCATTATGCCACTAAATCATTTTATAACAAATTGAATTACAAAGTGATGGTAAGTTTTTTTTTTATTTTTTAAACTTAATAGTAATCTACACCAAAAGAGAATTTTTTTAGAAAAAACAAGAATTTGTATTATATTCTTTAGACCAAAAATTATGCATCAATTACCGAGAATTTTTTTAAAATTCAAATTGAATCTTACTTTTTATATCCAACTCAATTCTAGATAAAAAAAAATACTTTTTATAAAAATATATCCAGCTCGATCCTAAACAAAAAACAATAATAAAAAACATAATTTATTGTTATAACTGATCATAAGACTTATTTGTGATTCATGTGGTATTTAACTATTGCCTTTTGGTTTCGGAAACTAACACATGCTGATAAAGGAGAAAGCTAGTTTGAAGTGGCTCAAATAGTTTACTCCTCTTTGCCATTAATTGGTAAATTATGGTAATGCTCCACTTCATCTACCGAAGAATGTAACCCTTTCAAAATATCCATTCCTTTTTCTCATAAAGATTACACTTGACCACAGGCTCTAAGCGCAAGTGGTCCGGGGTCGAGTAACCCCCCTTGGGGGGTGAGTATCGCCTTGGGTTCAAGCTGCCCAAAAATCCTACTGTCCAAAGGTTTGTTTATCCTCTCACACTAAAAGCAACCAAAAAAAAAACAGAAGAAGAAGAAGGGTAAAAAGGTTGCGCTCAGGCTCAGTTTACTTTTCCAAGTAGTTTTCTCCCCATTCACACCCCTCATTGTACAACAAACAAAGCAGACAGAAAAGAAAGACTTAATTCACCAATAACTGTTCGCCAACTGGCATTAGCCCCATTTGATGTCCCAATTGAAACACAGTCAACCCCCGGCTGTCTCTCTCCAACTCGGCTTCGTTAGCCGCCAAGCTTTTCTTTCTCTTAGGAGAGGAACTATTGTACAAAGCCGGGTCATGCTCTCGACGCTTAGCCGTGACTCTGACAGGCTCAGGCTCATTGTTGCCAATCCTATGTGGGAAATTAAGCAAAGCCCTTGAACCACGCATTCTATAAGCCGCTCGATCGTAAGCCAGAGCAGCTTCCTCAGCTGTCTCGTAAGTACCTAGCCAAACTCTTGCCCCATTCTTAGCCGGATCTCGAATCTCCGCCGCGAACTTCCCCCACGGCCTTTGCCTAACTCCCCTGTAATGTCTCCCCTTGACTACTTTTTGATTCCCATTTCGAAAGCACTTTTCTTGTTTTCCCATCAAAAAAGAGCTTCTATTTTCGCTGCTTATTCCCATGAAGGCACTTCCAAATAACATTTGAGTTGCAGTTGCAGCTGCCGGTTGAGTCAACCCCATTGGGCTCACTTCCATAACAGGTCCTGTCATCATCTCAGGCTCGGCTTTGACGGAAGCTGCTACCATGGAATCCGACGTTGGAGACCAACCAAAGTTAAGAGCTTCATGAAGGGAGTTGTAGATGATCATGTCCTCGGAGTCATCAACTTTCAACGGTAAATCACCCCAGTGTTCCGTCAAGCAAGAGTTAAGGCAACTAAAGCTCGAACTTCGAGGATACTGATGAGGAAAGCTAAGCTCACACATAGTAACCTCGTTCATTCTTAGCACTTTTTAATGGTTTAGCTTTGATCGATGTTGAAGCAATGAAACCCAAGGAAAGAAAGACAGGAAGAAAGAAAGATATTATTAATGGACACAATTTAGTAAGAGATAGAGGCTATTTATAGAAAGTAGAAAAAAAGGTGAAGTGAATCGGCAAGTGGGTACAAGAGATTAATTATAATTAAAAATTTGGAATTATTTAATGAGTCAGATTAATTGGGGTTTTTTTTTTTTTTTGGGGAGTTTCCATGAAATTTTCAAAACGCAAGTGGCCAAATTGGAAGGAGAGGGAAAGGGCATTACCATGAGTTTGTGTGACACGTGAAGGAGACATGGATGAGGGCTTGAGGGCATTTCATTACGGGGCACTGAGTGATGTCTTACTCTTACATCAGCTTACGTATATCAGGACGCATTAAGGACAGAACAAGTTCTAGGTTACCTGCGGGTGATGTTGGTATGTGTTGGCCCACTAAGGGAATTATAGTAGCTTTAATCAAAGCACACAGTTGGAGCCAACGGGCCTAGGAAGCAATGTGGATAAGCTCGTTGTTCCATAGAGATATTATTTCATATCTGATTTAATAAAATCAATCAAGAGTGTCATATAGATTTACATCTTCGTATTTAACTCAATAATAAAAATATATTTAAAAATTGTAAATTAATTAATGAATTGTTTGATTTATCTGTACTTTTTTTTGGACTAAAAAAATTTAAGACATTTTAATTCGAAACACAAGTTTGGAAAGGACAAAATGCGTTGAGCCAAATACCCCTTGTCTTTCTAAAAAGAATTGTCCAATAGAATAAGGTATCCGCTGCAAGCAAGTGATGTAGCATTTGTAAACAGATACAATCATGTTGCGAGTTAGGAACTCCACCATGAGAAAGCCAAAATAGGGAGTATTTTCTTTTATATATAACATATATAAAGCTTTTGTCTCATTTTGTAGTAATCATCTGCCAATTGAACAGGAGGGACTTTGGCCATAAAATATGCTGGCGATACGATCCAAAAGGAGAGAAGTGTAATTCTGCTACTTATTAAGGCTTATTATTTAATTGTTCATTTGTCCTTAGCTAGTACACAAGTGATTTGCCCTGTTTTTTTAATAGCGTATGCCTTTGTAGTTTGGTTATTGTAAAAGACAAAGTTTGGCTAGAAGCTGCTGTCCTTATGCTTGGTATACAAAAAAATAAAATAAAAATTGCAAGCCTTTTCCAAACATAAAGATTAATCCTGATTGGAACAACTCTGCTCCCCTGCAAAGGCATGCATATGGCTTTGGATGTTTTCCTTAATCCAACAAAGCTTTCAAGACCAATGAGTTTCTTTATGGGTGGATTACAAGCTTATCATGCTAAGGTGAAAAAGCAGGAAAAGAAATGTACGAATTAAGAAAGCAAAAAAACAATAAAAAATCATAAAGTGCAGGCTAATGTAGAGAATTGTGACAGGTGGGCCTTTGCATCATATGCAAAGTCTTTTTCATGCTTTTCCTTGTACGTGTACGTTAAAACGTAACTTGTCAAAGGGAATGTACGTCCGCTTTTAAGATAGGGTCGAGGGCTGGGGATGCAATTGCAATAAGGACGGCTTCCAGATTCATCAGCCCTGCCCCATTGTCCTTTGACTCTTCGCTTCCATTAATCAGTTCATATATGCCGACTAATTAAGGTCGGTTCATCTGATTAAATCCACTCATGACGGACTTACTGTTCAATATGGGTTGCCTTTTCCCCTTTGCCTTTTAATTTTCTCTGTTGTTTTTCTACATCAAAACTCAATTGGAATTTCTCGACCATGGCTTTGATTGAGCTCCTAAAACGGGCGTGCCATTCTGAACAACAAGGTTTGGTGCGTTGTTGCTAACTTGTTTTTGTAATATAAAGCAATTTCCATGCCTTTTATAGTATTAATAGCAAAATTTCATTCTTATACGTATCCAAATATTTTTTTCACTCGCTAATTAAAGCATTCGTTAATCATAATTTTCCTCTCCACCTCCATTTAAATTATCATGAACCTTACAAGACAGTCAAATATACGTGATTGCAAATAGTACTACCGATCAACAAACGTTAAACATCCATAACATATGGAGAATGTGAGACTCGATATAGTCAAGTTTAGGCAATCACCACTGATATAACTTAATTAATGGTATTTGCAGATACCATCCTTTTGTATATTTGTAACGTCCTTCAATATATCATTCGTTTAGATTCGATCAGTGAGAGGTTTGGGGTGAAGTGACATCTTCTCCTATCTTGACTTCACAATAGTAGAAATGGAAATTCAGGTTAAGACATTTACTTTTGTAGGAATTTTCGTTTTGGAAAATGAAGCACATCGTTGTGGCAGTGTTACCTTTAATTTCCACAATCATTAATTCCACCAGGAGGGAAATTGCTGAAGAATTTCCAATTCTTCGTCACCAAACCATGCCTGTGGGAGCCGAATCCCAGGTGAGAAATGAAATAGAACTTGTGATGATGGGATGAATTTCTTCCTCCAATATCATCCTTCTCCAGCCTTGTGGAAAAATGGGGTTGGCTTATTATTGTTGTGGGTTGAAGGGAAGTTGAAAGCTATGGTCGAGCTAGTGGAAAATATTTGGTTGAATTTTAAATTAGATTTTTCTATTATTTCAACTCACACAGTTTAAATTTTTTTTACCTATTTTTAATGAATTTAATTCTTATATTTTTTTTGAATAGCTATATTTAAGTTTTTTATATTTTCATTAAAAAAATAATTTAAAACAATTAATAATAATATTAAGATTGTATCTTTTAACTTTGATGACATGTTGACATACATTAATTCTTTAGTTACGTGACACATATCAGTTTTGAAAAATATCATATTTCATTTATATATTCTTATTCAAAATAAAGTTTTTTTATTAATATGTGTCAACTGATTTTTTTTAAAAAAATTAAGTTAGCATGTCACATCATTAATAAAAAATTACATAACAAAATTTAATTGTAAAAATTTAAACAAGTTATCAATTAATTATCTTTAAATTGACTTTTAAGATTATAGTATTGAAGTGGACAGTTAAAATTGCAACAATAGGGAGATTGAGTTCAGATTTGGATCAAAATATTTAAGTAATTAACAAGACTTTGATATGGTAAAAGAGAAACAATTGCGGCTCAATCGGACCTCAAATTTTTTTAAAGGAATGTCGAAGTGTATTTGTATAACATATATATGGTAAAATATTTCATTTTTTAAGTTTTAATCGAAATTTTAAATAAATTTATTAATTTTTAAAATAAACACTTTATTTTTAAAAAATATTTTTTATTACATACATAGATTTAACTGTTAGTGTTTTTATTAATTTGATAACTTAACAATATTAAAAATTTTTTACCTTTTATTAATTTAAAAAATTATTATTATATAATTTTTATTAATTGTTTAAAAGACTAAGGAAGAATCGATCGGTGATTTCTAAGGGAGAGGAGCACCAGATTTGATGCTCCCAAGGGAGCACTGATTGGTGCCTTTTTTAAAAAAAAAATTTATATAATAATAATTTTTTAAATTAATAAAAAATAATATTTTAGTTTTTTTATATTATATATTTATATTGAAGTGTTTTTTTTAAATTAATAAATTCATTTAAAATTTTGACTAAAAACTTAACGAGACAATGATATTTTACTATATAAATACATATTCCAAACCCATCAAATAAATCCGCCTTTAACGTATGATTTTTTTTTAATCTTTTTCAATTGAAGGATATGGAAAGGAGAATATATCCTTAATTGAATAGTCTGATAATTAAATATACAAATGATAATTAAATAACCACATTTTTCTTCATTTGCATATAATTAACCCTTTGCTGAACCAATTAGTTACTACGTAGTATGTCCTTCCTTATATTTTGGTTTTGTTAATTAATCTAAACAAAAAGAGCAAAAGGTTTTCCCTTTCCCTCTTCTCCATTTCTCCATTCATTTGCCTAAGCCTGCGTGTTTATTTGTTGGCAAAGATATTAAGGAAGGGGACGAAGAGATTCAAAAAATGTAGTAGATTAGATGCAGACAGACACAATGGAAAGACTTGAGGCATGAAATAAATGTAAATCCTGGATAGAAATGTCGTCGTCGTCAACATTCAACCGTTGAAACAGAGCAGTTTGGTCTAGGATTGACTTGCCGATAAGTTTTTTCTCTTGCTCTGTTTTTTGTATTGGTTAGGTGGCGTGCGGTCGCGGCCATGCCTTTGCCATACTTACTTTCCACGGCCCTCATGGGTTGAAAGTCGCCTCCGCAAATATTTTCTCAAGTCAAGCCCACTACCCGACAACAAAATTAAAGTTGGTGCATTTAATAAAGAACACTGCACTAGTTTTTAATTTAAAAAGGACAGGTAGCTGTATTGTTCAATCCATGACTTGTGCTCTTTTCAAATAATATTTAAATATACATTTGATTAAAAAGTGACGAAAGGTCATATATATATATATATATATGTATAGTTGTGATTTATAAATGATTACTCTGCTGCCAGAGTTTCAACTTTAACAGCAATAATAATATATACAAACAATGCAACAAAAACAACTCAAATTAAAAAAGCTTAAAATTTAAAGCAATAGAAGACATTTTGAATTTTAACAATAGAAAAAGTTCCTAACTGTTGTCCATTCTTTTTACCTCAATATTTTTTGGTTAAAAAAAGAAAGAGTGTTTAAAAAAAAAAATTTTTGGTGCATGTGATATATGGTGTTAGATCACAGGATGGGTGATAATCCTTTTTTTTTCAATAAGTTGTACTCTATTCATTTCAAGATTGGTATTTAAGACTTTTCAAATGGAGGTTTTAATTCTAATCAATCAAGTGTCCTCTTGAAAACAAAATCTAAAATATATAATAATTTAAAGACACACTAACATTAATATGATTAATTACTTATAGTATATATTTATATAAAGAGTAAAATACATTCAAGTTCTTGAAGTTTTGTGATAATTCAATTTAGATCTATGAAATTTGAAATTAAACATTCCGTCCTAAAGTAAACAATTTGATAGGTTTTACAAGTTTTACCATTAAAAAATTGTTTTTTCCTA